TACTGACCGATGATCGGCAGGATAATTACAAGAGGCGGAATAGCGGCCTCAAATGTTTGTCTACAGGCTCTCTCCCCCCCTTTCCCTTCCCTTTCCTCGCTATTTTTCCCCAAACAGAGAGCCTGTTCACAGGCTAAGTATGATGATGTCTTTAATATTCTGTCACAGCTTCATACCGTCCTATAACAATTACAAGACTTAGAGGTCCATCAGGATTTCACGAGATTACTCCAACAGATACTTACGAATGACTTCAATTTGTTAGGGGGTAATTTTTGCATAACGCTGAACGCCGATTGCAAAACGCCAAATTAAACTGTATGAATCATGTTCACTTAGGTTCATTTAACTGGGAAAACAGACCTGAAACTTAATTCACAATTCACTCACTTTCCTAACCCTAATCACACTAAATTTCCATGAGTTCCGGACTACCCCCCCTCCCCCCCCGCCAGCACATCCCGTATTTTCATCACAGTCAGAGCCCGTACTGCTATAAAAATTGTAGACTACGAGTATCCCTCGTTTCCCCAGGGAAAAGCGCCCTGGGCACGAGGTTATCGTTTTCCCTTTAGGGATAGTAGAGCGAGCGGGAGCGCGCGCGAGCATCACCGGCACGCGAGAAAGGCAAGACGCGGCGGGGAGAGAAAAACATAAGAGCTTGGGCTTTGTCTGTACTCCCTCATTTTTCTCTCTCCCCGCTGCATCTCGCCTTTCTCGCGTTGGATGATTTTTACGCCTGTGCGCGTTGAGCTCGCTCTACTATCCCTGAGGGACATGAGGGACTACTCGTAGTCTAAAAAGATTGGTACGACCCTTTCACCTGAGTTGTGTCAACGTGCAGAGAGCATTCATTCATTTTACATGGAAGAGAAAATTTGATCTCATTAATGGGTTTTCGCTGCCAAATAGAGCGTCATTAGTTGTACTGACTGTAGAAATAGTCGTTCTCCGAAATTGCATCGTCAATACTGGCACTGAGGAGCAATAGAAAGTGTCCGTATTAAGCGGGTTAAATGAAGAGAGAATTAAAGGGCTTTCTTTTCCCAGGGACAATGCAAACTATCCGTAATAATGAGGTGTCGCCGTGTTAAGCAGGGTCTGACTGCTCTGACTGTTCACTGTGCGTGCAGATTGCATGTATTCTTTTTTTGCTGCAAGGCGAAAGCATATAATTAAATGTTTGAGTTTAACTTCCTGATCGATGTCAGGGAAAATTTAACCCTAGAGCTACAGTGACTGCTTTCCAAATCAGACACAACGTTTCTGATTTAAATGGCAAATTTAACAAATCGTAAAATTTTGTATTTCTTGAGATTCGAACGGTCTCGGATATTGATAAATCAGCATCCCGTTAGTCGATCGTGCATTAATTTGACATTAGTTTCCTGTCAAAACATTCCACGTCGCTCTATCAGAGCATGTCCCCGTATAATTATATACGCCTGCCTTTTACGCATTATCACCAACGACTGTACTGTATTCGTTCCCTAACATTCCATCATTGCGAACATGATTCCAAGTGCCATCGTTATTTCTCAATGCGTCGGGATTATCCAAATTAATTGAAGTAGAATCATAAGATCGCATAATGTGCATTCTAAAATGCTTTTAGCCAATATTTGCCTAGCCGATCATAGTATTTGATGTACATTGCTTTTATTGTGACCGCATATTAAAGTAACCCTACAAAGAGTCGAAAAAATGGAAATGAAACTAGGCTAACAGCTACATTGCTATAGTGTTCAATTAACTTTGTTTTTCTGCTTTTATTTTCCGCAATAGGTATGGTAAAGGGGATTCGAGGCCCAAAAAGTGTTTCGTTCCTACTCGCCACACAGAATCAAACGATCGAGGTTTATAAAATTGACTGATTTAAGAGAATTTGCACTCATTCAATATCCACGACGATCAAAGCACGCGCTTCCTTTGCACAACAAATTATAGCATTGAATTATAAAACGTTTTCATGAAGAGAATTCTATAATGCCAGGACTTTCAGTGAGAAAAATCTGGTCCTATGTGATATGTAGGGTAAAATGGGCTTTTAATGAAAACGATAAAAAAATTCCCAAAATCACTTTTCGGCCAGCCGGACGGGGCTGTCAATTAATCAAAACATGGATGTACAATATCAGGTTGCAGGCTCCCAAACTAGCTAGAAAGTGTGAGATTAAACATTGGTATACCTGTGGTGCGGACGGACGGAAGGTCGGGTGGTCGGTGTACGGTCACGTGATTGCCGAATTTTCTAAGATGGATCGATTGTCTAAGCTATGGGACTTCGAATTGAGCCCGTGATCAAATAAAATATCAGCGCAAAACTTTAAACACTACGTGACCTCAATGGATAGGCTAATGAGCCCGCGATACACTCAGATGATGATGGTCAGCGTATACTCTAGTTTGACAGCTGTCAATTAACCTTCATTACAATGGCGAATATTCGAATTAACAGACTACGAGTGTGAGTAAGACATCTCCGTCCGGCATATAGTGGAAAATGCCAGATCGCGTACCTGAGAGAACCTGAGCCCACGTTATTAGTTTTCTAGTGGTCTGCACATGTCCCATTTTGACAGCTGTCAATTGACCTTAATTTGGCTTGCCAATATATCTTTAAACGACTGTCAGCCAACTGACAGCCTTGCCCGGCGTAGTTTTGTTTTTATGTTGAATTGGTAAGTGTGACATATTATATCCGCTTATATGTAGGGGCAAAACGACTGGTCTTTCATCTGAGCCCGCGAGATAGTCATGTGATAATTGTCAGTGGATGCCTAATTTTGACAGCTGTCATTCTAATCGTACTCATACGGATGGCTTACATAACTAAGAGGCGAGTCAAGTTGTGCAAGATCCTTTGTGACATTTGACATCGGCTTACATGAAGCGTGTGTACGGGTGGGCGGGCGGGCGGGCGGGCGTACGCTACGTCATAACCAAATTTTCTCAGATGGATAGTTTACCAAATTTTCTTACCCATGGTGCTCCGCTCTGCGCGCGCTTCGCGCGCGCGAGGAGCTCCGCTATAAGACCTCTTTCACTCGCGACAACCAGAAAACAAGAAAATCCTGTGAACACGGCCCAGAAAATGGCAATCCAAAGTTCAACCAAACAAAACGGAGAAGCGACAACGGAGGAAGTGCCGGGGTCGATTGTCCCATATACAGAAGAAGAAATAAATACCTTCAAAGAGGACATGGCCCCTGAAAACACGAAAAAGAGTACGCCGCTTGCAATCGTCCTGAATCGTGTTACTTAGAAAAGTACAAAACAGAGCTGAACTTGAACAGCATTTCTAAAACATTTCAAGGTACTTACCTTATGTCAATCGCGACGTTAAACATGTTAAACTTTCAGTGCTTTCGCTTGGACACTTGATTTCTTTCAGTTTTGCCGCCGAAGAGGTAAAAGGTGTAAATTATTTTCCTTCTCGAGCAAATGACCAATTTGAAAAAAGACGTTCTACATAAACGGCTTCTAAATTCAGTAAAATACCTCTATTTATCCTTACGATTAGTGTGAAGCTTGTTTACATGTAAAAAAGTTTGAAAACAAATGTGAAAACAAGCACAAGGTACAAAAAAAGTTGTCGAAGGTTCAAACGTGTACGACTGACCTTGCTTCCTATTCGCTAACGCAATGACAGTTCTGACAGTTGACTTTGAAGTGGCTTTCTGGAGCGCGCGCTCAGGATAAAAACAAACAATATTATTGCTGTTTTCTTTTTTTTTCTTCTGATTTTTATTAAATTATGCGATTCAAGGAAAATTCATTACCTGACTCGAGAATTCCACGTTAAATTGCACTTGAAAACCGATATCGCACTCATCGCTTCGCGATTCGTGCGATATCGGTTTTCGCGTGCAATTTAACGTGGAATTCCCTCGTCAGGTAATGAATTTTCCTATAGAAGTTTCTACCACTTGAGGACGGCTAAAAATTTCTAGATGAGATCGTTACATTCATGTACAATTTTCGAAGCTTATCTACCAAATTCCCTACGATTTTCTGAAGTTTAATTTTCGCATTTTACCTCCCAGGTTAGACTATTTTTTGTAGAAAGAAAGGAAACCTACAATTTTCGGATTCAAAAGTGTGGTGGAGAGAGAACGTCGCTTAGAATGCTTTTCTAGGAGATCTAAAAGTACTTTGGATAGCCAAAAAAGTGTTTTTAATGCATTTAGGAGGAAACCGTCGTTGGGTGCCCCTGAATTAATGATAAAACCTCGCAAAGGTAAATCGCTTTCGACACTTAATATAGAGGACAGTTGTTTTTCCGTTGCGTCACTTAATATTTCTTTTTTCGACTCAGATGTGACAATAACTGAAATTGCGTTATTGTATGATCCGCATTTGAAAACTAAACTTCTTATTCATATTTGCGAAATATAAATTAACAAATCAACAATAAAAATTAATCTGCGATAATTCAATCAATGAATTCTGTGATTTCATTAAGTTATGGCGCTTATGGTAATACAGTCACTTTTATTATGACTAAAACATTTTGATCAAATGATGTTTTTTTCATCTCCGTTAGGCACGTCTGGCTTTCGAACCTGCAAGGAAATTTACGACAATCATAGGTAAGTTCAAATTTGTCTGTGAGTGCAATTTCTAAAGGACAAGAAATTGAAGGGTAGAGTTCGTTAGTCGACCACTTTAACTGAGCCCTACGTTTTTTGCATATGATGACATTATTCAATAGTCTTTTACTTTTTATTTGTCTATGCTAGAAGGGGGCTTAAGATCAGTTAGGGTTGGCGTGTCAACTGTAGAGACTGCGAACTAGTATATCAGCCCCCACCGTCACTAACCGACAACGGCCACAAACCTATAGTTTAATGACTGTTTTAATCCATCGTTCTCCGTCGCTTTTTATTATTTCACTCATGAATGGCCTCGAATAAAACCGGAAGAGGTAAGCAAATTTCATCAGTTTGATTTTTTTTTTTTTTCACAGAGCTCGCGGAAATAGAGCTTATCTACTCCAAATGCAGTCTGGGAAAGTGTTGGTGTACTGTCACATGACAAGCATTGGACTTGGAGCATGTGGAGGAGGGGGATGGACGCTGGTGATGAAAACTGATGGCCATAAGGTATTGTTACAATCTGTTGGCTCAGAATTAAGGCAAAAGCATGAACATAGTCCGCCATAGTTAATGCTGTAATTGGCCAGGATCAGTTATTAAAAAGGTAGTTTTGGGAATCTGCGAAGAAATTGCCTGACTTTTTGTGATAACTTTTTGCAGTTTAATAGAGAATTAACCGTTCACACATTTCTTTTAATTATTTATTTATTTCCATCGCAGCCAACCTTTCACTTCAGTTCCAAACTTTGGAGCAACAAGGTCAATTTCAACCTTCCAGGAGGGAAGACTGGCATCGACGCACATGAGACTAAGCTTCCAACCTACTGGAACACACCCTTCTCAAAGATCTGCCTGGGAATGAAAGTCGGACACCAGAAAAAGTTCGTTGTGCTCTTCAAGCAAGCAAGTTCCCTCCACTCACTGATTTCTGATGGTCTTTACCGCCCTACCTCACTGGGTCGCAACAAGTGGAAGTCGCTGATTGGTTCTGAAGCTTCCCTACAGCCTAACTGTAACCAGGAGGGATTCAACACCAAATGGAGCTACAGCAATCCCGCATACGCCCTCAGAGCAGCGAGAATTGGTATACTTGGAAACAACGAAAATGATTGCGTAACTTGTGATTCCAGAATCGGGTTTGGTACTGGAGGAGGCCCCGATGACGCCAACACGTGTGGAAACGAAGCTTCAGGCGGAGATAACGGAGACAAGCACATCAAAGCAATGGGATACATCTTTGTTCAGTAAAATTACAAGGGACTAGCACTTTTGTATTACGAAAGAGGTTATTTCTAGAGCATTTCAAGTGTTGCCTATCAAAGGATATAATCTTGATGTTTTCTTTAGTTAAGTTGTTTCTTTGTTGGTTCATGTTTGTCGTTTTGTTGAAAAAAAAATTTTGTGGTTGACAGCGGTGAGAAGAATCTGTGCACATCACGCTCATGGGATTTCCCCTGAGGCAGTAACTTCGCATTCGTTTACATGCAACTTTGTAGAAGAGTTTTGTGTTTTAAAAACTTGACTCGGCACGAAATTTGTTGGATGATTATGCTACAGTATTTTTGTCAGTAAAACGTTATATAATAACTTTGTGTTTGCGGATCGAGCGTGCATAATAAACACGTTTTTTGGCAATGCGGAATTTCTTGATTAATTTGTCTGATTTTCTCTATAAAGCCACGTTTAGTGTCGCATAGCTGAGATAAATATTGAGCTGACGTATTTGCAGATCTTTGAAGTCTGACAACTTAAGGTGAACGGCACATACAGGGAGTGTTTGGAAACTCGGAATGACATGGTTTCTACCTTTCTTTCTTCTGCAACTTCTGCATAGATTGATTTTTCTCTTACTTTTCGCAATAACATCATGTGAAATAATGGTTTCATTAAATTTAACTGATTGTTCACAGGTGACCCAATAGCCTGTTCCAGGCTCTCAGATAGTGGGCAGGACGCGAAAGAAGAAGGGACGCGAAAAGTTAGAGCTGCGTTTTATTTTCGTGTTTGCGCTTTCCCAATTCAGCGGACTCCACTTTCTCGGAGCCTGGAACAGGCTAGTGACAAAAGAGAGCCTTGTTCATGTTCAAGGATCGTGATACGTCAATTTTTATTGTAAAAGGCTCATGCTGAAAGATTCTGTTGCAGTCAGTGCATGATAAAGGCTGCTTGGAAGTTAAACCCGAATAGCTGGCGGTTTTTTTGGTGTGTTTTTTTTCTTTTCTGGGGCCCGTTCTCGAAAAGTTCCGGTAACTTTTCGGGCCCGGAAAGCTGTTTTATGTTTGTCGTGTTGTTATTCAATATCAAAGTTTCAATAATTTTGAAAATGATACAATGAAAGTGTCAGTTAACAAAGCAAGCACGGTGGTTTGTGAGCTACGACAGCGACAAAAACGTCACTTAAAAAGTGAATTTGCTTAATCCATCTCAATTAATTTGTCAAATGTTGGCAATTTTTTTTCAACCTTAATTCTAAAGGTCTGCATCGAAGTTCAGGAAAAGAAAAGAAAAGTCGTTGTCTTGCGTTCCCGTCGTCGACAAATAGTGAAATTAGGTATTTTCACGTCGTAGTCGTGCAGTGACTGCAAAGAAATGTACAAAAAAGCGTGATGCACGTACACTGAAGTTGTTGTTTTGCCGTTATCGATGACATCGCCGTCGTCGTTGCTTAAGCTCCGTATGTTTCCTCTCAAACACAAGAAGCTTTAGTTTTGTATTCTGAACTGAGAGGGATGTCAAGACGGGTATAGTAATTTGTATGCTCGCCGCACTCATTAAATTAGTTGCATTAGTTGCAAGTACTGCAAGGGATTTATCCGTGATAATAGCTTGATCATTCCAGAAAATACCAAACAAAAGTATGTCCACTGCATCAATGGTTAAAACGAGAGCTGGTGTACAGCGTCAGCCGATTTATCGACTTTTTGCTCTACAATCCAGTAAAACCTTTATTCGGAATGATTATTGTCTGCTGAGACTGGGTTTTGAAGGCTTGTGTTTATTTTTTCTTTCTTTGCCCTTCTAACTTTATTCATGAGCTGCTGGAAAGACGGTTCTTTGAACTCACTCATTCTCATTCAATTCACCTGTTTTGTCAAGTTTTATCATTCTGATATCATGCCCAATCCCCATTGTAACTAGAAGAACCCGTAAACACTGTAAAACTCGCTGGTGACGAAAAACAAAGAAGTGAACGCAATAGAAACCTAGAAAAAGAAGTATAAAACAAAGAATGTTCACAAGTTCTACATTACACCGAGGTATTTAACCAAGGCTCCAGTCTCGACCTGTTGCACTTTACTCATTCCTTTACACTGTCCGCCTCCGCAACCCTGGAACATAACGTTACCACTCTGCAGTTCCCATCATGGACTCCTGGTTCCCATTCACAACCATCGCAAACCAGTTAGATTGCACTTATGGCTAAGTCTCTGAAAGATGCCCTTAATTTAAACATGTTGTAATCTAGCAGACGTCATTTCCCCATCTTTTTCGTTTTTCGCTGACGTATTTCCGGTCGTCGTGAGAAGCGACAACCGGAAATACGTCTACATTGGTAGGGTACCTTCTTGCCTCGGGGTCATCTCTCGAGTTTTTAGGGCCTCTCGGGTTATAGAAGCCCAAACGTATTCACCGGATTGTTCCTTGTCTACTGAGCATTAGACGTTTTAAAAGTCCTTTATTTTTTTTCCTGGTTGGTTATGCCATTGCTGCACGACCTCATGCATTGAAGCTTGCTTGGCTCACTTTTATTAAAGTGACTTTCGTTAAAAGGGCAGGAAATTTTGAGTGGAGACTGGATCCTAAATAGTGAGGGATCTTTGTTTGCTTTGCCGGGCCGGGCGCTGAACTGCTGTGCAGAAAGGGCAGTGAAGTCTGAATTCTCGGACATTTACCTTTATATCTGGTAAGCTATGGGTGAAAAACCATTAACAGACGCAGAAAGAAAGAGACAAATCTCTCTTCGAAGGCTCCCAGTCGTCGAAGGTGTTAGCAGTCTTAAAGAATCCTTCAATCGACATCTGCACTTTACGCTTGTGAAGGATCGAAATGTGGCGACCAAACGAGATTATTATACGTCCTTGGCTCACACAGTAAAGGATCACTTAGTCGGAAAGTGGATAAGATCACAGCAGTCATATTATGAGAAGGATCCAAAGGTATTGGCGTACTATTTGTCAGTTTTTTTGTCTACAGATGTGTATGTATGAGTAGCTTGTTACGTGTGATGTAGATCACGATATTAGCAGAGAATTCATGCGTTCGGTCGTTCGTCAATACGTGCCAACTCGTTAAACAAATAGTCTCATATTGAACTACATTTCACACACTGTGAAATCTTATGGAAGTTCTCATTTAGTCGCCAAACGTATCGAATGAAATTGAATATTATGCTACACCGTATACCGAAACACAAGGCAAGATGATATTGCAGATTCTGCGCGCACACTCAAAGCTCACTGCAATTATTTTAATTTTATCTCAAGTCGACGGCAATGTTTGTTGAAACGCAGCTCAGTTCTACTGTTTCTACATGTCACAAAGTTAAAGAATATTTTTCTAAGCACTCATTTACTACTAGCAGTAAAAAGGTCATAAAATGTTAAAATTAATTTTCACGCCCCATCTGGCGGATGCTTTTGCAGGCCCTTCAGTGAATGTGCATTGTAAATCAAAACCGCATTTTCTCTAGTATTGGTCATGTTTTGGTTTTTATTAGTTTATTAACAGAGCGTAGAGCAATTAAATATATAATGGACAGTTTCTTTTTTGTTGTGCAGAGCCATCAGAAACTTTAATTTGCATTGCACATTTATATATTGATCAATTTTCAGATGATTATTATTTGTAGTGTTTTTTGTTGTTGTTGTTTTGTTAGATTTAAGCTCAAAGATGTGAACATAACATTTTCCTATGTTTAATGTACATGAAATACAGGACAAAATAATGTAGGACTGTTAGCTAAAAGAAAAAAAAACTAATTATTTCACCCATCATCATTTTAAAATGATTCACACATAGATAAATAAACATAGTAATTAGCACTATTGACAATTGTTGGCAACTGTTGTTCCCCAAGGTTTACGTGAACTTTTGGCCTAATACAGAAAACTAACACTGTTTCCTCTATTCTGTTGTAAAGTCTATTCCTGTGGTTTCTTGATACCCTAAATCCTCTATTTAGCCCCCCTCCCAGGAAGCTTATTTATTTCAATCCCATTTGTGGGGGAGGTGGGGTAGTGAGGGCTTAATAGAGATGAGGAGCTTATTTGAGAAGGGGGGCGTGTTTAATTAACAAAAGGTGATGGTATCAGTTCGCCATTAATAAATACAAATACAAAGTGGAAAAGCTGAAATAAAAGAAGGTTGGAGATCATGCAGCCGAGGAACAGTATGAAATCTGAACTTCCAGCTGGTACATGTAAATAAATCATCCCAAATCAGTCCGCACATCGTGCACACACAAAGATTGATTAATACAGTCTATCATTTATTAGTGAAGAATAATTAGAGGAGGAGAAGGGGGCGGGGGTGGTAATAGAGAGGGGAGAAGCTTATTTGAGAGGGGGCTTAATAGAGGATTTCTTGTAAGCCCTTTAAGGCTATGTTCATATTACAGTGTATACTGGATAGCTTTTTGTGCTGACATGAAAAACTCTCGCGTATAGTAAGAGCAATGGCACACAACTGGAGTAAGTCATTTATACATAATGGACATTGTGCTGGAGCCGTTGACTGAGAAGGTTTGGTGAACTAAGTTCCATTGCTCACCCTCACCAAAGTCTGGCACAGTATCTATTGACTATCTGGTAAGTGACACTCTACTTTTGAGATTGGCATGGCATAGTTTTGCTCTGTTACAGAAATTGTGCTGAAGTCATCGTTCTTACGTGTGAACAGATGGTTTTTGTGCCAGCACAAGCGCTATCCAGTATAGTATAAACATAGCCTAAGAAACTGCTTTTACTGATGGTCATTTTCAATTGTTTGATTTTTTAACAGCGTGTGTACTATCTGTCACTGGAGTATTACATGGGCCGTGCTTTGACCAATACCATGATCAATTTGGGGATTCAAGGAGAGTGTGACGAGGCCATGTACCAGGTAAGAACTCCAGCTGAAAATTAAACAATAATTTCATAAAACATATTCACCAGTCATGAGCTACGTAGTCAAGACAGTGCTATCACTTCTTGTTTTGTACAGTGTAAAAATACTAAAATTCTTGTAGTTGTATTTTATGAGTAAAACAGTATAGCAGCTTTGGAACAACGCCCTTTCGTAATGTGTAAAATAAAAATGGGTGTCGTGAGGAATCTTTTTGTGCCAAGGTCACACCATTTTGAGGACGAGTAGTCAGTGTGTTTGATTTTTAGACTGGTGATCCCGGGTTTGAGTCCTGCTCTGGCCACCAACTGTTTTCTTGGTTGTCCCAAGTCCAAACTTCGGCCAAGCTTCTAAATAGCCAGCTGGTTGCCTATTGGAATGGAGTGTCTGTAAACCCGGTACAATACCATGACTTGTCACACTTTCCATGCAAGGGTACTAATCTTCCCATTTACAAGGTGGCATTTAACTATTCAAAATTCAGCTTATCTTTTACCCTTTAGTGGAAATGAAGCCCCTTGCAGGCGGATAGATTTAACTAGAATATGTCATTTGTTCTTTTATGCAGCTTGGTCTCGAGATGGAAGAACTGGAAGAAGTAGAAGAAGATGCTGGCCTTGGAAATGGTGGTCTTGGAAGGCTGGCTGCATGTTTTTTGGATTCGCTGGCAACATTAGGCTATCCGGCATACGGTTATGGCATCAGATATGAATATGGCATTTTTAAACAGTCTATCGACGGCCATGGGAATCAGGTACATAGATAACTTTAATACATAACAGTTTACATGTAGGTAGTTCACACACCCCTTTCCAGAAAACCAAGAATCAAAATTCAAGAAAACAACCTTTCCTTTATTATGAATTATTGAAAAAAAGTTAAATGCATCTAGTGTAAAACAGGACGCAGTTAATTGGGAGGCATTTATACCTAACTTGTCGAGAGATGACTGGGAAGAGTCAGTTTCATCTACTTTTGTGTGTCCTCTTTTTACACCAGTAGATCTTTCCCGCATTCCGCTCTAGTGAACAAACATAAAAAATTGAGGTCGAAGCTCGAGGGGACAATTTCATACCAATCACTGTCTTTTGTCCACTCAAGCCTTGACTTGATGCCTTTGTTTACCAGGAATGAGGGAAAGGTCTGTCAGGATAAAAATCTCAGACATTAAATACATCCAGGTGACTTAAACGTCTCTATCATTAAAACAGCCATTATCGCATTTACAAATAGACACTCTTGTGACTATCATTTTGGGGTAGGCAGCACATGGGGGACTACAGTCCTGGTTATGGACTCCTGCTCTTACTTACACGGAAGAAAAAAATGCATGGACCTGTCTTCAGTAGTTACTGTACACCATTATCCTTCTGTTGTATCATTATTCTTAAGTATATTTAAACCCACTGAAAATATCGTAAGGCCAGCTTCAACCTGCCAATTTGGATTGATAGCATTAAGGGTCGCTTCCTTATTTTATGAGTTACAGTAAAATCAGGAAAACTGTGAACACCAGATATACTTCTGGAATGTTATAGTGTTGGGAAAAAAGCCAATCAGGAAAGAGAAACTAAACTGCAAGTAAGAACCTTAATTAGTTTGTGGCTAGTTCGCATGTCCTGATCTTTGCTGTGATTGGTTGTAACACAATAAACATTCCTGAAATATTTCAAGTGTTCATGGTTTTGTCAGTTTGACTGTAATAGCCTTCGAATATAGCCATCTCTTCTCCCTCTTTGCTGCTAGCGCAGTTCACAGGAGACAATGACAAAAGTGCAGACATCACTCTTACAACACGTCCCTGCAAGGGGCAAATAGAGACAGCTGTGTTTGTAGGTTTATAAGCTAACAACAGTTTTGCTTTGATTGTAGATGGAGTTGCCAGATGAGTGGCTTAAGTTTGGAAACCCTTGGGAAAAAGCCAGACCAGAGTACATGATTCCTGTTGAGTTTTATGGTAGGGTGGAGTCAGATGCCAGTGGAAAGACCCATCACTGGGTGGACACCATCACCACTTTTGCCATGCCGTATGATCAGCCAATTCCTGGATATAACAACAACACATGTAACACCATGAGGCTTTGGGCTGCAAAATCACCAAAGGGTTTTGATCTGTCGTACTGTGAGTATTTTTTTATATACATAATGTTGTCCAATAAATTGTATCATTAAATAATATATACATTGGTCCTTTGGGTCTACAAGGCTTTGTTGTGTCCATTGAACCTTAAAACTAAACTGTAAATTGGACTTCAAAGTTCAATAAAAACAAACAGTAAAGTAAAATGTCAGGTAAATAAAGGCAGGGTTTTCAATAAGGTTTTAAGTACACTGTAGGTGGCAAAAGCTTTGGAGTGGAAAAAACTTGCACCAAAGGGGCAAGTTTCTAGGGGGGTCCGGCAGCGTTCCCCTCAGCAAAAATTTTGAAATCTGGGCCTCTTAGAATGCATAAAATGCAAGAATTAGAGTTTTTGAACCGAGTACAGACATCATTAAATTTTGGCTTTTTATTCAGTGACAGCGCATGAATTCTCTACATGTACTTTTTAAATTTATTTCTTCTTGCCAATAGCTATTAACCATTGGTTGTTTCAGTATCTGTTTTAAGTCATGTTATTTTAAAAAACTGGGGTAATTTCCAGAGAAAAGTAGGTAGTGAGTTCACGTGAAATAGCTGGTGAATTTCGCCAGCTGCTGGCCCTTATTGAAAACCCTGTATACCGGTAGGTGCCATTTTGATAGCTAAAAATTCACTGAAAATTAATACACCATTCGGGTTGCCCAAAATTAAATTATTAGAGAGCTTAAGGGACGGCAACAGCAATGAACAGCGAAAAAACAGTAGGTTTACTGATTTCTTTGCCATCGCTACACGACTGCAATGTGAAAGTGCATAATTTCATGTTTTGTCAATGACGTGAACACAGGACAACAACTTTCTTTTTTCTTTTCCTGAACTTCAATATAGTCTTTTCAAATTCAACTCCAGAAAAATTTGCCAACATTTGATGAATTGAACAAGTTGAAATAAGTGCAATAAAGTGCTAAGTAGCATGAATTCACTTTTTAAGTGATGTTTTCGTAGCCTTCATTGCTACTTAAGCTCTCTGTTTCTCACCAGAAAGAGGACGAACCTACTTTCCCTGGAATGCAGCTGTGCCAAGTGAAAAGCTGCCTTTTAATCTACCCTTTTGCAGCCTAATTGAATTGTTTACATTGTACATTTTGAGGGGAACCCTAATTCTACTCTTGGAATTTGGTGACCAGTAGTGGCTGAAATTATTTGGCTAAATTGTATGACATGGCTTTATTTATTATTACATGCTTTTCTGTGCAGATGTGTCATCTTCTTGTCTGTAATGAGAGCAAGGTATTGTTTTTTTTTTCTTCAGTTAATGGAGGAGACTATATCAAGGCTGTTTTGGACAGGAACGTGGCTGAAAATATCTCGCGAGTTTTATACCCAAATGACAATGTAAGATTCTAAGTAATTATCTGTAATTATTATCATTGACTTGGAAGTACAATAATTATTTAATTTAAGTAGTACTGGTTAAAATGTTAACTGATGCACAGCTGTGTGCATGCATGCATGTCATTACTCAATTTTTTATGGTTTTAAAATCTTTCACTGGGTTAATTTTATTTTCCATATGTAAGATACAATACCTTATACTGTAGTGATAATCTTATTGCTAGCAGCCTATCTGTAGTTGAATGAAAACGGGATTAGGGAGAGATGGCTCAGTAGAGCCTGTAATTATCATTTTCAATATCTCATTCCAGTATAGCAACTCCTGACAGTCAACTTCAACACTTACATGAATCATTTGGCTTTGCACATGCAGAGTCTAACAAACATGTCGACATGGCTGTCAAAAAGTTTTCAAGTAGCAGGCTGATAATGAATAGTAGATGGCTTTGGAACTTGCACCAAAGGCACAAGTTCTTGAGGGCTGAGGCATTGAGGGACATTTTGAGTCTTTTGAGTCTCAGAAATGGCATTTTCAGGGGTTTTCAAGAGGTATTTTCCACCACGGATGCAAAAATTGTTTCGTCAGAATACTTGCAACACTTGGAACAATGCCATCGAAATGTCGCAGGCATTCCATGACATCGCACGGTTCGAACGTTTCACAGATCTAAACCTGTTTAAATATGCATTCAATGTCATTCAAAACTGGAACACAGATGGTTTACAGTTTTATTCGATGGTGCTTATTTTTTGTTAGCAGTTATGGTAGAAGGAGATGAAAGTAGCCGGCTAAGGACAGACACCTAGCTGGCGGTTTTGGCCAGCTACCGGCACGGCCCTTATTGACAGCCCTGGTCGAGCATGTGAACACTTTCTACGCTGTGCCTTTTGACGTTTTGACATTTGACATTTTGACAGGGATTGATTAGTAAATTAATATTCAGATTGAGGAATTTTTGAAAAGGTGCTTACAAGCTCTCCCCTTCTCTTTTCTTGCTTTTTTTGCTCATCTGTGCTGACTGAGAGCCCCGTTCAAGCTATCTCAATTTTATCGCTTAAGGCCTGGCGCACGCTACTGGTGTACACGGCTAAGAATCTCACATCGTTTGGCTCTTATGAACTTATTAAAACTCAGATTGCATCGATATTTGGCAAGAAGTTAAAGTTTATAAACAGCTTTTCATTGAATATTTTTTTTCTGGATGTAAGACCAAAATAAAATTGAAATATGAAAAATATGGCTCAAAATGGGACCATTTTTTAACAGCTCGCGTAACATTTACAGTCTAACCACGCATATTGTGGGATTTCTCTGTTTCTGTTAATGGTACTTTGGAAAAATTTCTCCGAAGAGGTCAGTGACTTATGAGTACTAACTGTATTAAAAATTACTGAACACAATGGCAAAACAACAAAGTTTAGGGCGCTTTCAGAAAGATGTTCTGTCTACAAACGATCTCTGTGCAGCGCGAACGTCAGTTTAAAAGATTGCTTTTCATTGACTTTCTGTTGTTGTTAAGAGAAGAAATAATAATTTGTGGAATGCTCATAAGTTAAACCTTGCTTATAGACTAACTGTTAAGACTTCGGGAAACCCATTTTTACGCTAAGATCAAATATGTAAGGTTAGACAGCATTTTTTAACGTGAAAAATTCGTAAACCGTGCGTTGGACCGAAGATCGGATTCTAGAGTGTGCTTTGGCATAAAGATTTTGTGCCTAAAATGTGCCTAAGATGTGCATAAAGTGTGCATTTTAGTTTTGAAAAACGTGCCTAAGCCGTGCCAAAGTTGTGCTCAAACTCTGCCTAATCTGTGCACAAGTCGTGCCAAAATATTGAGTCACTCGGAAAATCGTGTCCAGCCTATCGAGCTCCACAGCGAACGAAAAGGGCGCACGGCAATTATGTCAGTTTTGAGGTTTACGAAGTCTAGAAACACGGTCTGACGACCTTTTTATCCCCTAATAAGAAATAACATGACTCAGAATACGGTTAGAGACAGCAGTGAAAGCCCCGACAAACAGGAAAATGGAATCTTAAATAGGTTAGCGTATTTAAAGTAAGTGCTCAGCTCAATTACATTGTTGATATGCTAATTTCATCCATGTTAAAAAATTTCCAAGCAGGTTTCTTCTCCCCTTCTTAACGGAGCGTTTAGTTGGAACGAAATATTTGTTTTTTTTTCAGGTGGGCAGATTTCCATTCAAAAAAAGAATTTATTTGTGATATGACTTATAAAATGAAAACGAAAAAATTGATTGCACGTAGCCTCCCTGCAGACGTCCTTTGGGGTTCGTTTGTCACGCATTCGTTTCTCTCCCACGAGAAATGAATGCGTGACAAACGAACCCCAAAGGACGTCTGCGGGGAGGCTAGATTGCACGCCGATGAGTTTAGAAATAAATGGCACGTCTCATCGATTATTATACGATCAAAGCTTAATTTGCTAACAGAGCCAGAAAACAAAAAACAAACAAGCAGCTTGAATTATTTTACTACTAAGTGTAAATCCTACTTTTTTAGTTAGAGAAATATTTTTAAAAAGCAGCCGCATTTTGTATTTAAAAAACAACACGCGTTTGCATGAAGGTTTCAAATTACCACTTTGTACTTTTCATGTTGTTATGCAAATTCAGGCCAATTTTACCGCGATCGCAAAAAGTATTTTCTACGACTTTTATTGGCTATTTTTGTTCCTTACTTCTTTAGCTTTGTTTTTGTTATTATGGCTTCAACTTTCTTTCATGATTTCTTTTAGAAACGAAAGAAAGGGAGTCTATAAAATTGCATGGCAATCGAAAAGGTTCAGACCGGCATATATCGCGTGTGAATTTCCACTTTATCCTCGGAGTAAACACGGACTGTCGAAGAATACTTTAATTTTCCAGACTTTCGGCGCGGCTCAAAACTTACACTTCCTATACTTCTAGCTGTATCGTGTTTGATCTGAATTATTTTTGTAATTCGTACCAAGTTTGTTATTTTTTGCAAGTCGGGTTACAAAGATTTTCAAAAAAGTGCCTTGCAGCGTTGAATAATTATTGTGCCTGAACCGTGCCTAAACCGTGCCTAAACTGTGCCCAAACTGTGCCTAAAATGTGCCTTAGCAATATTTAAAACGTGCCTTAACTGTGCCTAAAGTGTGCCTAATCTGTGCCTTGCCATGTTTTTTTCCCGTGCTTTGGCACAAAAACCGTGCCTTTTCTTGAGCCCGAATCGTGCACAAGGCACGGTGTTACGCTTGTGTACACCAGTAGCGTGCGCCAAGCCTTAAGAGGAAACAAGAAATTGAAACTCCATATTAAACTTGTTTTTTGTGAAGAATGTGATCAGCCCTAGAGCTGTGGAGGTTGGTGTTGAATCACAAATCTTGTGATTAGTGTATTAATTTTTTAATACTATAATTACCTTATTATCTTTGCAGTTTTTTGAAGGGAAGGAGCTGCGACTTAAGCAGCAGTACTTCATGGTCTCTGCTACTCTGTCAGACATTGTTAGAAGGTACAAAGCTCCTAAATTTGGCTCCAAAGAAGCTGTGAGGACCACCTTTGAGGACTTTCCTGACAAAGTAAGTGTAGAAAAAATAACTTTTTATTAAAAAATATTATCAAAAAAATATACATACCATTCTGGGCATGCTTTGGTTCCAGGCTCAATCATATCAGGGCTGTCACTAAGATTTCAAGTTGCCAGGGGTCTGTTTCTCAAAAGTCCCATTGACTTTTTGAGCCTAAAATTAAATAATATTCAAATCAAAAGTAATGTTAAGAATGATAGTGCTAGATCTAGCCAACAGACCATACCATGATTGTTTTGTTAACTGTTATGATAGTTTTGTCATGTTTTCTGCAAAACTGAAACCACCATCATGCATTTACAGTGTAAGCAACTTCAACTTTTAGGGCCCACTGATTATCATTCAAGACACAGGACCCTCTGGCTTGAAAAAAGTCCCATCTAGTCATTTTAGCCTAGGAAAGGGCCCAAACAAAATGCACATTTTATGAGCAAACCCAGAAATTATGAATAGTGCATGACTGTCCTGAGGACTTTTGTCCAGGATCTAAAAATGTGATACGTGTATGCTGTACTTGATAGGTTGCCATTCAGCTCAATGACACCCATCCTTCTCTGGCCATTCCTGAACTAATGAGGATATTTGTGGACAAGGAAGGTCTCACATGGGACAAGGCAAGTAAAGAAAACATTATTACTCTTGTATCTGTGGATGCTCTCTTGTATACATGTAAGTTGTGCCTAGTCAAATGCTGCACATGTTCTAGCAGGGTTTTCATTAATTTTTGGAGTAGGAGGGTTCTCGTGGTAGAGTAAGCGGGCAGCCCTACATACCGAAGGGCCGAAGGACCGAGCCTCTAGGGGGGTCCGGGGGCATGCTCCCCCGGAAAATTTTTGAAAATTAGACTCTCGGAAATGCATTTTCCAGCATTCTGAGTTGGAAATTTATAATTCTATTCCCTCATTTTGCAAACGAAAATTGTGAATAATTTGCGGAGCTTTTACTTTATACTAGCAATGTTGTAACTGTTTACAGCCTTAGAGAATTTACTAAATTGACAAGCACAAATTGACTTCATGAAAACCAATAATGTAACTAATTTTGTAACTTTTTGCAGCCTCAGGGAATTTACTAAATACATAATATAACAGTATGAATAATGAACCAAACTTACTGGCTTACCGGTATATTGCTTAGTTTGTTAGATAGTGAGCCACACTTGCCTTTTTGATTTAAATTATAATAACTGAAACAAACATTATATAGATCGTAGAGTTTCATGAATGAACTCCTCCTGTACTGTTTGCTGCTTTCATTCATGAAGAAAACTTAAAGTCAATCCTAAATACGGGCAACTAATGTATGAAGCTTAAAAGGACTACACTATTGACTATATGTCATGGGAAAATTCAAAGTCAGAGCCGTAATCTGAATCATCATCATCATCTGCTGGTAGCTCCAATGCTTTTGAGGTTTCATCTACTTCATCTGCAATTGTACGTTGAACTGGCTGAATGACGCTGTCATCATTAATTGTCTGCACACCAGCATCCTGCATGGTTACCGTTACAACGTTCTCACTTATACCACTTGAATTGGCGACCAGTTGTGTGCTGACAAACATTGGAGGACACTTTCGGCGTGGTTTGGCAGCTAACCAAGCTCTAACAGAAGCATCAATCACTCCTTCAAATTCCTTACTTCCCACTTTAGGACCATTGATGAGAATGTGTAGCAGAGCGTTGAGCATGTCATTCTTCATTCTACTTGAAGCCTTGTCTTCATCAGTTTTAAAGAACTGGCACCCCTTTCCGCCATGCATTCGACACTGGAAGAGAGATCACTGCCTCTGCCAACTTTGCAATAAGTGGAAGATTAAATGGGACCAGGTCCTTCATGAACATTAGCTTCTGGAGGCACCAATCAGTTGAAGTGACTGTAGGTTTGCTTCCACCAGAGAGCTTTCTAACTTCCTCAGGCAATTCGTTCTTCCATTTTGCCAAGTCGTACTTGAATACCTGCCACTCATCCATCAACTGCTTTTTTGTCGCTTTCGTCATCAAAGAACTGCTCAGCCAGAAGTTTCACCGCTGCACTGCCATAATCCCTGAATCCTGGCTGGCCCCTTTCTGGAACTTGTGCAGGGTCAAAAATACTAAAAGCAGACAGGAGGGGAAGGGCAGGAAATCTGCTACTTAAGCTTTCTTTCAGTGAATTGACATATTTCACCAGGAAATTGGTGAGAAACAGCTTATCTCTATCAGACGCAGTAAGATCAGCTTGTTCCAATCTGCCTCCAGGTGAAAGATCTCTAAGGAACTCAGTGACTGGAACTCCCATCTGGGCAATTTTGTCAAGGTCATCGGTGCACTTCTGAATTGCTGGCTTTATATGGGAGAAGGAAACCTTTCCTTGTTGGAAAGCACAGCTGAGTCTGTTGAGAACAGGAAGAACGTGATGCATGACTGTTACCACCCCAATGAATTTCACTTTGTGCATCTTTCCGAGAAGACCTGACGCCTGAGCATCTTTCTGGTCAAGTTGCTTTAGTGTAAGCATGAGTGGTACGTAATCCTTATGTACACCCTCTACAGCCTTGCCAAGAGAGAGCCACCTCGTGCGAGTAGCCTTAGCAAGTCTACGGACGCACTTATCTTTAGCCTCTTTTGAAGGCTCTTGCAGCTTTTTCACGTTAAGTTGGGTCTTCAGATATGCTGCAAGTCGTTTTGGGGAATTTTCAAAAAATTTCCAGATCTGAAAAAGCCATCTCTCAACTTCTTGCATGTATGCGATATCATCATTAGTGTCACAGCAAGCAAGGGACAGTTTATGGCAGATGCAGTGAACACTGACGAGGTGTTTGTTCAACTCTTTCAGCCTGGTGGCCACCCCACTGGTTTTTCCAGTCATCACGGATGCTCCATCCGTGCAAAGGCCATTGAGCTTTCCAACTGACAAGTCACAATGGTTTAACTCTGTTACAAGAGTCCTCGTTATGGTTTCTGCATTTGCAGACTCAGATTCAACAAGGAGATCATTTGCACTAAGAAACTTAATCTCTGTGCCACCAGAAGTGCTGTTCCAAAACTGCACGAACGTGATTAATTGCTCAGTAACAGAAATGTCTGTTACTTCATCAATTAGAAGGCCATAAGACCCTGCTTTCTTTATTTCGTTTATAATCATGTTCTTGACCACATTTCCACTTGTCAGGAACATTTCTCTCACTGCAGCGGGAGATTTGTGATTAAAATGCTGCATTTTGTCTAGCCCAACAGCACGAAACAGGTTTAGCAAAGAAAAGAACTTAACATTAGCAACTGCCTCCCTTGCTAACCAATACAAGGCTGCAAAAGCATTGTACAATACATCGTTGCGAACTGCTTCCTTTTCTTCATACTGTTGATGAAACATTGACACCCTTTGATTCATTTCAGCTTCCACAGCAGCTTGATGCATTTTGGCTGAAGAATGTTCTCTGATGGCCTCTTTCCTGTATCTTTTGCTGGGTGTAGTGCTGAATACTGCAGCATTGTTCTGGGTGTTCAAAGTTTTATGTTTACAGCAAAGAAAACAAAACATGCCTTGATTTTCCGAGAACAGAAGCCACCAGATGCCTGTGGTCTTATCATAGGCTAGTTCTCTTTCTTCGACCCAGCTGTGGTGAAATCGTCTCTTCTTCAGCTTCTTCTGCCTGGCCTCCTCTTCTTCTGAGAAATCTTTGCAGCTTTTCTGTTTGCAATCGTAGTAGTTGTGCAGGTTAGAAAGTCCACATTTCTCTATTTCTAATAACATAATGTCATCTGCTATTGCTTTAGATACACTTGGCCCTCGGGTTTTTCTACTTGCCGTGAGGTATGTGAGAGTGCTTCATTAGACGACTGAGTTTCTACCCCTTCACTTGCTGCTTGTACTAGAGGCATTGTTGAATCATCTGCCAAAGAAAGGTCCAATATGCAATGCATAAACCTCACCCTGTCACTTATGCTGAGTTACATTTTTGGCGGATTTCCATTTACCTTTTGCAGTAGTTTTTGTGTCGTTTGTTTTATGAGCTGCTGAAGAATTAAGCTTATAAATTGTATGTGTACACGAAGTTTAGCTTGACATTCCTTTTAATGTTACTTCTTTTATGCTTCTATAATTGTAGACATTTTTTTAGTGTTTTAAAAGATTTCCACTGTAAACATCTCTTTTCAAGTTACGCGATACATACTGTAAGTACTTTTTGACTTCCCAGATTTTACGCAATCTTTTCTACCATGAATATAGATATCGGCTCGCTCGTAAAAGTAAGCTTAATGTTCATGGGACAACATCCGCGGCCTCAGCTCGGACCTCACGCAATGTTTGTTTTTATTTCGGATAAGTTTGCTGGGAAATTTAATTAACCATCCTGTTATAACTGTTAGGAATTTGCACTAACCATACAATTCAGCAGGTTTCGAAGTTCTTAGAGTAAAACCAAAGAGGAGCCGGTTGATTGCTTGTATTCAAAGGTCGCTATGTTCAATGACTCTTTTGACATGCAAAACGCACACTTTATTTATATCCGCCAGTGCAAGTTCATTATGTTGAAAAGATAACTTGTAATGTATTAATGACTCACCTTTTGCCCTCTTTGGAAAGAAATTATCTAAGACGCCTTGGACGTGAGGTCTTTTACTAGCATTCTTCGCCATTTTAAGCAAGTGCTTTTGGTAGCGTGAAATGTCACGTGCAAATGTTATGTAACAGCATGACAGAGCGTAGGTCCTGGTAACTACTTTGAAAACGCAGGCGATGCGTTTCGTGCAATGTGATCAAACTTCGAAATTTATCCCTTTGGTTGAGATATCCTTCGGTAATCTGGACACTGAAATATTAGTTTTCATGAAGAAAAGAACTGTAATTCAGAGATGCAATTCCTGGTTAGACTCCCCTGGCAAGGCGGGAAAGCGGTGAAAAGAAGTTTCGGTTAGTCTGGCTTTTGATTTCGTATTTGTCTACTTGAGACCTATTTCGGCGAAGGCGGGTACTGTGCTCAGAGTAGACGGGTGCCGGTACCCGGGTCCCGGCTTCTAATAAAACCCCTGGTTCTAGGCACCTCCTTCTATTTTTTTCACTTAGTATGCCTGACAAGTGTGTGAGGAATTTAGTGAGTTCTTTGTTAGTAAAACTTGGCGTGTGGTATATGCCTGGTGACACAGAAAAAGACTGCCAATGGGAATGGTTTTTTCAAGGAGGTCATAAACAGAGGGGCACAGTTGAAACTCAGTTACTGTATTTTTTCGGTCATAAGGTGCACTCGGTTATAAGGCGCAACCCAAACTTGTCAACACGATTTTTCTAAGTTGACGAACTTAATTTTGTTTTGTTGCCCAAAGGTACTTGGTTATAAGATGCACCCCGAAATTACAACAGATTTAGAGCTATCAAGCAGACTTTCTTTGAAAAAAATTGCTGTGCCTTATAAGCGAAAAATACTGTACATAGACCTTGCTCAGACAGACTTTTGATTATTACTATCAGGTCTTTTTTCCTGGTCACATTCATGCATGAGTTGTGTTAATTATCACGAGTTCATAAAAATCTGAGGGTATTATTTCATATTGTGCATTTTGTGTAGGTAATTGAAAAGTACCCATAAAATAGATAGAAATGAAGCATTTGCCGGGCAGTTTTTTCAACTTGTCCTGTGTGTCCAGGCCTAACATTTCTCAATGCCTGCCCCTCTGTTAAACTTTCACCAAAGTCACTAATACCAAAGATTCTGTGAAAACAGCTGTGTTTAATGATTATCTGCAGCTTGCGCAATCGTGGGGAGCACCAATACCTACATGTATACAAATTCTCCAGCCTGATCTACATACAATTCCTTAAGAAATTAGTTGAGAGAATTTGATAAAAGATCAAAGATTTTTCTCTTTGTGATCATTTTGTTAATTCTCATAGACTTTGCTCTTGACAATCTATGGATATCGTGTGGAGAAAATTGATGTTGGTCAATATTTGGACTTAAAGGGTTAATACTACAAGTATGAGCGGGGCCCCTTCTATTGTTATAGAAAACAAATGGAAAAGAACTATCTAGCTATTCATTTACTCACATATTAATTGCATATACCCTATAATGTGAAATCTTCACAAATAATTATTGCAGCCTTAGTGTGAGACACCAATAAAACAATTTTGTAAAACCAACCATCATCATATCATCTGTGCCTTAAAGTGATACTACAGCTGTACATTTGATTTGAAGTGAATTACCATGGCCTGCACCTCTTGTCAGCCAGGCCTTGTGTTTAACATGATTGCACTTTACAATGGTTTCATTTTTTAGGCTTGGAGCCTCTGTGTAAAGACCTTCAGTTACACCAACCACACAGTTCTCCCTGAAGCATTGGAGAGGTGGCCAGTGCACATGCTGGAATACATTCTGCCACGGCACCTTCAGATTATCTTTGAAATCAATTCCTTATTCCTGAAGGTAACTTTGATTTTTTAGACATTGAAAACTGAATGTTTGTTTATATTACTACTTCATTTTCTTGTAATTGTCATTTTGCAGTGTGTAGCAGCAAATTAAAGTTGCCGCTACACACTGATTAAATTTTAAGCATGTAAGCATTTGGAGAGATTTGAAATAAAAGGCTGGAAAATAATGAATGTCTCAGTATTTTTATAAGAAACACAATACCACGTGGAAAGTGCTTTGTACACTATTTATGCACTTGTGTTTGTGTATCAGAGATCTCACTTGTTCGCTGGGCGCACTTGTTTTATTACTGGTACGTCAACAGCTCGTGCGTAAATACCATACGCGCACACTTTCCATGGAGTATTATATATAATCTTATACAGTTGTATCTTATCGTATACCTCATTTGTCAATACTGTTGCTGATTTGGTTGCTTTGTTTGTTTGTTTTATCAGAAAGTGACAGAAAAATGGCCAGGTGACATGGACAGGATGCGTCGAATGTCTTTGGTGGAAGAAGGTCCTGAAAAGCGCATTAACATGTCACATTTGTGCATTGTTGGTTCTCATGCAATCAATGGTGTGGCTGCATTACATTCACAGCTACTGACGACCACTATGTATGTATCGTTGGATCGTTACTGTGCCTTCTCAATAATGCATGAACTCAAAACTATAAAAATTAACTGAAGATTGTGTGTTTTTTGCTGCCAGATCAATCATAGTCGTATGTGGTATAAGTTCTTGTCTTACAAGTCTATAATTGTGACAAAAATATGTGAACCTTTCAAAAAGGAAACAAGCATTGAAATGGATTGAAATAATTTTTATTTTTATGCCAATTAAATCCCACAGACATGGTCTTTTGAGGTTATACAAAACAACTTTTTTTTCCTGAGAGGTTTCAATACTAGTAAGAGTGACTGATGGCTGCAAAACACCAATCCATTGATTTACTCTTATTGTATTTTTTCCTCACCTAGAGGGAACATAATCTTTATATTGCTGTCTGATTTAAATTTTTCTTGTTTTGAAATTAAGTTAGTAAAATGACTTGTGTAAAAGTGTAATGTTATTTGGTTCCTTTTCAGTTTTAAAGACTTCTATGAAATGTACCCAGAAAAGTTTCAGAACAAAACTAATGGTGTAACACCTCGTCGATGGCTTCTACTCTGCAATCCTGGATTGTCAGATCTTATCTGTGAGGTGAGGTACTGTTTATTTGCAGGAGAGGGTTCAAATGCCTTGGAGTTCTGGAATTCACAGAGTGGAGGGGATGATCCAGGGTGCTTTCCATTCACCCTTAAATTCTGGAATTTTTTGTTATTAAGTCAAATGGAATGAACCGTTTCAGTTTGGTTGGTTTGACTGGATTGTTTACTTGGAATACTTACACTGGTCTGGTCATTTTGGTCGGTTGGATATGTCCCTTTCCATTTGACAAAAATTCTTATTCCCAGTACCACTCTTCTGCATCCTGCTTACAAGTACAATAACCAATTTATGCATGCTTTTTAAAAGTACAGTCAAACCTTGATTATCCATACCTCGATTATCTGGACTTTTTGATTATCTGGACTTGTTTCCCTGGTCCTGGTGTTTTTCATGAATATTAGTAAGATGTGATCTTGAGAAATTGAAACGATTAAAAGTTCATTAATCCTTCCAAACGTGTGTTCAAAACACTGTTTTAATCTGTTTCTCTTTAAAAAAGCTTGAGCGACACGAGATGAACAATTATTCTGATGTATTCAGCTGAATTCTGATTGGCTCCATATTGTTATGTTGCTAAGGGAATGTCATGCTTGATTCCACGTTGGTTATGTAAACACAAGACCAATCGATCGTAAACTCAAATCACAGCCATGTCTATGCAACGAAAGTAGTCTGTTCTGTTGATAAAGGATAAGCAAACAATTATTTATTATTTCATGTTTGGAGAAAGTCGAAAAAGGAAGAAATTAGCGGTCGAGTTTAAAATCAGCAAGATATACGCAAAAAAAAAACAGATCTCAGATATACGCAAAAACAAACTAGTTAGAAAAAAATTAACTAGTTAGAAAACAAAATTAACTGAGACAAAAAATTATCTACAACATCTACATTATTGTCTCATTAATATTCACATTTTCAGTTATCTGGACTCTCGATTATCCAGACTATTTACTCAAGTCCCAACGAGTCCAGATAATCGAGGTTCAACTATATTATTCAGATCTTCAGTTTTTGAATATTTTTTTTGTCTGACCTTACACATATGTACAATTTGTATTATAGGCATGGGGCAAACTTGAGTTAGACATTGTCCAATAACTAACAAATACTGATGTCAAGGTTGTGCTCTACGAAAAATTGAGGGGAGCCCAGTGCTCTGAACCTGTGAAATCCTGGGTGCTCAGCATATTATTTCTATCGAAAAAGTAACCTTTTCTAGTCGCCCTGGAGCAAATTTAGTTGCCAATGGCTACCGGACACTGCTAGTGCTCACAGCCCTGTATTTGCTTCAGATTTGACTGATGCTAATATTACTTTTGCTTGCTGATTTGTGTGCAAAAGACAAAGAATTTCCATTACAAGAGAGTGGAGTCAATTTCAGGTGAAGAAATTTTCCAAAATCCACTTCAGGGTTGGGGTATGAGGCAAATCCCTTCTTTGTTGGGGTATGGGTGTGTTTTTCAGGAACAAAACAAAATATTATACCACTTGTTAATATAAAGGTCATACATCACATTGCTACTTACAAGTTTGTGTCTTACTCCTTCTTCTATCTCTTTAACAAAATAGATTGCTTTCATTAGTTATTAATTAAGTTTAAAATTATTATTTCATTCGAAATAATTATTTTTATACATAATTTCCTGCAGAAAATTGGCGAGGAATGGATAACTGACTTATCAAAGCTTAGAAGGTTAGAAAAGTTTGTCAAAGACAAGAACTTCAAGCATGCTTTTATGAGAAGCAAGCAGGTAATTAAGAAAAAAAAATGACTTTATAGGTGTAGAACAATTACTAGTGAGGTAACTCTAACTGCTCGGCCACTCCGCCTACCCTCTGTGTGTGACCTTATAGATGGCAGTATTTAATTTGTGACCCACTGGTCCTGCAACTGAGATCAGGGCTGCAAATAACGGACAGCAGGTTGCCGGTCATGATGACCGGCCAAATATTTTTTAGCCCGGACAAACCCCGATTCTGGCCGGTCAAATAATGGATACTAATAATTTTTTTTTGCCTAAGGAATATCCAATTATGCTGGCAATAGATCGTTATTACTACATTGACGTTCACATTTTTGACAGCAAATTGGTGAATAATGTATTCGCATGTTGTAGAGATCCTTTCCGCGGTTTTCGCGCGTTTTAATGTTACGTTCTACCTTGAGTATCATTGCACGGCGGTGTCTGAAGTCTCTAGAGGTAAAAAGTGAAGCGTAAAATCCTTTTCAAACTCCCAAGGTTCAGGAAACGGAATACACATACAGTTCAGCAAACGTTAGAAATTAAGAAAAAAAAAAACAAAAAAATTGGGTTATTTTACAAAATCTGCACACGCTTGTTTTACGTTGATGTTCCGAAATGAACATCGGTGAGACTTGATCTTTTTCCTTGCCTGGCATGTGATTGAAAGTCACTTCCTCAAAGAAGAATCGTCGCTGATATTTTCGGCAAAGTTGATTTGCATTGGCGAGAAGTTTGTTCCACAAACAGCGTGTTGATGATCAGAAGTCAATAAATAAATTTGGGTCATCGCGCAACATTTTATCGCAAAGGGCTCAAATGTCAACAGAAATTTGCATAAAGTTGTTTACATGAACGAGAATCTAGCGCCGCGATAGACGACGACCTTCCCTCTTGAGTAGCTTAAATTTTTATCAGACCATTCTGGAATCGAGTCTGCAAACGAGATTCATGTTCGACATAAAAGAAATTATTATTAATCGATGCGCTAACATTTATTCCCGGAGAAACACAGGACGACCTGTTGAGAATTGCGATAGATTTGCCTGAATTCCTTCGAATTCCCAAAGAAGGTCACATTGCTGATTACAGCAAAGCTGAAAGTACAGTACGACTTGCAACGATGCATTACTTTCCAACTCAGTTTGTTATTCACTTTGTTACGTTAGATTACGACATGACGACATGAAATTAATTTATTGCAGCGTTCTTTTTCTTAGAACGGTTTAGTGCAAAGCAGCAAAAAACGCCAAAGAAAAAAGAAATCATTGCAGCGTTATAGAGCATTAAGCGACAACTGTATGGAAAATAAAGTGTTTGTATCCAAAAATGACCGGTCAAAATGACCGGCAAGACCAGAGTTTGACCGGTCAAGTCCGCGATCAGGCCGGACATTGTCCGTTGACCGGCCGTTATTTGCAGCCCTGGAGATGGTCCAAGTTTATGTCTTGCCAAGTCAATGTCTTGCCCTGATTACCAGCTGGAGTTATGTGATTAGTCCTGAGCTCAACTTCTTGGCTATGGTTGTAAATTAATAGCCTTGAAACTAGTTTGCCAGGCCAGAAATTAATGCTCATAAATTTGTAAAATATGAGGGGTTTTTGGAAGTTGCATGACAAAAGAATATCCTGTAGGAAACGTTTATATTTACTGAAGCATTTTTCCTGTAGAAATCTGAGAAAGAATTTATGGCAGCTGGACTTCTGTTTCTATTTGGGAGTTGGATCTTGATAATTTAATCCAATAAAAGGTGTTAAGCCAGTGAGGGAAACAAGCACTCTTCTAAGTTATGTTAATTGTGATGATGTTATTCAAATGAAAGAAGTGGTAGGTGGGAAGGCTCCAACCATACTCTAACTCGGAGACCTCTTGACTTGGCATGCAATTTTCTTGATTGCAAAATAATTACTGATATGTTGCTTGTTGATCTTTTTATTCTTCAGGAAAACAAGATAAGACTTGCAGACTTCATCAAGCGGCAGTATAAAGTTGAGGTGAATGTGAACTCAATTTTTGATGTCCAAGTAAAGAGGATTCATGAGTACAAGAGACAGCTGATGAACTGCCTTCATGTTATTGTGCTGTACAATAGTGAGTTTATTATTGATTAGCAACTTATTAATTAGTTAATTAATTAATTAATTAAACTTTTCATGACTTTGACTATCCTTGAACTTTCAATTGCTGGAAATGCCCCATTATTTGCTCATACAAGATGGGCTAAAAGTTGGTGGTGGTGAAGTTGCTAAGTTGATAATAAACTCTCTCTTAGCTTGACACCATTCACTCCAGTATTAAGGGACCATCCTTGATAGATTTTTGCCATTCACCCCTGGGAATTTTGCCCAAAAACGCGTTTTGAAGCCAGTTGAGACGTTTTTCTCTGTCTGGCTAAAAAGGGCTAAAGGGTATGGTTTGTAACATATCTTCAGACTTTACCAAAGTTGTCCTTGACCAAAAGCAAATGAATATATTCTGGACAGTTCATGATTTGTTGAACATATTAGCTTTATTTTGTTATAATTTTAATTTTTGGACTATTTTAGTTCATTGGAGTTTCGACGACTCATCGCATTAATTTGTCCAGACTGTCAAAACACATACTATGACATCTTGACTGTCAAAACTGATGGCATGAATGGATGTGGATCCTGCAAGCGGTTCCTGGTTCCTGTGGGCGGTTATGGGTGGTTCTGGTGTGAATGGGTTAAGGTTGTCATTATTAGGAAGGTTTCTGTCAAAAGAGAATTGGCATTATAACTTAACTGCACTCTGTTTTATGTGCAGGGCTTAAAGCAAATCCCAACATGGACTTTGTTCCTCGCACTGTCATGATTGGAGGAAAGGTATGCATTTATTTCTGTACTCACTGGACAAATCATACAATGTACATGCCATTCATTCATTCTTTCTTTTGTCTGTTCATTCATTTGTTCATTATTTTCTGTTTTGTTGTTACATTGTATTTCTCTATACTTCTAGAATAAAAGTAGACTCAATAGGGCAAAGTGCTGCTATTATCAAGTCTAGCCATCAATGCATTTCATAACTTGTTTCTTTTCTGTTAAACAGGCTGCACCAGGCTACTACATGGCCAAACTGATCATTAAACTCTTCAACTGTATTGCCAGAGGTTAGCATTTTCTGCTTTTTACAGTAGTTACATGTAACACTGAGGCTGAGTATAATGATATTATGAAGAACTATGCAGATTGAGGAGCAGATTATAACCCCCAAGATCCAATTCGTCGCAACAAGTTAAACAAATGCCAAATTCAATATTCAGTCTACCTATTTGCCAGTGATTTTTGGTGTATTCCTGTCATTATTTTTTTGAATCAGTAATTATAATTTATTATAATTTCCCTTATTCATCTTTCCTAACCTTGCCCCAGTTGTTCAAACATAAGAGAGCATTAATTTATCTATCCAATGGATATTTACTATCCAGTGGGTAAATTTTAGGGAAGTCAGAGATTTATCTAGTGAATAGCACTTTTTGACCTTTTGAACAGCTGGGGCCAGAGGTTCTGAAAGTGTGGATTTTATACCAGCAATCTGAAAAGATTCTATTAGATCAATCAGCTTGGAAGCTTAAATGTAGCCTCTTCATTATTTGTTCTTCTTTACAATGTATTCATTACATGAGAATTTATACAGTCAGTTAGCTAAAATATTCTTGTATTTTGTACTGTTTAGTGATAAACAATGATCCAATCATTGGAGACAAACTCAAGCTTGTGTTCCTCGACAACTACAGAGTGTCTCTTGCTGAGAAGGGTATCCTTTGAGAACTCGCATATATTAGTACAATGTGTAATCTTGCCCTTTGTACTTTGTGTTATAAAGAACGTTGATGTGTTGATAAAATTATGCTGGGAAAATTCAAGGTGATTGAGTATTTCTGCTCGTCCCCAAAGATTTTCCTTGTTGAGGAAAATCTCTGAGTCTGAGTCTTTTGTTTTATGAGGAGGAATACTCTGGATCCAAGCATTAAGAGGAGTTGTACTGAGAAAAATCTATTGCCAACTGTTCAAGTTTTATCATTTATTGCTGGGCATTATCTCAGACTGTCATAACAGAAATCAGGATCATCTCACTGAATAGAAACATTCCCAATTTTTCTGGATTTTCGCCAGGGAAGCTCAGTCATTTGGGATTTTCCCAGTGTATGCAAACCAGGGTAAGCAGACGTGTGATGTGTGCCTTACTGGAAAATACAGTTCAGGTGTTTCTTGAACTCTAAGATCAGTGATGAACTTGAGTCCCTTGATTTTAGAAAATTAATAAGGGCACAATATATAGGTATTAATATTAACTTAACTGTTTAACACTTTTGAGTCAATACTATTATTCTGTGTTGTGGTCTGTGAAAGTTCCTTCCCTTCCTTTGTTGATTTTTGTTGTACCCATTTAGCAAGTAATTTCAATTATGTTTCTCTAGCTGAAATATTTAGGGTGATCAATTCTAGAAAATATCCTTATCTCCCCCTTGGAAGGAAGTCTTAGAAATTAATTGAAAATTCTAATTCTGGAATTCCAATTATCTTTATGTTCTACGTGTCAGTGGTGATTGTAAGAATTGTTTGGAGTTAGATACACTGTAAATAACATTTAATGTTATTTAAGAAATCCATTGGACTTAATAATAGTTTGCCATTATTTCCTTAACTGTCATTCAGTAATTCCTGCTGCTGACTTGTCTGAACAGGTAAGAAATGAGAGTTTTTATTCATCTCTATTTCCCTATCCTATGAGTACAGCAGTTTCTCCTGGCTCCTTGCTGCTAGGAACGTTTTGCGGGAGAGATATCTGTGATTCAGCTCCCAAAATTCCATACTGATGATGTAGATTAAGGGTGGAATCTGGTCAAGAAGTGCTGATTGGTTGACGCAATACTTTAATTATTTTAAAGTAAGTATAAGGGTGTAGTGGAACAAGATTTTTGTTGGTTTTCTCAGGTCAAATTTACATGAATGATTTCTTTTTCATTATAATGTAACTGGCAGTGACCTGCCTGACTGAATCTTGCTCATTTTTACCTTAACTGTCACACGCAGTACAAGGGTGGGCTTCCAAATGGGTTTTTATGGGTGGCGGAGATCTAAATGTTAAGGTTGAATCATATTAAGAATCATTATCAACGCTTTAATTTAATTGCCCTGTTTTTGTTTTTCTTTCTTTACCTGAAAATTGCAGATATCCTTGGCAGGCACAGAAGCTTCTGGAACTGGAAACATGAAATTCATGGTAAGATTATGATAATGCTGAATAAAAATTAATAATGATCATCATCATAATCTTGATCATAGAGTACACTTAGTATTCTAAAAGATAAACTTATGACTTTCTCCTCAGTCAAGCTTTTGTTGGTCTGCAGCAAATTATTCTTAAACTTGTAAAGTTGAAATTTAAAGAACCCTAATTTTGTTTCAATTAATGGTTACAAAAAAATGCAAAATATAAATATCATTACCCAGAATTTCTGGATGAAAGTCTAGCCACAATAAGTTGCTGAACTTTGCCTTGTGTGCATTTTAGATGAATGGAGCCTTAACTATTGGTACCCTGGATGGAGCCAATGTTGAAATGAAAGAAGAGATGGGAAGCGAGAACATTTTCATCTTTGGTATGACAGTTGAAGAGGTGGATGCTCTCAGAGCAAAAGGGTAAGGAACTTTTTACCAATTTTCTGCAACAATAATACTGATTTAGGACATTGTTACTGTTAGTTACAGTGCTGGAATTTTTTTGGATTTATAATAAAGTTACTCCAACTCCAGTGCCTGCTAAACAACACATGAGTATTTGACACTAATTAGAAATAATATTTTATAGTTCTTACATGTGCTTATTTATTATTACCAGCAATAATTGAAAATTAAGGGAACAGGGTCCGGCAGTGATTTCATTGGACCATTCCTGTGATTTTTGTGCAAAAAAGGCTAAATCTTGAAACCGAATCAGAACATAAATACCAGTTCCTGGCGGAGGAAAGGCTCCTGTTACAGAGAAACATGTCATGAGGGATTGCAGATTAGGAATGCATCTGTTGGACACAATTATCATTGCTGTGATTATTTTATTGACTCTAATAGTACAATATAAGTAGCTCTTAAGTTAAATGATTAACAGGGCTTTCAAGATATGTGTGCCTCCAACTGTAAGGGCGACTTTACTATAATTTTATTACAGTAGTTGGGTGTGATAAAATGCCTCCTGTGAAGTTTTCTACTCATAGAATCAATGTTTTTCTTTAATATCTCTTGTTTAGCTACCGAGCAATGGATTATTATGAAAACAACAGTGAGCTCAGGAAAGCTATCAACCAGATCAGAGATAACTACTTCTCACCTACTGAACCTGGTGTTTTTCAAGACATTGTCAATTCTTTGCTTCATCATGACAGGTTAGTTAGAACATAGATCCTAATAATATATTCTTGAGGAGGATTGGAAGGATTAGCACAGTTGGTTAGTGTGTATGTGTGCCTTCTGTGTACGTGAAGGAGGTCTCAAGTCAGATAACTAGTTTGTGCTTTTGACGTAAAATAAGGACTCTTTACCTTGAACCTTTACCAGAGCTGTCCCTAGGATCCAGGAGCTGAGGATTTTCTGCGGCTATTATGAGCGCAAACCCTGGCTACTCTTACAGGAAACAAAAAGAAAATAGAACCAAGAGAAGCTCCTAGCTGTACTATTCCCCTCCTGCTTAATGCATTTTGCCACTTTGAGGTTGCGCCGGAGATTGGGTCGAGATGGGCAAGGGCATTGTGTTTTGTCCCCCAAAACAGTCCCACAGTGCACTTTGACAACCATCTCAACCTGGTCTCCTGCAACACCTCAAAGTGGTGAATACTTGGCAACTTGAAATTTTAGCAACAGTCCCGCTTTACCTGGATCCTTAAATAGAATGAAGCATTTAAACAAGACTGGTTTTTGCGATAGCATCGAATGCTTCCCCTCAATAATTGTCTGCTCTCCCTCAGACCTCCTGCTTTCATTTCTGCCTTCTGCATCTTCCCTGGGTTCACATACCCTTGCACATCTTCCTTCACTCTTTTTCTGAAAGTTGCAGCTTTGTTTTGTTTTCTGTTTCTTTTGCAGATTTCTTCTTATGGCTGATTTTGATGCCTACCTTAAATGTCAAGAGCGAGTCAGTGAGGCATTTGAGGTAAGCATAACAACATCTTTTAATACATGCTTATCAGTGTAATAATGAAAATAGTTAGAAATAAACATTATTATTAAAGAGTATCATTATTTTGCCGTACCAAAATGCTTCTGTGGTTATAAGCTTAAAATTGTATGTTGGATTTGTTGACATCGTATTTTAAGTGAAGAATGGTGCATTGATTTTCAATTACCAGCAAACAATCAGACCTCTAATTCCTAGATATGATACAGTAACATACAGTAAGCATTCTTTATGATGTCTTGAGCCTAGTTTATGGGGAAAGGTACTTTCTGTTGTGAGATCTTTGAGAACTTAAAATCTGTAAATGTGATGTAAGTTCAATGGTAGATTATGGATGTAGGGGCTGTTCTCTCTGCCCATCTTCTTCAGCCCCGTAGAATGCTTCTTAAATAATGGTAATGATGTTTTCTTCCAGGATCCAGATCACTGGTTCACCATGGCTATCTTAAACGTGGCATCCTCTGGTAAATTCTCTAGTGACAGAACCATCAGGCAGTATGCAGAGGAGATATGGAACGTCAAAGCTATGGGTGTTAATGACGTGAAGCCCGTTAACATTAAATAAGCAACTCTTCAGTTGGCTTCCCTGTATTCTGTACAGAAGAAAAGGGCACAGGAATGTGCTGTCATTCTTAATTGTGGATTGTTGTGGTTGTTAAAACAGCAAGTTATAGGTTTATCTGTGGTTTGAAAAATGAATGAGTAGTAAGAAAAGTATTGTAAATCCCGTGGCTCCATGGGACTCATCTCAATTAACCATTTTAGCCTCAATAGTGACCAGTATCCAATTTCTCCCAACACAAACACTGCCTGATCAAACTTACAGGTCATGAGAATGATGAAATGATCACCAAAGGTGAAAATTGATGTCTTCTTGATAACTGAACAAAATAATTATCTCAAGCAGTGCCATGAGAAATGTATAAAGAACAGTGTGGATAGTATACATGGTTATATTGAGGCTTAAAGGGTTTTAAGTAAATAATATTATTGTTTTGTGTTTGTCACTAGTAATTATGACTGCTTAGTTATCATCAGTAGGATTAAGGTTATTGAAAATTTACGAAATGTGTTAAAAAAAACTGTAACTTTTCGACCCCCTCCCCTTTTGCGAAAAAATTCATAGTGGTGGCCAGAGAAGTAGTCAGAGTGGGCAAACCACGTGAATTGCTTTAACCCATTCGCCCCTGGAGATTTTGCTGAAAAACGCGCTTTAAAGCTAGTGGAGCAGTTTTCTGGGCGAGGGGTGTGTGCCCGTAATCAGTCTTACCTCTTGAAAGGGGCATACCCACCCAGCCTTTTTTGCAAAGGGGGATCAGGGAGGGGTTCAACTCATATTAAATAAGTCAACTGGAAATCTAAGGGTGGTTTCCATTCAACGCAAAATTCTGTACATTTCGGTTGGTACATCAAATGGAATGGACCATTGCTGTTTGCATTGGTAGGACCAGAATATTCGGGAGCGGCTTTGAAGATGGTCCTCTTTGACTGGTCTGGTCATTTTAATCAGTTGGACTGAAATGTTCCTTAATTTTCCATTTCACAAAATTGTTGTCCCCAGAACCGCTCTTTTGTATCCTGTTTACAAGAACAGTGAGCAAACATGCAATGGCTTGGATTGGGTCTGTGCAACTGGAATGTACATAATTGTACAGTTCCATTGGGCTCGTGGAATTCCCGAAATTGCAAACCGGAATTTTTGTTGAATGGAACGTGCCCTAAGTTTTCTTTAAAGAACCCAATTAGGATAGATCTCTGCATCGATTGAAAACAGAAGTCACTCATGGGTACTGCCAAAGGCAAGATGGTTAACTTGCAAAAAAAAAGTAACATTAGGGTAGTAGCTAATACACTGTCATGCCATAGGTAACTTGCTGTTGCAGACTCATGAATTTTACAGTTAAAAGTAAAAACAATTAGGATATAACAAACAGCCAGGTCAAGTTAGTGCTTTTTTGTGTCAAACCTTTGAATATTTAATGATGATTATTTTGGTTAGTAAATTAAATTTTCCTCACAAAAGATGTGGTGTAACACTAAAAATCTTTACACTGTGGAATTAGCAGTACATCTTTTGAGTATTCAGGGCTATTGCTAAGGGTTGGGGACCAGGAATGTCGCTAAGAGCCCGCTGCCAGCTTTTTCACTGGCTTAAAAGGAGCTCACCACCGGTTCAAATTGCTCTGGAAAACAATGACCTGGACGAATACTATTTTGAAGGTGCAGTTGAGTAAAAAAGCCAACTTGATTATTAAAAAAGCCTGCTTAGCTTTTCCTTATCTACATCCCTGGGATTTTTCCTGGCTACTTTGAGCATGCCCTTCGGCTACTTTCATCATGAACAAGACAAAAACAGAACCAAAAGAACTTCCTAACTATTTAATTTCCCCCTGACTTACTAAAGCGCTTAAACAACGACAATGGCGACGGCTACGAAAATGTCACTTAAAAAGTGAATTCGCACTGCTTGATTGCGCTTATCCCATCTCGTTCAGTTCGTCAAATGTTGGCAATTTTTTCTGGGGTTGAATTCTAACAGACTATCAAAGTTCAGGAAAAGAAAAAGAAAGTCTTTGTATGTGTTCACGTCCTCCACAAAACGTGAAATTTGGTATTTTCACGTCGTAGTCGTGCAGTGATGGCAAAGAAATGTATAAGAGTTGCTGTTCTGCTCATCTAAAGCTATTCTGATATTAGGGTAGAACCCATTTCCTAACAATTTCTTATAGTGATGGTATAAATGATAGGTGTATGTTTTTTGAAAGTGATTATGACATTAAAAAAGAATGATCTTTTATGAAATAATTTGGGGTTGCTAATTGCTCCTGTATAATTAAAGGAAAATCTAGGCCCTTTACCTCAACCATTTTCATGTCCTTAAACACCTATCCTTCAGCATTATTATACCCTTCCATGGCTTTTTCAACCTTTGACTTAGACTGTGACCAGTTGGTGAAAATTAGTCAATGCGACTGGAAAGAAAGCCGTAGAATCTGTCAAATTTGAAAGAGATTTGTTGAAATCTAAGGAAGGTAGAGCCCCACAAAGTAGTGGAATTTGACGTAGTGGGGGGATGTTTGTATGCTGGGGGGGGGGGCAAGGTTGTACCCCCCACCATACAAATGTGTAAAATTTCATGGCTTTGTGGAGCTACTGTAAAATTCCGAAAATAAACCCCTCCATGTATAAGCCCCTTCAAATATAAGCCCCCCAAACTCGTAATGCCAAAAACCCTCCGTTAAATCACCCCTCCAAATATATGCCCCCCAGGGGCTTGTACTTGGAAATTGCCCTCAAATACAAACTAAAATAAAGCAAAAACAGTCAATTTACTTCCAACTGCAAGGCTAGCCCAATCGATTTTGAAATGCAAATTTCCCTCCATAGATAAGCCCCTCCGAATAAAAGCCCCTCCAAAAATAAGCCCCTCAATTCAAAAAGGGCCTTTGAAAAACATAAGCCCCGGGCTTATTTTCGGAATTTTACAGTTTATCTTCCCTCTCTTTGGATGCATCACCTTCAAACTTCTACTCTCTCTTGCAATGTTGATGGATATTTGCTTGCTTCAAAAAAAAAAGGGTCTATTAAAGTAAACCTGAGAATACAGTCAACATAGTGAGGGCTGTCATAGTGAGGGCTGTCATAGTGTTCATAGGGACACTCATTGCCATCTTAGTTTCTTCAAAGTGACCTATTCCCCATAAAAATTGAGCCTGTTCATAGGCTAGATGACATTTGTTTCTAACAAATTACCATTTTGTTACCCCATCATTTTGTTTTTAGGCCCTTCAAAGTGATGGCTTTTCTATAACACAAGGGAACATTCAAGAGTGCAATTTGCATGCGTTGAGAAAAATTGAAGGGCCAGCCCAGTGCTAAACACCAAAAGAAAATCATTAACATCTTCTCCTAAAAAAAGCAATTCATTTTTTCAAAAAATTTTTGTCACATTTGTTTCTATCTTGTCACCCTCCTCCAAAATTACCTAAAAATTTTGTTACCCCATTAGTTAAAATTTAAATTTTGCTGTCTTGCGACATCATTTTTCTGCCAAAACTCGTTAAAATCAAAAAAACAAAAAACATAATTATGATCATTAACAATGATAATTATGAACATAATTATGATTAATTCATAATTATGAGCATAATTATGAATTTTTGGAATACAAAATTCCACCATCCTGCAAACGTTGAGCTCAAATGGATAAAAACTGCAAAAGTAGTTCCTAAGTGGCCACATTTGGCGTCCTGTTTGCCCACCGTGAAAAGGAAAAGCATTAAAGAGAAGTTTCTTTAAAAAAAGATTATGCGCAGGGACAGCATGAACAATGATGTACATTTTTTCATGCCCTCCCCTGGTTTACACATCTTGTGCCCATATGCACACCTTGTGCTTGCATTTCCTTTCCTGTAACAAGCAGTAAATATACTGTCACTTGTTCTGTAGAATACTATGGTAAGCCAGAACACTTAACAGTAAATAGTACCTTTGAACTCACTGTCAGTAAAAGAGTAAGTTTTGATGCCCTTGGGGCTTTATTGTGTCACTGTGGCTAAAATTACAAAAATGATAAATAAATAATAGGATATAAGTTAGAAATCATAATCTGAATAGCTAAGAATGTAAAAATGAGAGCACTTTCTCACAACATAATAGATGTGGTTAAATATTTTAAAATACAGTAAAATTAAATAACTTCAACGCACCGCTTGTTTGACATTAAATTTCCATACACTTGCCATGTCAAAGGGAATATTCTGGCATTGATTGTATGCACAATACAATCAAAGTTGTCTAATATCGATCCCAGTTCCTAACTTGAAAAAAAAAAAAATAATAATAATACTGAAAATGTTTTGGTATGCCTATCTATTACAATTAATAATCCCTACATGTCCCCTATACTATCCTAAATGGACTCCAGATAGTTCTCGACAGCATTTTTGCTATCATTGTAGTATTTCAAGACACGGTCAAATTCTTTTGGTTCTAGGTCAACAAGATCAATACTGTAATGAAATATATCACCAGCTCTTGTTTCAACCATTGATGCAGTGGACATACTTTTGTTAGGTATTTTCTGAAATGCTATCATGACGGATGAATCCTTTGCAGTACTTGCAACAGCAAATTTAAAGATTCTAAGAACTGCATCATGCAAATTATGACTGTCTTGAAAATCAGAGTACAAAACTGAAGTTTTCCCTGTCTCAAAGGAAACACTGGAAGTATTGTGTGATAAGCCGTGGGTAGTTCCATTGATGGAAGCTACTGCTTTCCACAGAGGTGAAGTGTAAGGGCCATTGACACCCAGTCTGTCCCTGACACCAGGGTTACACTCAAAATGTCTCATGACTTTCTTATACAGTTCATAAATTCCTTCTACATCCATATCATCTAGTTTCTGCAATGACAAGAGACATTTCAAGACTCCTTCAGGTCCAAACTGAAAGTTATTGAAATTATAGATGCTTTGTATATCGCTTTTTGGCTTGGAATACTTGCTTCCTTTGCATCGCTGAGAAGTTGGTAATCTGTTGACTTGGCCCAGTGATGTTGTTCCTTTCCTTGAGTCACTTATAAGGATCTCAAGTACAATGCCCAAGAATCTTTGAGTTAAGAAACCCACAGTCCCACATTTATGACTCTCTTTAGTTGGGGTATTTTTTCTCTCACGCACATCTTTTATTGGAGCATCCTGCTGACCTTCAGCCGCAGACCCACAGCCCTCGGTGGTCACATTGTCCTGGCAGCTTCCATACTTTCTATTCTCACAATCCTGACATTTGGTACTGTCTGCAGATGCACCCTGTTCACATTTGATGCAGTTTGTAGTCACACAATCCCCAAAATTGTAGCTACCTGTTGTCACGCCATCTCTACACTTTTCAACTGCCATCACATCTTTGTCTGAACTGTCCATTTCCTGTAAAATTTCTTCAAAGTACATTTCAGCACAGCACACCTTGCCAAGCTGAATCGCTTCATTTACCAACTCTTCAGTAAACATTGCTTTGCCGTTGCAGAAAACACGCAAGTTATTTTGTGGGTCTGAAACCAAGCATTCCAAGGAGTACATGACCCTTCTTGAATCTCTTGAAAACAAATCCAAAGGGCAATACTTGCTTTTTCTTTTATATCTCCCTTCTTTGACCTTTGATGCCTGTAACATGCAGTAATGGCAGACAGAGTACTTTATGTCTCTGCTTGGATCAATGTAAGGTGAAACAGGGAGAAATCCGCATTTTGGTTTGATCTCCACTGAAAAAGTTGGATTTTCAGCTTCAGTTATACCCATTGATTCTTTAGAAGGCGGAGAGGACAGAGAGTCATTTGAAACAAAACAAAAGTCCGGCATAACGACACCAACAGAACAACTGCCATCAATTTCTTTATTCAACCTGTGTTTTGGACGATAACCTTGGCAGATTTCAGTCATTGCAAATATAAAATCTCGTGGAATAGAAACGACCTCTCCAATATGCACATAACGATGTCCCATAAGCGGTGTCACAACGTGTCTCATAAAATCAAGGTTGTGCGATGATTCCCTTACACAATCTTCATCTTTCAATCCAGACGATTGTTTACATTCCTTCTTTCTTAGCCGCAGAACTTTTCTCACTTTAGTAGAAGATACCACTATAGTCCAAGCTCCTTCGCAACGATAAGTCCAATCCCTTGGATTGCTAAAGTACTCAACGATGTTTAAATTTTTCGGCGGGATATCTAAAGGATTCTGAGCGGCCATGTTGGAATACAAATTGCGGTACACCTCATGGGCGCGTACATGACCCCTAGAAGTTAACGTTATATTTTGTGTTGAATACAGCCGTTGAATACATGACTGCAATACCAGTACCACGTGGGACATTTCCAATATGGCGGACAAAAAGACCCAGAATATCAAGAGAAAAAGGAAATTGAGGTCAAAAAATCAAGACGATTTTTCGTTAGAAGATGTGCTTGCATTAGGCGGAGATAAGGTCCGTGACATTTGCTCTCTTGAAGTCGCAAGATGCAATTCTAACAACTCCTGAATTGAAAATCCTTTATCTGGTTGTACGTACCTGGAATTTTGAGTTTATATTTCATATTTTTCTATATGTGTCAGGATGACTTCGAAATGATAAAGGACTTGGATGTATCAGGTGATTATGTTGCTGGTGAGGAGAATTCTGGAATTATAGAAACAAAAGAGGTAACTGAAGAATGTTTAAGCTAAATATATGAGGACTTATTATTTATGTTTGATATCAATTCAACTGTACAGACTGTGCACTGAAATCGTTTAAAAATTGTAAGTTTTGTTAAGCATGGACCACCTGATAGTAAAGTGTGTCCTGTTTGTCCCCTAGATAGTGTCATTCATAAAGGATCTTGGCTTGGACAAGCTTCACTTCAAAGAAGAAAATGTCAGGTAAATACAAATTTGTGGATGAATTCCCTTTTGAGTACCTGGCCATGGGAAGCCAGAGAAAATCAAGGTCCAGTTCAAGCTATCAAAACAGTGGCGGATGCAGGGGAGGGACCCAGCCCCTGCCCCCCGCCCCCTTACTTTTAAGTCCACACTGAGGCTCGAAGGGCTGAAAAAAATTTTTCTGAAGGTTCGGATACACCACTGCATTTCTTAGGGGTTCGTAACACGTTCGTGGGAGAGGAATGATTGCGTGACGAATCCGTAAGAACATCTGAGTGGGAGGCTACTGCAAAAGGCAGTTTGCTTCTTTTGCAATAAGGTAGACTTACATTGTATTGTTTATAAATACAGTTTCTTGCTAGGAATGTGACTTTAATAGGGACCCCAGGGCCCTCTCTGAAGGCCCTGGTAAGGTATAATTTTAGACAAGCAACATGGCCTTGAAACAGTGACAACAGTGATTATAGAACAGGAGAAATGATAACAAACAAGACAAAGATGGTTTGCAACTGTTACAGCAACAGAAGTGCAAATACAATAGTAAAATACAAACAGCGACGTGGCCTCCTCCTCAATACGCGAAACAACAGGTTTTGAAATTCAGACTGGGGACCTATGTAACCCCCCTAAGAGGGCCTCTCTCTCCGCTGAAAAGTGATTGGCCGGGTTAAAAGTTAGAAGGAGTGTAACTCTTATTAGTATTCACCAAATCAGTGGATAGCTAGCAATTTTTGCACATTCTGATTGGCTCCCGTAACTTGGAATATCCTTGGATATTCACTGTTTTGGAATGGGGTTCAAAATGGCATCTTGCCTTGTGACAGTTTCGAAAGATGCAATTTTAGTGGTAAATGCAGCAGCTGTACCAACAAATACCAAGGAAGAGGCCACATTTGGCTTGCCAGTGTTTACAGGTTGATAGAAAAAAATTTTCTCACTGAATTTGCAACAAAATCATAAAAAATAATCCCCGAAACACTGTCAATTATTGGTAAACAAACTCTTGCTAAAGGGCGTCTTTTATTTACAAAAAGGTTCCTTTTTTTATTTTTATCCAACTGATTTGGTAAATATTATACTAAAACAACTATCCCCCTCAGGGTCGGTTCATAGCGCTAGATATATACCTTGACACTTTGCGCCTTGATATATATCCACCACTATCCATCTCCCCTTCGGGGGATAGTTGTATACTGTTCCATGATATATTTATATATATTTGTCATTAATAATAAATAAATGAATAAACAAATAAATTAGTCAAGGCAATGGGAGTCATGTAGGGCCATATTTCCACCTTCCCCTTCGATCAATGATTAATAATAATTATTAGTGTCTCTTTTCCTTTGACAGAGAGGGCATTGGAGAAGAAAAAAATAGCAAATCAAGGAACCAGCCTGGCAATACAGAAATTCCTAAGAGTAATCTTGACGAAAAAGAACCAAAGAGAAAGAAGGAAAAGAAAAATAAATCTAAAAGTGATGCAAATCAGAAACAATCTGCAGATTCTAAGAAAGTTTTATCTGATGTTGCCCAAGTACCTTCATCTGACAAGAAGCTGGTCCTTCCTGAAAGGAGACAGGGTCCACATGAGAAGTTACTTATTACTCCTGGTGGGTTGTGGTATGATCTGGTAAGTATTCAAGGGGATTATCTTAATCATGAAAGACGGGTTCCAGGAAAAACTTCCAAATGACTTCTGATCAACTCACTGCTAGGTTCATCCAACTATACATTGTATTTTTTGTGAAACACAAAGAAAGAATTTTTACATCTACAAGCCACTTTATAATTTTTAGGGCCTTGCTCCACATGCATCCTTTTATTTAATATTGATTTTAGGTTACCTGACATGTATTTTCTGTGCTAAAATAGTTGGGCTGCCATGTTCCATGTAACATGCCCCCCCCCCCCCTGTTCATCCCTTTAATGTCCATGAGCTTTTACATTGTTAAGACTTGAAGGTTCTTTTGACCAGACTTTTTTGAAAATGGACAGATTGATGCTCACCTCAGAAAATAATGTGGAATTTTCCTTGGGACCCCCTGATCATGAATTAGATATTTACAGTGAATGAACAACCTGCTTTCTTGTTGAATTGATAAACTTTTTGACATCTGTTAGCTTTTTTCAGATACTTTCAAGGCAAGCTTGGTGGGTCAATGTTTAAAAAAAGCAGTCAAAATCGAAGATGTTTTGCAGGCATAACCATGCAACATTAAGGAGTAAATCAAAGGGAATCTTTCAGAGGCACATTTTGGCTTTCAAAACAATCATCTTAGGTTCTAATTTTTATGCCACAAAAATTATTGTGTGTGTAGAACCCCTAAAAAAAATGTCCAAAACTTTGACAAGTGGCAGCATAGTAGTAGAACCTTCCCTGTAAATTATTTAAGCAATTGATGAGTATTTTTGCTGTAGATTGTGGAAGAGAAAACCACCCAGCTGCCTCCAAGTCCTGCAGATGTTACCCAGCTCTCTGCGGAAGCAGCAGAACTTCTGGCAAATGAAGTTCGACTCTTTGAAAAAAGTTAGTGCATAGCAGTGAAGCTGAAAACAATCTTTAAACTTTTCCATGTATTTCCTCTATGTACAATGTGTATTTGAATTGAAACTTTTAAGTTCAATTGAATTGTTCAGCAACACAGTAAGCCATGGTCATCTCTTGTCTTGTAGTGAAAGCTAAAGAGAAATCATCAGATTCACAATGGTTAAGATCAGTTGTCAGCTCAGGGACATTGAAAGATAAAGTTGCTGCTCTTACTATCCAAGTGCAGGTGAGTTTTTTTTAATAATTGTGATGTTATAATCCTTACTTCTGAATTATTGTTTTATTTATTAATTTTTTTTACTATAAAATTTTCTCACTTCAGTTTTCTCATGATCTAGGTAGTCTGGAATGACTACATTTACTGTTGATTGACTTAGCTTTTCCAAGTGTACCTTATATATCTGTCTCTGAATTTATTTATTTATTTTTTGTTATGCATGTGTGAATTTTGATAGTAGTTCCAAGATAGGAGCTGAATGTTTCAACACTGAGTCCAGAACTTTAATAGCTTGGAGTCTAACTGTCGTTTGCAATGCATATGCTGTCAATTTTGTTTTATTTTCTAGGAATCTGCTGTACATCGTCTGAAAGTTTTGGATATGTTAATTAATATGGCTAAGAAGAAAGGAAGGAGAGAGAGTATTATAGCCGTAGGTTAGTAGCATGGGTGTAACAGAGAACTTTTATTAGCAACTGAGACTGGGGTAGAGAGTGGCTAGAAAAATACTTCAGGAACAAAAACAATGCATCTAGATGTACAGCTGTCTAGAGAATACAGACCTTGATAACACAGACCACAGACCTCAGACCCAGGCTGTATCCAAGCAAATGAGATGTAGTTTCATGCAATTTCCAGTTGTCATATGCAATACACTAAGTTAGTTTTGAGGACAATTTGAACACAAATATGAAAGCCTTCTCTCCTAGTTTAAAACCTGGAATTTTTCTGTGTGTGTGGTCATAGCTGTAGGAATGGTGAGGACAGGTGGGCCTCCCTTGCCTTCCCCTCTTGCCTCCAACCCTTTTTTGGGAAAATATTCTTGAAAAAAGACTTTATTTTTTAAGGACTCAGGCAACTGCGTATGCCACTGGCACTTCAACCTTTGTGCCCTCTCACTTACAAGTTCTTTTCTATGTGCCTGGGCCTGGTTGTTCAAAAGATGGATCACTATCCACTAGATTAATCACTATCCAGTGGATAGGTATGAGGAAAATGAATTGTGCTATCCAGTGGATAGAGATTTATTTAAAGGATAGCGTTATTCACCTTTTGAACAACTGGGATCAGGTAATTGTTTGACTTTAAATTCCTTTCTCCTCAAGTCAGTTCCCTGCTCAAAGCAGTGAACAACAACAACAACAACAACAAAAACAGAGACAGATTGAGAGAGAGGTGGTTCTTATTGCTGTTGTAGACCTCCAAACAAATGGAATTGACTATAAGCAAGGTTACTTTAAGTAAGAAGAGAGTGTTTTTTGTGTTCATTTTTTTGCATATTCTCAGATATGTTGAAAGAACTTTGGATGACACTGCTGTTGCCAGACAGTCGCAAGTTGAAAACGTTTGGTCAGGTTTGTGAGTTTAATTTTGCCTAGCTACAGTTATTTTCACGATTATAAAGGCTGCTAGTTCCCTGTTAGGTCTTTTCCCTTTGAATATGCCACTCTTTTTGTTGTGTTAATTATTGTGATAAATTGCGTGACTGAGCATACGAAATTTATCGTGGAAAAATCAATCAGAAGGCTCTCTGTGGCCCCAAATGGAATTCCATATTGAGAAAATCAGACATTTTTCAGTTGAATTCCTTCTGAAAAGTGAAAACCAAACCAAACCAAACTTGATGGCCATTCACAACACACACGTAAATTCAAGTGCATCAATCAGGATCCTTGAAGCAAGCACAGGTAGCTGGGGCAATTCAGGGGTTTAACTTCTGATTTGTTGAGAAAGTGGCGTGAGAATTGTAGCCAATGACAAGGAGTTACAATGTATTTTTTTAATCACGTTTTTTAATTATAACTTTCTGTGCGCTTACTGAAGTCAATCCACGTTAATGTTGTCTAGCGTATGGGTTAGGTTAAGTATGTTTGCTATCTGGTTTTTGGTTTCAGCAACCTTTAGCGTCTTTAGTCGATATTGTCAGCAAAGGAGGAGGCTGGGATGAACGGGACAGGCGTCTTATCCTCTGGCATTTTGAAGAATTACTCAAACAACGATATAAGGAGTACGTTGGAGTTGTCGAGGTAAGCCATGCAAGGGATTTTAAATATGGAATGAATAATTAATTCACTGTGCTTTCTATGCGCTCTTTCACCTCGAGTAGAATTTCACCTGCAGTTCAGGTGGTAAAGACAACTGACAGCAGGAAGAAAACAGAGCAGAAAAAGCCTCGCGAGGGCTGGTTAGAAGGCAGTGATTTTGTTACCTCTGCGTCCTGTGTCCCTGACGCATAAAAATTTCCAAAGACGCAAAATAATTTGTGGCATGCATCCTGCAGGACGCTCACGCAAAGATCGAGTGATCGATCTGAAGATATTTTTTTTAGAATATCCTGTTTGTATGATTTCTGTGGCTGTTACTGTGGCTGTTGTTAGACGACCCTTATTTCTTTTAGTCTTGTTGTGCTTTACAATGGAAGAAGTATATTTTTATTTCAGTAAACTGTAATACGGAGTTTTGAAGTCTGTCTTCAGATTAACTGTGACTCAATGGCTCTGGACTGGGACACATAAGTTTTCACAAGAAGAGTCCCAAGACTCGCCGTAACATTACAGTCTCCATTTCGTACCGCTCCCCATTATCTGAACACTAAAAACAGGCTACGTTTAGGGAGCAGGGCGACGGCAACGAGAATTGAAAAATAAAAGAAGTAAATAAATAAATAGATAACAAGCCTAATGAGTGGCAAAAAACAATAACCACAACAACAACAACAACAAAAACAAAAACAAAACGACTCTGCACGTGCATTACAATTTAGGTTCATTTCGTTGACGTCATTGCAAGATTACAGGTCGGTTTACCTGTTACAATTTGTCGGCCCGATGTGCGTCTTGCGACTGATTTGTAAAGAAAAGCATTTATGGTGGGCACAAAACTCGGCCCGACTTTAATTTGTAGCTAGTATCGGCCCTATGGTAGACCTGTCGGTATTTATCTTTGCGTTTCCTTCAATTAGAAAGATCGTCCAATAAATCGTATCGTTAGTAAATTGGCTTTTAATTTAGGCCGACAGATGGCGCCGGAAATTCGTGTCGTGTAAACTGGCCTTGCGACGTAAAGTGTTCAAATGAGGAGTGGTTTCTGAGGAGAACACACGAGGACAAATTTTCCCTTTCCTTTTTGAACTTAAATGGGCTCCTTTTGACTTCATTTCCAGTAAATTTTGACTGAATATGATTTCGATAAATTTGGAGAGAAAGCGAATTCACGTAGTGTTATAAAATACGTTTTTACGTGCCGTCGCCTCAGTCGATGTTTTTAAGTTCCCTATTAGAAGTTACAGGTTCATACAGACAATAGCTAGGCCATTTCTGAGTTTCTTCGGGCCTAAATCAAAACGAGGTTAAGTGCTCCGCCTTTGATATGTAAATGGTTTTTCATTCTAATAAAAAAAACTCGTTTTCACAGGAAAGGTTGTGCTCTTGGCCTCATTTTGAAAATGAGGGTCTTTGGTACTCGGAAGTGGCCTATTGCGGATAAAAGTTTTAGTGACAATGGTCATTTTTCCTTTGTATGCAGAATCTTCTTCACGATACTTTGGTAAACATCAGAAGCAAGATTTTAGGTGAGTAAAGAACTGGCCTAGAATTCGCTATCTAATAAGCTGGAGTCCAAATGGTAGTAAATGTAAAATATTTCCAGATTAGATACAAAAGGACAGACTTTTTTTGGTCCTAAAACTTTCATTGCGCCTAAAACTTTCAGTATTTGAAGTGCGTAATTATTGCGCCTTACCGCCCCACCCCAGCACCCACCTCCAAGAAAAAAAACCGCTCTTATCTAGTCATTTTTAAAAATTCGTAAAGATATGTCTTATATTATTCCGTTAATTGTCGTTGTTTGCAATCGCGCTGGCTGGGATGAGGACTAGACGGATTTTAAGTACGAAGACAGACTACACACCGTCTAGATTTATTCTCTTGATTTATTAATTTTTATCATTATTTTTTTTATTCCTACAGGCACGGTTTTTGATTTGCTGTGTGAGAAACCTGAGCAAGAGCAAGTGAGTTATCAAGTTAAAGAAACCTTTTTGCATGTGAAACGTGGTCTGATACTCAGAAAACCGTGAACATCAGAAAGATTTAGGGATTTTTTTTGTTTGCAATTAAAACGACAATCAGGCGTGAAGAAACGTAGCCTGTGTACAGCCGCCCCTCCCCTCAAGGAAGGGGGAGGGGCGGTTGTACACAGGCTAGAGGAAACGAGGGGAGGGAAAATTATTAAAGTGAAGGGAACAAAATCCGTGCTTAAAAAGGTGCGTGCAGTCGGTTATTGTGGTCTTTTTAGTTGTCCTTGTATTCATCCTGGTCATCGTGGTCATTTGGTGGTTGTGGTGACTGTGGTCATTGTTGACGTTGTGGTCATTTACCATTTTCACATAGACCATAATGCACCTTGTTTATCCCCCCCCCAAAAAAAAAAAGATGCATGACCATTGTCTTCGATTTCTCTTAGGACGACCGTAATACCCTGGAGAAATTGGAAGCAATGGTTATCCAAAATTTTGGGGGGCAAATTTATGGTTGTTATAGTCAGTTTTATCTTCGTGATCATCGTGGCTGTCGTGGTCATTGTGGTCGTGTTGGTTAATTATTGTGTGTTGCCCTGGTCGTCATTGTGGTCGTTGTCTTTACGGTCGTTGGAGTAAAACTTTAGGCATATCTTATTTTGAAAGCTGTGAGCATTGAAAAGCTTAAGGTAGGACAAGAGAATTAGTACCCGTAGACGGCTTGATGGAAGATGGCCAACAGAAAACCCAAACGGGCCATTGAAACCCCGTCTGTCTCCACACCCCTTTTTCTCCTCTTCATACCATGTCTGCACCCTGCCATAACTGCCATGATGTTGGTATTGTCATTGTGGGCATACTTTTTTTTCACTACTACCTCCTGAACTAACAAACTCTGAGGAGATGCTTTAGATCAAAGCATTTTACAGATTGCTGAATGAAATTTCGAGTTTTTGTCTTATTTTGACCTTGGCCGTTTCTAGGAGTGAAATTCATGGGTTAATTTTCTGTATACTTTACATGTAGGTCCTGTTGAGTCTTCTTATAAACAAAATCGGTGACCCTGACCGAAAAGTCGCATCAAAAGCTGTTTATCTCACAAGAACCTTAGGTAAGGAGCAGTTTTCAAAACAAAAAACTATCTTTGGTAGGTAATAAGTCAATAATCGTTTAAAACTAGTAGAAATCAAAGATTGATGAAGTGCGGGTTTGCATTCGTTTGTGATATAACGTGGTTTTGAGTCAAAGGAGAACTAGTGTGATATTTTACAGTTTCTGAGTGAAAACGATGCAATTTTTGCTTGCATGAAAACGGGGTAAATTTGCGTCGCCATAGACTATTCTTGATTTATTTTACCCCCAGAACTAAGTAAGGAAGCGGCCTGTTGACCTCGGAAACTGTTTATCTTTGTATAAGAGTTCTTCCTTCAATGTCTCTTCGAGCACGATTAAGGTTATATTTACACCAGTCCGTGGAAGTTTGAAAATACATATAACCGCTTCCGTTCACAGTTTCCGTTCACACTTAAACGATGTAAACAATCATGAGGCAGTTTAAGTAACGACGTTTTTGAGCGACACACGTCAACCAGTAGTAAGTCTTCATCCCTCTTGATATGCCTTGATGTTACCAGATTTGTATTGCTAAGTGTCTTTACTCTGATAGAGACCAGAGACGATCTGCTAGTAACTTTATTCAAAATCACGACCCAAGATTGCAAAAAGTCCACTTCCAGTTGACGCGCGTCGCTTAAAAACGTCGTTGCTTAAAGGGGCTGTGTCACGAAATTCAGCCAAGTTAGGGAAATTAAAAAATGCCCGTTAAATTAAGAGAAACATAAAAATAACCGCTTAAAACTTTAAAGGAAGGTTAAAATAACATAACAGAAACAACAGATGCCACGGATGGGCAAAACTGAAGAAGATTGAAACGGATTGAAATTAGGATTTTTGAAAACTGTTCAGCCTAACAGTTTTTCAAAGTTGATCCCTGTTGCTTGCAGCTTCAAAAATATTTGTTTGGGGACATATTTGTTAGTTTCGGATCTCTGATTTTGTCATTTACATGTAATTTCTTTGCTTACGTTAAGTTCCATAGCGATTGAGCGCGAGTAATTCGCAAAATTAAACAAAATGAACTTGATTGCCGTGACACAGCCCCTTTAAACTCCCTATCGTAAACGGTCTCTAAAGTGGAGCCGGCGCTTCATAAACTGATGATATTGTTCTCATCGTGTGGACAGCTGTAGCTGTTCCTGTTCAAAATTGTATGCGTTTACACAGTCTTAGATTGAAGCTCTTCCAAACCCTTAGCTGAACAGAAACTAAGTGTGATCGTTTGGTTTTTAGTCACTAAGCATCCTAACATGAAAGTGGTTATCACGAAAGAGATTGAGAAACTGCTGTACAGACCCAACATCTCCATCAAGGCCCAGTAAGTATTCTGGACTCATCTCCTTCAAATCCAGGGGAGTATAGTGAGCTGTATCTTTATCAAACCGCAGGGAATTTAGTTAGCTGTATTTGCATCAAATCCTAGGGATTAAAGCTAGTTGTATCTGCATTAAATCCCAGTAAGTATACTTAACTCTATTTCCATCAAATCCCAGGGAGTTTTGTGAGCTGTTTATGCATCAAATCCTAGGGAGTATAGTTAGCTTTATCTGCACCAAATCCCAGGAATTATAGTGAGCTGTGTATCCATCAAATCCCAGGTAGCGTAGTGAACTGTATCTCCATCAAAGACCAGTATAAGAATATTGAAGAGGAATTGAATTGCTTGGAATACTTGTCGTAAGTACAGAAAGGTAGAGATCATGCACAATCAAGGAGTGAAAAAAAAAAAGAGAAGAGGAAGGAAATGCCAAAGGTGAAACTCGTTTTTAAATAGAAAAGATTAAAAATCATCCTGTCACGGGCAAAGGACAAAGAAGTCCCTGACAGAATATCAAACCTATGATCTTCCAAACACTGGGTGGGTTGTCTATACATTGAACTAAGGAGAGACTTGTGGAGAGCTATGCAGTTTACTAGGTACATATGTGGCACGTATGCTTCCTGCATACTGCTGGGATCAGCAATGTCGACAGCCAGGCTGTTATATGGTGATAAATAAGAAGGATTGCATTTTTTCTTTGTTTCTTCCTGCTTACGTTACCATTGCTTTTCAAGAAATGTTTGAATTTTGTTGCAGATACTTTGCTGTGTGTTTTCTTAATCAGCTGATCCTTACCAAACGCGATCGTGAACTTGCCACCAGACTTATTTCCATTTATTTTTCATTCTTTGGGGTAGGTTCTCTTTAACTTTGCTTTGTGTGTAATTTTTTTCCCTACTGTTTTAGGATCTCTTCTTAAGAGCGGTTAAAGGTTTTTCTTTGTTGTTTGAACACGTAACTAATTGGTCTCACGTTTTTTTTTTAAGGCGTTCTTAAAGAAAGGAGAGATGGAAGCAAAGATGTTGAGTGCTCTTCTCACAGGAGTCAACAGAGCTTTCCCATATGCCCAAGGTATTGTAACGTTTTTTTTTTTATTTTAATTTTGTAACGTAAACATTTTTGAGCCAATGTAACAGGCCCTGTCTCATCCCCAGTCCTCCGTGTTCGCTCCCGGGACTCGCGCGGTGTCATGAGAACGATGCACTGCTGCCCAGCCTTCCCATGTTCACTGCGCCCACTTTTTCCCGCGTTGTAGTATCGCCAATGGACAAGCCGGTGACAAGCTTGTAACAATAAGGGTGCATGCACATATGCACAACTAATGGAAATAAATCAGGTTTTTTTTTCGCGTTTTTAGAAGAGGATGAGAAATACAACGATCAAATCAACACACTTTTCCGAACTGTGCACATTGGTACCTTTAACACAAGCGTTCAGGTTTGTTGAAGCCGAGTTAGTAAACACATTTCCTATTCTCAATTCTGATTTCCTCAGTCTAATATCCCAGTAGGAATCTCTAGTCCGGTAGTTTATCCTCTTTTTAGTGATTTGTTTCTTTCCTGTGTCTTTCAGGCCCTAATGCTGCTGTTTCAAGTAATGGAATCAAGGTATTGTATGATGTCTCTAATAATTAAGACAATCAATCGTTAGTCAAATAATAGTCGCTCCAAAGTTGTCTCGGAAACTTAATATTGCTTTTTTCCTTTTCAGGCAGTCTGTGTCAGATCGTTTTTATCAGGCACTTTACTCGAAGCTCCTGGACCCGAGCTTAAAAGCCTCTTCAAAGCAGGTGAGTTGCGATTGGCTGAATTCCAACCTGCTTTCGAGGCTCATTTACGTAGAAAATCAACTGCAGAAGATAGGATTTTTGAAGGTGTTGTGTCACCCAATTTCAAAAATATTTTGGTAGAGCCAATAGAGACCTTTAGTTTCGAAGACGAGGACAGCTTAGTCGTGCGCGCGTTAGCGTGCGTAGAAAGCGTTTCCGTTTGGTTTCGGAGCAAACAAGGAGGGACGAGAATCAGCAAAGACCGCGCGAAAAATGGCGTTTCATTTTTTGGCTCTCGTTTCATTTCTCGCGCTGTCAAACCCGAAAATGCCCTTCAACAGTCTTTCTTTGCTCCGAAACCAAACAGAAACGCTTGCTATGCAGACTCTGCACGCGCGTGAACCAGCGTCATTTTGGCGGGAAAACGTGGTAGCTGTCGTCGTTTTATTACGAGGTTTAGCGCGAATGTGGTAGTGATGGAAACAAGTTATTAAATTTTAGAAGTTTTATCGTTTTGCGATCGGGAAAAGGCTTAACGTCCGTCAATGAAAATAACCGTGCTAACCTTTCTGGCGAAAAATGATTCATTTAAGCTTCCCGGGGGTGTATTTAAGTGATCTATCTTTTGTTTTTATTTGTCTTGTTAACTTTCGGCATCGTTTTGTTGTCGGCGTCGGAGTTTCGTTAGGGTCCTATTCACGTACGGTATCGGATGACACGCTGCCCGAGCACTTGTGTTCGATTACCGGCACAGAATAGTGTTGTGGTCACACGAGTTATATTGAACTGTGTACACATTCACAGCAATTGTTGGTTGTGCAAAGAACTAAATTGTGGTTTAAGTTTCTCGGAACAAGCGGAAAACAGCGCACACAGCAATTCATTTCCCAACTTTGGCGCCGGATCTTTTAAGTCCCGACCTCGTCATCAGACACCAACACCTTGCTTAAATTTTGGCTTGGGTACTAGAAAAACTAAGTTGTGTTCACATATAACTATTCAGCGAGAACCGAACTTGCGTACCTCTTTAGGGTACAAAGTGTGAACACAGCCTAATGGATAAATTCTATTCAGCCGTTTCCTCTTTTTTTGCTTTTAAGTAAGCGATAAAATACATTTTCTACTGTACGTATTTATAACTTTCACCACGTCTCTTTTCTAGGCTGTATTCCTTAATATTTTGTACAAGTCTTTAAAAGCGGACCCATCATTACAACGTGTGAAGGTAGGAAATCATCTTATTGCATGTATTTTCATAGGAGAATTTGTGACCATGAGGTTAGACTATAGGTTGTCTTAACATGAAGTAACTGCCCACATCGTCAACAGAAGAAAAGACCCATTCCTTGATTTATTGTTGGAGACACTTTTGACGAGAGCCACAATCTTTCATTTCATTTAGCCAGAGCATAATCCTTTGTGGTTTGTTACAACAAAACTGTCACTAGCCGAGTTTTTTTCCTACGAGTGGCGAATTTTATTCTTCTGCCTCTAACTCTAAGGTTTTTAACCTTGAGAAAATAACTAAATCCAGCGTTTTCTAGCCTGCGAGCAGGCTTATTTGTGTGAATTCGGGGAAGATTTTGACGGCGGAGCTGCTGAAAGCTCCCAAAATTTTCCCCGAATTCGAATAAGTATGATGCCTGCTCGCAGGCTAAGTGTTTTTAACATCATGAAACTACTGCATTAGAACTTGCTACAATTGAGCTCTTTACTCCATTGACCCCGTGTGCAGTTTTCGTTACTTACACGCCTTAATTGTAGCGTTATAGTCGTGGAAATATACTGTTTTTCAGGCATTTGTCAAGCGGATATTGCAAATTTGTAGTTTTCAGCAACCATCTTTCATCTGTGGGACGCTGTTTATGATTTCTGAGGTAAATATTTTGTTAGTTGTTGTTGTTTTGTTTTTTTTTGCGTGGCTTACTTATCAACTATTAGTGACACACAATTTTTTTAAGTCGGTCTCGATTGGACCAGACTAAGGTGAGGGAAAATGGAGAGGAATAACAAAACAATGCGCATGCGCGTAGCGTGAAAGGATAAACCTATAAAACCGACCCCGCAGTTTAAGATGAATGGAACTCGTTGAATGGGTGTCGTCTTGAAATAAACTGATAAACGTTCCCAAAAACAAAACAATAACAAAGAAACTAACAAACATCTCAGTTTCGATACTTCTGTTTGACTGTCTACTTAACTCCTAAGTGGAGCTTCCACTTAAGAACGCAAGCTGTGCTATGCTACAGTTAAGTTACTGCGGCTTCAAAAGTTAACGTGGTGTTCAATCTCAGTAATGAACTAAAACTAGCGAAAACGTAATGTTTATCCCCTCACATGAGTCAGTTTCATTGACGGGAAGTGTCCAAGTCCTTAATGTACTGAAACGCTCGAGTGATTTTGTCGCCAGCGAAACTGACCCCTTTTTAAGTATTAAGAGGGCTGGATTCTGTAGAAAAATGGCGAGAGATTTAACGCAGTGGTTCGATGTGTGAAGAAGCGTTGCGTGGCGACACAAACAACGGCTGCACCGAAGACAATACGAAATCGGAATGGTTGTAAACATTTTTACTCATTTCAATAACTGAAGTGCGCAACGGATTTAGAATAAAGAGGAAGTTTATAAGAAATGCGATAAATCGTTAAAATGAAAGACTTTTTTTTTTTCAGTAAAACCGTTACTGATATTTGTCTTGTTTTTAGCTCACGAAACTTAAGCCTGGACTAAAGGGCCTTACCCAGCAACCTGAGGTTAGTGAATTAACTTACATTGGTAAGATCATTATTAAACAATAGTCGAATTGTATCAAACCTCAATTAAGCTACCACCTGATGCAATGGTCTCAGTGATCTTTTTGTTCGTTGCATGTACTACGCTACTCAGAGTACGAGAAGAACTTGAAGAAACAAGACGGGTGTACATATTTTGTAACCTAAAAAATTGCATGCAATGTATTCTGTCTGAAAAGTAGACTTGTCCGAACCTCAGACCTCTCGCAGTTCGACTCTTCGCGTTTTGCTGATCGCTTACGGGAAGTTCGACTGTACATATTTTTGGACACGCATCTGGAATCCTCGCAGTTTTTGCAGCGGCCAATGACATCATCGCCAACTTGGCAAAGACGACAGAGCCTGTGATCGAGATCGATCGAAGGTGTTCTTCAAATTTCATTTTTGTTGTTTGGAACGTTTGATATGATGCTAGGGAGACATATTTTTTTAAACACAAAGTTGTGATTTTGTCATTCAGATGTAATTCCTCAACTGAGTTCCAGAGCGAAGAAGCACGTACAATTGGCATTATTAACAAAATAAACGAGGCAACTGTAACAAAACCCCTTTAATAAAACCGCTTAGACTCGAGCAGGAAGACGACTACCAGGACGAGAGTTGATTTGATTTTTTTTTTCGGGTTTCTCGAATAGCCCGAATAGCCTTTTTGACCCTTGTTTTTTCTTTTCACCGAAAAAATTAACAGGCAGTTTATATTTATTGAAGGAGGTTAAACCCTCTCCCGCTCGCAAAATGATATAACTTCTAAAATATGATCACTTGTTTTCATCACTACGACATCTTCACTAAAACCGGAAGTGTTATATGCTTCTGCTAAAACCCGTAGTAGAGTGACTACGCCTATCACGTTTTCCCGCCCAAATGACCCCGGTTCATGCGCGCGTACTACTTTGTATTGAGAAAATCTCGTACTCGTACATTTTTTCGCATTTATCTGCCTCAATTGACTTTATTACCTATACCATGTGATGAAGCGTTTCTTTTTTATTGTCACGCTTTTTTGCTTAAAACAATCTATTGTTTTTATCTTAAGCTTTCAGTTGTTAAAACTGAAATGCATGCAACGTTTGTATTCGTCTTTCATTATTTTTGTATTCATTTGTTGGAGAATTTTTCGTCGATTTACGGAATGAACCTGTTACCACTATATATAAACACTTCACTAAAAATATAATTTTCATATTTCCTGTAACATCAACCGAGTGCAATCTTTCTTCTTTAAATATGAAAGGTTGAAAGGTAACTAATATTCACATTTACCTTTCGCCTTTTTTGTTTGTATACACAGAGAAGCTTTTTGTAGCCATTTATTATAGAAGTGTCTCTGTTCCTATAAAAACAGTGTAAAACCTTGATGTTATCAAGTTTTAGTTTGTTAATTAATACTCTTAAATCTATTTTGCGTTGGGTCTCTTTCATTTTCAAAAATAACTCTATGAGCTTAAGCGTGTTTAAGACCGTTTTAGACAGACAGTTCGCCATGGATCAATCAGATTGGCCGTCTCGGTTGGAAGGCCGCCGATATGCCTTTCCTGCCAAAGTTGTTCTATAAATTAACAAAATTCCTTGCACCCAGTGTTCTGGCTCTAAGTTTTACGTGAGCAGCTTATCTAAGTTGAATTTTCAGTGGAGGTGGTGGCCATTCGTTGTGAAAAGCTTATTGCGGGATGAATTTGTCATGTCTTCTTCTTGTTGTTTTTGAGATCCACTTGGTGCTTCTGTGACGTAACTTTATCTTTAAAGTGGCTGTCCTTGCCATATAAAAAGGTCTTCCTTTAGCCTGGGTTATTACAGTACCTATCTGTGTGACAATGCTTCTTCACATTACAGTGTTACTAACAGTTGTCGCTATGTGGCTGCGAGTGCAGCGGGTGAACTACGTAAGCGCAGAAAAAGCGTTTAAGCACGGAGATATTATGCTTGGAGCACTAAACGTGTTGCACTCCAAAGACTTCAATAGTGACGAGTGCGGCGATCTTTTTCCTGTCGGCGTGGGCCACACGGAAGCCATGATATTCACAATCGACCAAATAAACAAAGACCCGACCATCCTTCCTAACATTACCCTGGGGTACGACATTCGAGACTACTGCGAGACCATCTCCATTGCAGTGAAAGAGACCTACGAATTTGTGAGAGATAGAGATCTTAATCGCATATGGAAAAACACCTCGGGCTTCGACAGTTTAAACGAAACATCTTCTTGCCGTAACAGCTTTATCAAGAGTTTTGGGAGCGATTTTTCTTCTTCTGTCAGCGTCGTTATAGGACCGTACGACTCCGCCAGCGCCGTTCAAATTGGGAGCTTGTTAAACTTCGCTAATGTTCCCATTTTAAGCTTCGCTGCTACAAGCGACGAATTAAGCTCAAATCAGTATCGATACTTCATGAGGACAGTTCCCCCTGATAATCAGCAAGCTCGAGTGCAAGCAGATCTCTTTGAGCATTTTAACTGGACCTATGTTGGCACAGTGGCACTCGATGACTCCTACGGTCGGTTTGGAGTCTCTGCGCTGGAGAATGAGTCTTTTAGACGAAAAACGTTTTGCATCGCCTTTTCAGAGTTTATTCCAAGACTCCGCGCGGCTGAGAGGATTCCAAGAATAGTCTCTCGGATCAAGAAGAGAATCGAAGTCCAAGTTATTGTCGTGTGGGTGTTTGGTGGCTACGCAAAGCAGTTTTTCCAGGAAGTTTCGCACCAATCTGTAGGACGCAGGACCTGGATTCTTGGTGATGCGACCACAGCACAAGAAAGCGTAGCGTTAGGCGATTTTTATAGTCTCCTGGACGGGGCCCTTGGCGTTCAGCCTCAAGAATACAGAGACAAAACGTTTTTCAATCACCTCACCTCTTTAACTCCGAATAGCACGCGTTTAAGCGGAAATCCGTGGTGGAAAGACTTCTGGAAGAAAATTCGGAATTGTTCCGTTGACATTGCCAATGAAAGAAACCTGAATTGTGTAAACGTGCCACTGTCGAGCCAAGAAGCTGAGAAGCTGTTTGATCCTTACCTTGTGTATCTCACAGATGCTTTGTTTGTAGTCGCCCACTCACTGGACAAGATGTACAAGTGCGTTGACAAAAAAGGCCTGCTTCCCGGGGGAGCATGTCCTCAGACAGAACCGTCCGTGAAAGGAAGTGATCTTTTATCATACTTGAGAAATGTCAGTTTTCAAGGGAAAACTGGTATAGTTGAGTTTAACGAGAATGGTGATCCCCAGCATTCGTCCTTCCAAATTTTGAACGTGCAGATCGGCAAAGGATTTCAAGGTAAAGTTATGGTGGGAACGTGGAACAGCCAAGAGAAGCGAAATTTGCAGTTAAACGCTTCCAAGATTAAATGGGCTCGCAAGTCACCATATTTCGATGTTCCAGTCTCGGTTTGCAGTCGGAGGTGTTCCCCCGGAACTCGCAAAGAAGTGACTACTTCGTGTTGCTGGAAATGCATCAAGTGCCCGGGGGGGACAGTCAGCGAGGAACCTGGGTCGACTAATTGTACACAGTGCCCTGAAAAACAAAAATCTAATGATGCCAAGACGAAATGCGTTCTTTTACCGGTGAAAAACCTCCAGTTAAAAGATGGAGCAGGTGTTTTTCTTGCTTTTGTGACAGCGGCAGGGATTTGCGTTACCATGGTGACGTTACTTGTGTTTATAAAGTATCGCGAGACTGCTATTGTGAAAGCGTCAAACAGGCAGCTGAGTTTTGCCCTTCTTGTGGCTATCTTCTGCAACTTAACGTTAGCTCTGCTAAGTATTGCCGAGCCCACAGATATCATCTGTCGCGTGATACAGTTTTCCCGCTTCACTATCTACACCACTTCTGTGTCGATTCTCTGGCTGAAATCTGTTCGAATTTTCGTGCTATTCCAGGTAGATTCCTCTGATATGCCTCTGCAAGGCTACATTTCCAAAGTCAAATACCAAGTCGGCCTAGTCGCGATTGTTAACAGCGTCGACCTGGTGTTGTTGACTGCCTGGTTCGCTACTGATCCGCCGCTCAGAAGTGAAAAACTTCAACCTACATTGTACATCTTCTACACCTGCGATCACTACAAAAAGTCAGCGGGACAAGTCCTGTATTTCATGCTTTGCTCCTACGTGCTGTTACTCTCACTGCTCTCATTGTTTTACGCTTTCAAAGTCCGAAAGCTCCCTGACAACTTCAACGAGGCGCGTTTTATAGGCTTCTCGTTGTACATTATCCTACTATCTGCGATTTGTTACTACACAGTGGAGTTCTCTGTCCAGCATGGCTGGTATGTTTCTGTTATTGCCTGCACGACCACACTGGTAGATTCTTTTGGTCTCTTGGGTTGTATGTTTGGGCCAAAAGTTTTCAACATCTTGTTTCACCCAGAGAGAAACTCAAAAGAGGCGATGAGTTCACAGGTGGCAGCGTACGTCTGGCAGAACTCCCAGCTCAAAAACTTTTCCATCCGTACCAAGCAAGCAACTACTAGTAGTAGCACGAATTATTCCAACACTGCCAGCGACTGAGAGGCTAATTCAAAAAGTTGTGACAAGACTAATTCAAAAAGTGGGAACTGTCACCACACTACGTGAAACATAAAAACAATCGCTTAAAAAGAAAATGTACAGGAAGGTATGAATAACTACTCGGCAAATACCCAGGTGAACAAAAGATTAAAACCTCGAATTGCAGTCGTGGTTTTTGATAACTTTTTAACTTAAGAGTTTTGCACAGTTCTTTTTGTCTTTCTAACATTTTTGATAGAATGCTTGGAAGATATATACTTGTGTGATCTGAAGCTGTAATTTTGTCGTTGACAAGTAGTTTCCTCACTAACGTTAAGATTTATAGCGATTAAGGGCTTTTATGGATATAAATATCAGCAAAATCAACTAGACAGCCGTGATATAGCCCCTTTAAGGCTATGTTCACATTACTATACCGCATGGCTCTTGCTCCGGCAGGAGAACCATACCGGATAGTGCTCCTGTTCACACGTCAGAACGGTGATTTTGGCGCGATTTATGTAACGGAGGGAGCTTCGCCGCGCCGCTCTGGAAAGTTGAGCGTCACATATCGGATACGTTCTGTGCCACACTTTGGTGCAGTGTGAACAGGTATTCGGACCGTAGCTTATGTGAATAGGTAGGAGCGTGGCATGGAACCCGCTGAGATGGTGGTGAACATTCAGGGGTGAGGACTGGTATTTAGTGCACCAGTCCCTCTCGGCCAACCGCTCCAGCTTAATGCGTGATCTGAGTGAACGACTGGTTCTTGTACCCGGCCATTGCTCTGTTCACACTAGATCAAATAGCTCGACACGAAAAGCTCTCTTGTAGCCTATCTGGTATAGTGTAAACATAGCCTAAGAATCAGCGATTTGACGTAAATATACCCCAGAGAGACTTATTTGGCTTGCAATTGAGTGAGTCTTTGTTGCACAGGAAGAGTAGCGTACATAAAACTGTAAGAAGTTCGGTAGTGTATGTAAAATATATATATACTTCTGATCTTGGTGACAAAGTACGCCCTATACTTCAGGTGCCTTGAAACTGTCATAGAATAGCAATTGTGAATACAAGTTGTTATGGATTCTTGATACGCATACGTCAGTTTCCTTGAACTTGCCTTACAGTAAGACTATTGAAAGAAAATATGTCAAGAGATGACGTATTTTTTTCTGTTGTTTTATTTAAACTTAGCAGTTGTCGATAAAAAATATTACAGATTTGTGGGATAGTTACTGAACTATAATAGCATATAAGGCTGTTGTAAATTGGTCCAGAAAGTACTTTAGAGGACAATAAATAAATCTATTGGCTTAATCAACATAGAGAATGCTGTCTCAATATAGTCGCAAAGTTATACCCCTGCCCAGCCACCGTTCCCACTCACTAAGATCAGTTTAAGTCCAGTGCACTAATTTAATTTTTCCTTAGTGTCCTTTGTGACGTTTTTTTGACAACCTCTCCCTAATGTTATAATGTGGTTTCATCCATTCTTGTTATCTTTGTCTTACATTGGTAATCTTGTGATTAGCTTGACATTCTCGCCAATCAGAAGAGTCATAAGCAGTCAGGACTCTTTTATTCCGTACGTTTATTGGTGATGTGACACAATTCTGCCGGTGCTCAGTATAATTGCATGGAGTTGTGATTGGTTGATGGGATTTCAATTGAGCTGAGTGGTGAAATCCACACCAAAATGCTGCTGCTGGTCGACGTATTTAAAGCCAGAGACAGCTGTTGCGAGTTTCACAATTTGTCGGGTGAAATATTTTCACGATCTTCGTTGCAAGCTTCGGAATACGTTGATATGAACGCGCCTCGAAATCACGAATTTTGTTGCTTTGTAGGAGGATGATGATGAAGAGCATTTTGTTGACATTCATTCGGACGAGGAAAGAGATGCAGAGGAAAACAATAACACATCTGACAATGAGTCTTTATCTGAAACAGTGAACAAAAACAAGGGGCCTTATCACGCACCCAAGGACCCGCACGCTATAAAATGCAGTGGGGCTAACACAGCGCAACCGTATAATCCCAATCATAGAAATCCCTTGTACAGCGGAGCGGAAAGCTCTTGCTCATGGGAACTAAATAGACTGTCGAGGCATTACCATCCTACGGTGTGTCTTTTTGCTTCAACTCTTATGAAGGTAAGCTTTGTACATGAGCTGTAGCAAAAGCGTTTCTCTTTTTGTCTCAGTTAAAAAGGGGAGGGTGGGGGGCGACTTGTTCCGGTCTAGATCCAGTCTCCTGCCTTGGGTGTCTCGATGCTCCCGCGGTGGGGGGAGTACCGCGAGAGTCTCGAGATACCCAAGGTTGGAGACTGGGCCTAGTCCCAGGACGCACGGGCCTTAACACTTGTCTTCACCGTGGAAGTGTTGTTATTTTAAATGACAAAAGACCTCAAGTTGTCATCCCTAATGTTTTTGCTGTAAGCCCGGTTTGACGTCGAGATTTTGGGACGAATACCCCGTGTATCTTGTTGACTTGCCATAGGGTGACTATCCAACTAAAAGCGGGGCAGTCTAAACCTTCCTGGCCGGGTACTTCGGTAAGCATGGGGTTTTACGATTCTCCGCGATGATTTTCAGCGAATTTCAGCGTTGCAACATTATTGAGACATTGTTTGAAATTGTCTTAACATAATACAACATTGTCATTGTCGTTGGAAATAATTTCCTCGTGCAAAATGAACTGAAGTCTCTTGCTAGTTTTTGAAGAAACATGCCGTCTCTATTGTAAAGTAGTAGCATTTATTTTGATTCTTTTTTTTTCTCAGGGAGGGGACATTGAGTACAAGGGAGACCCTTTACAAGATTTCACTCTCATGAGGTAGAATGTGTTGTGTGTTGCAAGTAAAGCATACCAATGACCTGTCAATCACATTAAGAGAGGTCCTTAATGAAAAAAAAACAATCCACTGTTTTAAGTTATTTCTTCCCAGAAGTTGATTAATGATAAAGGACAATTTCAAATGTGTAACTCCATGAAAGGACCTGTTTGCGCGAAACATATTTTCAAGGGGAGTTTTGCCAATGAACGGTCGGTCAAGTGTCGCTGTATTTTCGGCCACAGACGGCTGATATAGAGCGACTATCGGTTAACTCAGAAAGAGCTTACTGTCTTGCAGTTGAAGTAGAACATATTGTATGGGGCTGGCTGAGCACAGTCTGACTACTGTTGTCCTGTGGTCCACTCCATCACTTTCTGTGGTCTTCCTGTGAGAACCCTTGCCTTTGCTTCTTGTACTTTTCGTAGTCTTTCTAATTTTTTTTTTTTTAACAGATTTCTGGACAGATTTGTTTATAAAAATCCAAAGAAAAAGGACAGAGGTAACTGCTAATAATCCTCCACCGTTATTACGAAAAAAAAGATTCCTTACTCGGCTTAGGGACTCGCGTTAGTGAACACGGCCGATAACAAAAAAGAAGATACTTACAGAGAAATATTCTTCATCACCAACAATTTCTTGAAAGTAGCACAGAGCATTCGGAACCCATCCGGATACCTTTATGAGTGACGTTTGCTGTTATTCACACCCTCGTTTTCATGAGGCTACAGAGTGGTAGCCCCGATCACGGTTCATTGCAGGGTGCTAAGTATGAATGTTTATGACTTCGCGTTTCGTGCGTGAGAGCAGGTGGTTTCCCTGGCCAATAATTCTTATTTTTTCCCGCTCGCGATATTTTTCGCACTTACGTTCTCATCGCAATTCTCCCTTCCGGTTTAAATTTATTTGGCTTACCAGGTTCTTATATGTAAAATGTTTACGCATTTCAGATCACGGTGGTTCACTGATGCAGCCAAAAACAACGTCAAGCAGACTCAGTGAGGAGCCTGGTAAGAGCTAGGGTTTCTCTTAAGAGTGACGTCAAACCATGACGTAAGCAGGGGATAACAAGCAAGCGGATGCACCGGTGCATCCCACAATACATCACATTGTCGCCAAGGCACCAATGTCCGCATTTCTGTCCCTTGTAAGCATGATGGAAGAAAGCTCCAATTAACAGAACAATAATAGAACTCTCTAACCTTCTAAATCCAACTTATTCGGTTTATAGAGAGTCAGCGGAGGTTGAGGTATATGTGTGTTTTTTTAAATTCGTATCCTTTTCTCACGTTACTTCTGAAACCATCCTGTCGTCAGTTTTTATTGTTTGTTGCTCTGTGGAAAAGGGGCTTTTGTTAAGTGAGTAAGCCTCCAAAGCTTAAATTAGAAATTTTCCGAAGTAATTCACCAATTTATATTGTCGTCAAGTATGTTGTGTATTGTCTTTTGCAGTGAATACTAAAGCTTTTCTTGTGAAGAAGGAAGAAGAAGTTCGGGAAGATGAGCTCTTTTTTTACAGGTATGTTTTATTAAATTAATGTTATGTGGGTGCTTAAAAATCTGATGAAAACAAGTCTGAATTCTTTTTTATACATGTAAGCCCATTTTCTGGCGTATAATTATCTATGTCCTGATGATATGCAACAACCAATCCACCCCGTCTTTAAAGCCCTTTAATGAGGTTTCATAAAAAAATGCACTCTATTTGAGTGTCAATGTATTTTAATTTACCACGAGAGTAATTGGGTACATTGTTTTTACTGGAGACGGAACCGCCAATTTCCCTAGTCATTTGAGCCACGCAAAGGTCCAGCTGCTAACAGGGCAAAAGCAGCACTTTCATTTCTCAGTTATTTTGAGTATTGGCCCGTCCCCGGGAATCGAACTCGCGACCTCCCGCTCTGCATTCAAGTGCTCTATGAACTGAGCTAATCCTGCGGTGGTCATCATGCTTTAAAACCAGTCCGTTTCAGACTTGATACAATAGTCTCTACTGAGACATGCAACGAGTTCGTACTTCTTAGTCCATGGACCTGTAATGTCATTGGGGGATCAAGGGGTCGGGCGCGGAGGTGGGGGGGGGGAGGCCCTGCCCCCACCCCCACCTTATTTTTAAGCCAAACTGAAGCCCGAGGCCGCCCCCACCACCCCTCTTTACTTCGGCTTTGAATACGCGGGGCCCCCACTTGAAGATGTGAATCCACCACATTGTTAAATAAACCTTCTTCAGTAGCAGTTCTCCCAACCAGGGACGGGTAGGAGAAAACCGTGGGAACGAGGTTGCAGTGCTCCACATTGTCAAATGTCATTTATTTTTTTTAGCGTTTACACACAAAAAAATTGGAATTTTGCGTGAAAAAGTCAAGTAGTAAAGAATGACCACGATTGGTGTGCCTTCGTGTATCGTACTTGTGGTTGGTTTCGTGCGGATATTTTTCGCCATTTCAATGCTTGTTTGACAGTTGACTAATTTTACACAAAGAATAAATGACTTTGTCTCTTCTTGTCAGATATTTTAAACAGAAAGCAGAAAAAGAGAAGCAAGGAAAGAAAAAAACAAAAGATTCCGATGATGAAGAGTCTGAAAATACCACAAATTTTGGTAAATGGTAGAATTTTGTAACATTTTTCATTGTATTTATTGAGGGAGTTTGCTTTGTCAATATTTTTTCTTTTTTCATTCAGGTATGTATCTTGAATTTATTATACTTACTGATAACAGTCTTTTTTTATCTCTTTAAGTGTTGATCACTGGGTTCATTCAAGTTTCCTATAACACGACAAGAAAAAAAGCTCATATTCCCATTAGTACTCGCCCTCTACACTAAGCTGACCTGTCTTTACGTCTACTAAACAAAACAGTTACAATTAAGTACTCTGGGTTCAGTTCCTGGAACGCCTTAGCCTGTGCCAGGATCTCAGATAGTAGAGTAGGGGCGTAGCGAAAACAAGGACCTGGAAACGATGGCGCCATCTCTCTCCCCAGTCCCCATGCGTTTTTCGCATCACTGTTCACAATTTCTGTACATCAAGGACTTTAAGATGGGTCACTACGGTCGCCTGGGACGGTTGGATAGATGTCACATCACGCAAAACACGCGTGACATTTTACCATCGTCCTTCTGGGACGGTATGTTTTCGCCGTCCTCTGTTTTGTTGTCCGAATCTTAAATTGAAAATATTCGCGCCTTTTTGCCGTTGGCCCCAGGTCGCCCGTACACGCATTCAACCGTCCCAGCCTACCGTAGTGAACTATCTTAAAGTCCCTACTACTTGGAGCATGGAACAGGCTTGAACGGCCGATTAGTGCCAATACTACTATTCAGGATTGAAACTTCAATCCGCTGTTGTATTCACAGTCTTATAGATTACTCAGTCGGACTATCATTTTGTTGTTGTCATAACTGTATCTTACAAGGCAAAGGCTCAACAACAATTGACTAGTTACAGTCACATGTCAGTAGACAAGAGAATAGCCGTTTTTGTCTGGTCACGAACGCTCCTCCCCTTTCTTGGGGAGGAGTGTTACGTGACGAGACAAAAATGGCCGTGCGGGAGATCATAACCAAGAGGACTGTGCTCTGATGGATTGAACTTAGGCGTCTTTGGAGGTACCGGTCCTTCCCTTTAATTTTACTCCGCTAATTTCCTCGTCATTTTCTCTACCTCATCTACACCCAACAGAAAAATCGCACGCTGAAAATACGAGGTCCTTAGACGCAATTTGCCCACCTGCTAACGCAACCATCCTTTCAATTTTAACAGATAACATTCAAGAGCCCTCCGACGAGGAGTTTGATTTCGCAAGGTAAGCCTGTGTTATTATCAATTAGTACTGTGCGGTTTTCTCCCCTGTCTCTTTAGTAGGGATCCTAACCAAACACAAAGGCGCGCGGTGGCCAGGAGAGCGTGTAAACAGCAGTAAGACGATCATAAACTGCCGTGACTGCCGCGGATGAGCCCCTACCCCCCCCCCAGTTATATGTCCATCTACCTATAACCAAAAAATATATCCGATTATATGCCCGCCCTGTGGAAGCCCCTTGTAGTATGCATTGAAATGAATATAATTTATTGTGACGTTTTGAAGCTTAATTATCCTGTATACAGACGCCTCTTCCCTTTTTGAGGGGAGGGGGCGTCTGTCCAGAGGCTGAAGCTTAATCAAATATCAGTAAATGCAGACCAGCGTAGTCAGGGCGTAGTCAGCATTTCGACTAGTTGTAGGCCTGCACTGTCCTCACCAACACTTCGACGTCTTAAGCTTTTTAGCTTACCTCAACAACAGTAGAGTGATCAAACCAAAAATTTGTAGGCCTGGGCCTACAGGTTTATAGGCTGCCTACGCAGCCCACGTGGTTTTCTCTTTCCTGATACCGTCTTGGGCAAAAGTAATCTGATATGTTTTATTTTATTATTATCATCATCATCATTCTTCTTCTTCTTCTTCTTCTTCTTCTTCTTCTTCTTCTTATTATTATTATTATTATTATTACTATTATTATTTTTAATTTTCTCTTTCAGTGAATTTAAGAGTTCTAAAAAAACTATGAAAAATAAAGACAAACTCGCCGAAAGTGACGAGGAAGATGAAAGTGGTGACGATGAAGATAGTGGCAGTGAAGTTGAAAACGCGGAGGAAGAAGAGCAACGTTCGTCGGAAGACGGTAAACTTTGGAAATCAAATGTATACAAGTTCTCAACTTTGTCTTCGTAGTAGACATTCGTAATTGAAAAACGCCACAGCACATTTATCGATACAAAGTATGCGATAGTACTTCACCATAGCTTTCAACTTAATGTTCTGAGTTGAAGATTTATCCTTTCGATTCTTGCCACTGTGGCGTAGATCGGAAAAAGATTTAGCCTTCGTTCTCACGGTCCACCGGGAACTCTGAAAGCAATCTTCATTTGGATGGTAATACTGTGGCATAGTGTGCACAGGAACGCCAGGTTTGACCCTTTATCCTTACGGAATGTGTTCGTTATTTTCTCGCCTGTAGAGTTTGATTACGCCGCCATGGATTTTTCATCATCGGACGAAGATGAAACAGGTTGGTTGTATCTGATTTCGTTGCTTACGAGGTGAAAATTTTATATCCTTGAAGTAATACTCTATTTCTTTCGTAGAAGAACATAACAAACCCAAGAGCAAAAAACGAAAACTGACGGATAAAGACTATGAGAAGGTAAGCTCTAATCTATGCTAATTAGCCTTTTGCGATACCGGTTGCAGCGCTCTACCAACTGAGCTAACTGGAGTAGGCCATCGAGCTCGTTTGGGATTTTTGAAAACGTTATCGCCAGATAGACCTTTTTGCGTCCAAAAGTTTTTTTCGGCCAAAAACTGTCTCCAAAGTAGCTGTTATAAAAACTAAGAGTGCAATCTTACCATTACTTTTTTCTCCTCTCCTCCTTTCTTCTCCTGGCTCTTTCTTTTTCTCCTTTCCTTTTTTTTCGTTTCTGTGATTTTGGAGCTTCTCAGGTTTAAGAAACCTCCCTTTTGAGGCGCCTTTTCACTCAAATGACTGCAAATTTCGTTAGGTTGGTTTACAAAAAATCAGTTAGATATGAACATATGGATTTCATACATAGGAAATTCTAAAGTTGCATCTTTTAAATTCCGATGATCTTTTTTCATTTAATTCTTCACCCCTCAGTTCCTCTATATATTTGTCATATATTCCATGTATCATCGCCATCCTTTCATGGGTTTATAACGAACCAACTCAATTACTTGCTTCCAGTTGGCTTGTTAGTTCAATCTGTAATTGGTAGAGCACACCTTATTAATTTGCTGGTTCCGGGCTATGGTTTAATAACAATGACAAGTGCCTGTGAAAACATTCGTAACGTGTGCTTGATTCCAAAAACAAGATATAGATTTAAGTAGCTCTTTTTTTTTGGTGCTTTATTTTAAAAAAATTGTGACCCTTATCCGATGAAGAGGTCAATGGGGTTCAAATCAGACTTCTCAAACTCATTAATAATTCATAAAAAAATACAAAGGAAATTTACGTTTAATGAGTGTTTGGAAATCAGATGAAAAACTGCTAATTTTTGCATCCTTGATTTCTCCTTCTAAAATCATTTTGTTTGAGACGTGATATCAAGCATTCGACGCAATGTTTCATCACCAGATGAAAGACTTCGAAGTTCGTCAAAAATAGTCCGCTGCGAGTCGTATTTTCAAGTCTCTTCTCAGTGTTTCATCTGGTCATAAAACATTGCGTCTCATGCTTGATACATTACCTCTCTGCTCTTCTGCACATTATATAGCAATTAACGCTTTTTGTAATCGAGTAAAGCCTCCCTTTATATGAAGAAAACCTGTCCCGGGTAGATGGTTTACCCTTTCAGCCGAGTCAACTTTAGAAACAAGTTGACCTCTTTGCCCGAGCCAGTAGCGTTCGCGCATGCTCTGATTGTTTTGCCTTACCGATTTGACCCGGCTGTCGGCAGAGCCATAGTGTTTATATGGAGAAAAGCTAGCCAGGCTAGAAGGGTAACCCTACGGTCACAAAAGGGTGATTTGGCTAGGCAGGTCACCCTTCTAGTCAAACGAACTGTTTATTTCCTGGGTAAACGGTTCGCCTCATTTTGTAAGGAAATAGATGAACTGTTGGCTCGCCCAGGGTAGCTCGGTAGGCGAGTGACCCTTATACCCTACACAACTTTTTTGCACATAAACGGGACCTAAATAGTGTGAATGGGAAGGAATATGAATAATGAAAATAGGAAGTGTTTAAGTGTATCTAGGCGTGGTGGTTTGGTATAAGTCCATGTTAAATTAGCTTTGTTTGCTTTATTGCTTTGCTATGCAACGCTGCTGATGAACATTAGAACAGCAAGATCTGGGAGAAGTCAGTGATGTTTAACATGTTAACTGTTTGTCCTTGTTCTCTAGGCTCTACTCGAAAACCTGAGCTCCGATGAGTTTTCTGATGATGACGACGAAACCCAGAGTTCGAAAAGAAAATCAAAGAAAAGAGATACTGAAGGGTAAGTTAGTTCACTGATCAACTCAAAGGAACTGTGTCACCAAATTTGTCACAGTTCAGACAGTGGGAACTGCCAGCGAATGAAGTGAAACTTTAAAAAATAACCTCTCAAGACGTTAAAAGAAGGTATGAATAACACAACAAATACAAAAGGAAACACGGATGGACATACTTAAGAGAGATTGAAACGGATTGCAATTTTGGTTTCTGGAAACTTGTTAGCCTAACAGTTTTTCAAAGTTTGGTTTTGTCGTTTGTAACGTTTGATGTAGTGCTTGGGAGGCATATTTGTTTCACGCAAAGCCGGCTGTGATTTTGTCATCCAAAAGTTCTTTTTCAAGTTTCATAGCGAATGAGGAAAGAAGAAATGAAGTAGTCTGCCATGACACAGCACTTTTAAGGCGCGTTTGATTGAATAAAGAGAGCATAATAACAGACCATGTTACAAATGAGAGCAGACAACAAGAAATGGGAACTTGCTGACTCAGGAAGTTCACCTACAGTGATTCGAAAACCCATTCAAGGTGGTGAGAACATGATCAGTTCAGCCTTGTGATCAGACGGAACACCCGGCTGGCTGAGAGCTTATGAGAGAGAGGTCATGGATCACGACAGGTGCAAATGACGTTGAAAATCCCCTTCTCCCCGCACCACAGCTCTCTGTGAGTGCGGGGTGATTTGGGTAGCCTGAGTACTTGCCTAGTTTAACTATTAAACACACTGCGTAAACACATTGCATAGCCAAACTGTGGCAAAATTTGCAAAATTTGTGTTTCGCGTAGCTGAACGGGGAAACGTTGCGGTTACAAAAATGCTTCCTAAAGGGGTTTTACCACCTCATTTCTCCTTTCTTTGGCATGTGCGCTTCTGTGTAACGAGCCTTTTTTGATTCCCAGTGTTGGCGAATATAGCACACAGTGATACCATGATCAAACTTCATTTCATTAAAAACGCAGTGCATCATCAAAAAGCTTCGCTGGAAGAACATTTTGCAAGGGACGGCTTGATTCATACCGAGACATAGTTATAGGACAACCTTTGTTTTGTTTTTCCTTAGGACCGACGTATCATCGATGTTTGCATCCGCAGAAGAGGTACGGTGTAGCAATTTAAATTTTTGCAGCTTTAATAATTTGTACTGTCTTAACAAGAAAGACCAAATCTTCCGCTCGTCGCAAACGAGAGACAAACTGAAGACGTTAATGATACAGGAGTATGAATTCAGGGTATGAAATACATTAATTGTAGTTATCATATTTTCAGTTCGCTCATCTTTTGGAGAACTCGAACGCCTCACGTGGCGGGAAATTTGACGTCATGAGAGCGGGCGCCAGCGATAAGCAGTTGAAATGGGAGGAGAAAAAGGCGGGAAAGAACTGGAAAAAAGACCGGGGCCGACAGAGAGGTCAGCAGAAAGGTCCTCAACGAAAGGCTAATTTTAACAAGAGAAATAAATTTAATTCCAACAGAAGAGGTGGAAAGAGACCAAGATAGTAGAGGAAAAGTTTTTATATTCCTGCCTGAAAAGTCGTATTAACACCTTCCAGCAATATCATGAACTGATGCATTTTATTATGACATTTCAAACAGAGGTTATAAATAGCGTGAATCGTATAACATACAACAACAACTGTATTAAGACGGACGCAATATAGTCCACTCTCTCTGAGCGCAGGGACAACACCCTGTCTTATATTTAAGACCTATGGCTGTCTCCTGCTTTTCTCCAATCATAGTATAAAGTGCTTAATGCATGGTATCTTCCAACTTTGTATCTAAAACTGTCTAAGAAAGGACAAAAAAGGCCAAGTTTACTGTGAATCCGAAAGTCCTCAATGGAATTTTTGAAAATGGTTGAATTGAATCTTGGTCTTAAAGTGAATTAAATTAACTCTTCAGGTACGTCAGGTATCTGTTGAATACAAGAGAAATGCGAATTCAATGATAACTTCTGTATCACATTTATATTATTTAACTTTTATTATGGGTGAAACTTAACTAAAGTTGAACCGACCTTTAAAGTATAGAAACATTTATACAATCCATAGTTTTGTTAGGTTTTCCTTTCCTCCTCTTAGAAAATTCTTAATAATTCTTCAAGAAATGGCTTAGGAAATAAATTCCTGGCAAATGCTTATAAATCTTGCATGACCTATCAACGATTTTAGCACAATATAATCCAACACCTAATGCAGGCATTCGTGTAGAAATGAATACTTCCGCGGGAGTGATTTTAAAACCCTGTAATACTAGCCTGAAAAATACGCCTTTGTTTTCCTCATTTCTAAACTACTCGGTTACTTTCTGTTTTAATCTTGATAAATCACTTGCTACTGAAAATTCATTGTTCCTTTGAGAGAAATGGAGACTAGAGAATTGTGTTTACTCAGTAAATCCTCACTCAGTTAGCTCTTACGTTTTGAACGTGTGAAATGAGGGGAATTATTTACAACTTCTTATTTACTGTACGCATTACCGTACCGTAACTGTTATGTCCACCAGGTCGTTGGCGAGTTTTTGTACTTTTTGTATCTCCTGCATGTTGTACTCCAAAGACGCAAGTAGGGTAAAGTAATCATTGATCAACGCTCGCTCCCTATAACATATGAAGGAGGAAAAAAGCTTGTTCAGGGTTCGTACAGATTTCTGGATCCAAAATTCAACACTTTTTCCAGACTTTTTTTCAAAACAGCAATTTCTTTTAGTAGAGTCAAGGTTTTTAAATAGGTGATCAATAGAGATCTTAAAAAACGCAGCTTTTTTTATGGTGCGCTGCAAACGTACGGAAAAAATTGAATGACATTTGAACAAAACGAAAAAAATTTCCTCAGAACCAACAATTTCAAATTCCAATTCCAGGTGAAACGAACGGAATGTTTAAACGAGTTCTTAAGAACTCCTTTAGTGTTTCGTTGGTATGATACGGACCAAAAAAAACCTCTCGCAAATAATTCCTGTTGAAACATAAGCACTGTTTCGTCGCTTTTATTTCATACCTGGCAGAGAACTTATCTTCGGGATAATAATCCTCCACTCTTTTAACAATCCTTATTTCTTGTTCTTCATCCTCATCCTCTGCCAAAAACGAATTGAGAAGTTTTATTATACTTACTTCCTTTATCACGTGTATCCGTTTTGAAACTAATATCTCTTCAGACAATAATTTCATTCCAGACTGCCTTGTCCTTATGAATATATGAAGAAATGAATAGACTTTATTGGCTGGCAACTGGCGAATCCAGTCAACACTAAGAGCTAACATTGTGGGCTAATGAAATAACACTACATCACCTTCAAAATCGTCATAATCGTCTGAAAATGAGTACGCACTCGCAGCGTGATCACTCAACTGCATCTGGTAATCAAACATGGAGATACGAAAAAATAACACTAAGAATATCTCGCTGATCGTGGGGAAGGACAGGAGGTGGGACTTTGGGAACGTAGGGGGCCGGAGGGGCACGCGAGGCGGAAGAGGGAAGGGCGAGAGGTGAAGGATCTCAATGGGTGGGTAGAGGGAGAAACAGGAGAAAATAACACATAAATGATTAATATTTTGCAATCGATCTGCTAAAAGAAGGAAGCCAAGAAAATACGGTATTTTAAAAAAGGACCGGGAAACGGCAATGCAAGATACAGGAAGCGGGAGTTTTGGACCTCTCTGCCCTACCCCCTCCCCCCGCCTGCTTTCAGCCCCTTTATCACGACTCAACCTACCTTACAGTGGTAATACATGACATACCTCCTCAAAAACACTTTTGAATTGGAGTCCACTTTGTTTCTTGTGTGGTTTTACTTCCACTGCTGTTATTGTTCTTTGAAAATTATCTACCAGAACTGCCACGAACAAGCTGAAACGCAGTAAATACTTTTATATTAATATATACCTTAGGAAAAACTTGAAGCCAGGCTCTGTTTAAAATAGACACGATTATCAGGACTAAAATAGTAATGATAATATTAATAATATTAATATTAATAATTCTAATAAACGTAAGACCACCATGCCCAGCAAACTTTAATTTGATAGTGAAATCTATTCCTGACAGTCATAACTTCTTCTTCGCACTTGTATCTCATTTCTACCGGAAACTTATAAAGTCGGGTACGTGAGAGAAATGGCACTTGCGTGGGGTGAAGTTGGGAAAACAGCAAAAGATCGGGAAAGGTGATAGGTGCGACCTTTTTGCCTTACTAGGGGCTTGGAAGATTGGGTAAGTGAGTAATTCCATTGTTAGTTCATATAAAAACGAAGAGTACAAGAAATAACAAGGATCTTGATAGAAACTAGAAATGCTTAAAATTATAGATCCCTTTCAAAATACATTACACAAGCATAAAACCAAGAGGTAAAGAAATATTTGAAAACTTTGGTTGCAACCTGTAAATGTCACAGTTATCAATATACGTTCGGTCTTTTGTTAAATCTACCCAGGCCTCCACCACTCAACCCATTCTTCTTTTTTTCTCTTAATTTTAGGTATTTTTAGAAATATTTTGAGAGGTTTTCCTCAACTTCCAGATAATTTGTACATTAAAAAATAATCAGAATAGCTTTTTATGAAATATGGTCGTTAAAATTCTTACTTCATGAAGATGAAGTTTTCCAGGACGATGTAGACGATAAGATACAGGATGATATAGCCGTGACCTGTTCAGAAAGAACAACAAACAAAGCTTTACCTTTTTTTCAGCCACTCAACCAGTTATGTTAGACCCAAGCGCAATATAAATTCAACAACAACAAGAAAACAGAAAGTCTGATCGTGAGCTTTCGTTGCCGCGTTACGGGGTGTTGTGGCCCAACAGTGATCGTGAACTGTTAACAGGGTCCTCATAGTACTAGGAGAGGGGTGGGAAGAGGGGGAGGGGAGGCGCGGGGAATTCAACATTACTTACGTTAAAGATAAATTCGTTGTATCACGCTGCGCGTTTTGCAAACTTCGAAGGAATTCTAGGTTTTTCCTGTTCCGTCAATCATCCTAGCGGACCCCTAAGGAAACAGATGTTCACTTGAACGCCAAAAGGGTCATGGTTTGTGATTTGTGATGGGTGGATTTCAATCATTTCTTTTTCTTTTTTTTTGTTGTGGGGGGGGGGGGTCTGTATTTCAAGGTTCGTTGCTTGTGAGCGTCCTGTTTTGGGCAATAATCGACTAGTTTTCTTCGAAGATTTTTCTGATCTTTCTAACGTACGAATGCCTACCTCACTTGCAAGAATGAAGCAAAGTCTGCCTTCTTCCCTGGCCAAATTAACATTCCACCCACCACCTCGATTTCCTTCGCTATTTTTGAACAGTCCAGAGTCATTCTCAGTTTTGGTTTTGCGGCAAAGTTGCGTTGTGATTTGCATCCGGCCCCACATCCACTCAACTGATTGACGGAACAGAACAACTCAAAGTCCCTTCTAAGTTTGCAAAAAGCGCAGCGCGATACAACGAATTTCGCTGTAAATATAAAAGGAATAAAAACCTTGGGCTCTTACGCAGACGTCCTTTTGGCTCGTCACGTGACGAACCACTGAAGACGTCTGCGTGGGTGACAATAAAAACCTGGGCTCTTGGCGACGACATCGCTGTACATGTAAAACCAGTCATCCAGCGTTATGAGCTGGAAAAGCGTGAAGAAAGCTTTTCCCAAGGTGCCAAATCTTGTGGGTGCGACTTCGTAAAACAACCCGCGCCCTATAACTGCAAACATGTCTGTGCAGCACAATACTTAAGGAGGAACAAATATACAACTACAGTGGCCACAGTCGGTTGCCGGTATTGCGGTAACATGCTACTGATGCAGTATGAAATTCAGTTAATGGCATCCAGGCCGAGGGGCCAGTGGCAAAAATGTAACCTTTAAAGCCTTCGTAGCGGTCATTTTCCTTTGCTTATAGCAAGCTGGAGGAGCGTGTAAGACGGATGAGGGCGGTGGAAGAAAAAGAGCAAAAAAAAGCCTCGCGCTCTACCACGCTTCTTCCGCAAATGGCCCCGGTAGCTCATCACTGGGTTCAGGAACCTCCATCTCTCTAATTATTTTAAGGTCACAGCTTACAAGAGTTTCAAGTTATTTATAAATTCATCTTTTCCTCCAAAAAAATCTCAGCCAATCAGAGCTAAGTGGGATGGCGTATGACTGTATGCCAAGTGAAGGTAGTTTACCTTATTTACTCAAAGGGGCACCACAGCGATGACTTGTCAGTGCGGCGCTTATTTGTGGACACTTATCTGATAGTCATTCAACTTGGTTCGCTCCAGGTTCAGAGACATGAGAAGCTAACAAAAGAAGTGATTCCAGCAAATGTTGGAGGAAAAAAAGGTCATAATATACAATCCAAGTGTAACGTGCTGTTCATTACAATAAATTAATACTCGTCAAATTTCATTGAAACATTATATAGAATGAAACTGAAGATTCTTTTGTCACGCCACCTCAATCAAATTTTCTAACTTTTCCGTGTGTGAACTTCTTCTCTCCTTCACCAATGTGGAGATCCGCATTTATTTGCAAATGGTTAAGACTTGAATCAAAATCGGGGAGGGGGTAACGTAACAAAGGCGAAGAGCACTGTAACTTATTGGTGGAATGCAGATCGAGATCAGAGATTTGACTCGTTTCAAGGATACAAAGAAATAATCCCTGAAGCATAACGATTGTACTCAGAGCTCGGAATGACTTGAGAATTGTTGTCATGATCACTTGGAGATTCTTCAAAAATCTGCGGAAACGAATCAATATTAGTGAACTTACGCAACAGGAGGGGAGAGGAAAGAAGACGGCAAACCTTGTGTGACAAGCGTGACAATAATTTTGTTTGAAAAAACTTTCGTCTTAGCTTCACCTTCAAATCGATCTTTTTGTAAAACACTGACCAGAAAATGTTAATTTAATGGAAGATCACGACAAAACACGCAAGTAATAACCCTGTCACGTTCGTCACGCTCAAATGTTTTGCCGTCCTCTTCTTTCTGCCGTCCTGTTGCGTTAAATCAAAGCCAACTTTTTCTTGAAGATTGTATTTTAGCTTTGCAAAATTTCTGGTATTCTGTTCCACCATGTTGATGTTCCCTTAAAAGCAGTTTCCCCTTTCAAGGAGCTGTGTCACGAATTTTATCAAAATTTTATCAAAGGAACTGCCACCAAATTGAGTGAAAAATAAAAATAATCGCTTTAAAACATTAAAAGAAGGTATAAAGAACAAAGCAAATACAAAAGAAGGAACGGATGGACAAACTTGGTAAAGATTGAAACAGATTGCAATTCAGGGTTTTTAAAAGCTTGTTAGCCCAACAGTTTTTCAAAGTTCATTTTTCAGGGGCACCCAACGTCAGTTTTCGGAAAATATCTGTTCGGAAGACGATTTGAGATCTAGAATTTTCGGAACCCTTGTTTGTAAACTTTCTTGCTTGCTTGCCTCTCCTAGAATTTTCAAACATCTAAAAAATGGTACAATTGCTCATTTTTAACGGATTTTTACCCTAAAAAGGTCACCTAGAATTTTCGGGAGCCTTTATTCTGGCTGAAATTTTTGAAAAGGTAAGTTTTGATCCCTAAAATACCTTTAACGATGCTATGTTTAAGTGGTTTTGAACTATATTCTCGTTGGGTGCCCTTGATTTTTGTTGTTAACGTTTGTAACGTTTGATATAATGCTTAAGAATCATTCGAGGCTGGGTGCTTATTAACTTTTTCTGCCTTTAGGATGGGCGCTTATTCCAGGTCGACGCTAATTCGAGGTTGGGCGCTTATTCGAATAAATTCGGGTCACATATCCCTCTTCCCTACCCAAGAAACACTCATCTGTGTAGGAACTTTCTGACCTTATAGTCCGCAGTACCCGTAGTGCCCTCAGCGCTCGGATAGCTCGGAACATGCGCAGTAATCTAAAAATGGCCGCAACATCAAAGGATCCGACATTCTGAACGATCAGTGGTAGCAAGAAATCCACCATAGTGAAAAGTACAATCAACAAGTCTACAGGAAGAAGAAGAAAAACATGAAAAGTAAAACTTCATTTTCTTATTGAGTGGTGGATTTTTAGATTTAATCAAAATTTGAAAATTGCAATTTCTGTTGTTTTGAAAGAATTTTAGGTACAGAGTCTCAATAAGGTTAAGCGAACTTACCTAAGGAAAAGGAAAAATGGAAATATCCAGCTTATTTTTTATCGGCTATCTGACTAAACGTTTCGTTCACATCTGGATAAGAAAAAATACCGTATAAACACACTACACGGATAGTCACCAAAACTTTACAATTTTCGAATGAGTAAACCTAAACAGGAGCCCGAAAGGACGGACACCGGAACGCAAATGGTGAACTGTGCCACTTATAAGTGTCAGTGTCAACGCCTGGAGCTTTTGGTGACTTGTGAGCTGACTTGGAACCAGCTTCTATAAATAGCTTTCACACTTACTGCATGAAAAGTTTGGAGTTTGGAATAAGAAACTAATGTTAGTTCAATTTCTTCACGCCTGGCTCCACCTTGGAAACAGTGATGTCGAATTTACCAAAGTTATGTCTATGCAACACCGCGGCAAAACGCAATGCGCATGAGCATAAAATTTAATATCCGGTCAGCTTTTTATTTCCGGTCTAGTATATAAACCAATAGCGTAAGCATAACTTTGCCGTCGCGCCAAGTTTAAAAGCAAAAAGGGCGAAACAGACAAAAAAGGGGGCCAAAAAAATCACTTCATTCGAAAGCTTATATATTTTTCTATTCTCAAACTTTTGCACCACATGGTTATCTGTTTGCACCAACGGTGAAAATGATGTTTGAAGTTTGCAGGTCGCGAGCGCTCGACGAGACGAATTTGTTTTTACTGGCTTTCTTGCATGCTACTGGTTTGACATAAGTTAATTTGGGAGAAGGTGACAACTAAGAAAAGAATAACAATACTTATGAAAGAAACCAAAATAAAGACGTCATCATTATCATAAAAAACACTAAAACCAGGAAATGTTGCATTATCAGAGAAAACAAGGACTCAAAACAAAAGATGGGCGGGATTTAATAACAACTTTGACTTTGATGACTGCAGTCACCGGGAAACTAAACATGCCTATAAATGACTTTCATTCAAGAAAATGCCTATTTAATTCTTTTACATGGTTGTTCTTTTGTTGAAGACTTCAATAATTTCAGACTGTGCGGCTCGGCTGCATCCCATGCAAACACGAAACTTCTAGCTTCTAAATACATGGCATGAAAAGTTCGACTTCTAAAAGCCACTGAACCAGCTTTCGCTCTCTGATTCTGAGAATGGAAAAATAAATAAATAGAGTTGTCAACTTGCTGCCAGCCGGGTCAACAGTATAATTAAGCTTATGTTTCATGGCAATCAACCCAGAAGAGTTTCGTTTTAAAACACGGTAAAACCCACTGGTAAACAAAACTACAAAGCGATTGTGTGTTGTCGTTTTCCAAATAAAGTTTCAATCGGCTTTAACACATGTAGACTGAGAAACTGAAGAACTGAAAATTAGAACTACAATACACAAGCTTGCAATGATAAAGTTTTAATTTTATGTCTTAGTTTCAGCCAGGTTAAGTGAAAAATAACAGTCAAAAACTTTATTTTCGTGAATGAAAATCAGTTTACCTGACGCTCTAGCCAAAATTACACACTGAGTTATTATCATCTTACCTTTTCTGAATCTAATCGACTAATTGTTTCAGTGATCTGTGCCTGGTTATCCATAAAAGCAATTTCAATAACTACAAAATAGTCAAAAACACGAGCAGCATAAAGCAGAACAACTGAACCTCAAGCTGCACACAGAATGAGGCGCGCGGCAGACTTTGACTGGAAAGTGTGACTGAAAAAGAGACCGGAAATGCTCAACCTGGCGCATGCGTAGACGTTTTGCCGCGGTGTTTGTCTATGCATGCATACCCATGATGTTCCATCCTGTCTTGAAAAAATATGAACGCAGAGCATACAGTTTTAAAACAATCTCCATAAAGTAGATGGCCAGAAACACATTGTCTAGAGCAGAGAGATACCATCCTAAAGGAAAAAAAACAAATTACAACAAAACAGTCTCCTTCCTTTTGCAATTTCCTCCTGCATTATGTGTGTCGCGCGAGTCCCCGCTCACTGACCCCTTGGCGAAAAACTTAGCCGGCATGAGAGGGCGAAGCGGTAGCAAAGTCTGTTTTGTTTTTTTGCTTTCATTAGTCGGGAATTTCCAGAAACGAGCTCAAATCCAAAATCTGGTGAGCAAGTATCGAGCTTATGCAAAAAGGCAATGGCAAAGTCAAAACACAAACGAGGAAACAAAACAGACAAAAAAAACATACAAAAACAGCGACTGATTTTGGCAATTAGCACTAACCACTATGAACGCGTGGAACAAAGTTGTTGGTACTGTGAACAGCTACAAACAATTGCGCAGGTGTCAACAAAAACTGGACGGGATAAACCCCTGCAGCATCCTCGGAGACCCAGGGCTTGAAACCATTCGTCACGCCGTTTCTCTCGATCTGACTTTAAAAGACAGCAAGCAGTCTCTCGTTTTCTCTATAAAAATGCTTCAATTCACAGATTAAAGGGCAGAAGAGAGACTGCTGGTCCCTACCTTACCGAAAGACAATGGGTTAGAGGCTGATCCGAATACGGTTTTGTCTACTTCGTAAATACCCTAGTTCGTTCGAGGCGTCGTATGGAGAAGGCAAACATAAGCTTACGAAGAGCTTTTCTTTCTATTTTTGAACTTGGAGGCGATCCTAGTTGTTCAAATTCAGAGAGGAAAATCACGTAAATTTGGCAGCTTGTAATATTAAGGGAAAACCAACAAGAATTGCTAGCAACTAAAAAAAAGCAATATGAATCTAATACCTACCTGCTTTCACAGAAAACGCTTCATCGGTTTGAATGACCAAAATTACAGTGTTGAGAAGTATAACAAACAAAATACTGACACTGAATATTTTCGACTCTGTCAGCTCATAGATAAACATTCGGAACTCTCCTGCGTTTTCAAGCGTCTTGGGAATATGTTGATGGGTCTGGCCTCTTTTCATGGTCTGTCACTGGGTCTTCTTTCTTAAACTTACAGCGAATAAAAAGTTGTACTTTGCGGAGGCCATTTTAAACGGTGGGCGCGAAGGGAATTAGGGGTATTTTTAACAACACCTGGAAAAATTAAGTGGAAAGGACTTCTACGGCGAGGAGGCTGACAGGGTAAAATTGAAAATGGATTTTTCCCTTTTTATTTTTCCCCGGGAAAGTGTAATTTAAATCTAAAGAACTGGGATTTGGCCATGCATTTTTGGCACCGCTTAGCTTTCACCCATAGGTGCCTTTACTGTGTGCTTTCCACCAAAAGACCCATGCCCCTCCCTGTCTCTGGAAATGAAGCAACTGTGGAGACAGCTAGGGAAGTATTATGAAAACAGTTATTGATTACTTCTATTTTGGTGCCATTTTATTTTACTTATTTCTCAGGTTACAGTTGAATTGTCTGTGTGTTTTAAAATTCTATAAAACCTAATTTACTTTTTCAATGAAAACAAAGGGTGGGTTATCTAAATGAAGTCCATGTTGCAGTTAATTTTTCTATTTCAGTTAATTTTTGTTTTTCCTTTGTTTAAAATTCATTAGCATACGTTACCATACCCAAGAACAATAGAAAAAGAAAAATTAAGTGCAACATCTATCTAAGACCGCAGTTTAAGAAATCTTTGGACCTTTTAATGAAACTGTTCACGACAAATGGTGTTTAGATAAAAGCGTTGGGCAAACTAAAAATGACTTAGAGTGTGGTTTTGTTAAACACTGGTTAAACTCCGTTTAAATAACCAGCCCTTCATATTTTAAATGGCAAAAATTAAACACAAATTAAAGTTTCATTTAAAATAACCCTCTCCATGGACACACTCGAACCAGCCCTTCATATTTAGTATTAATTTTTCAAGAGTGTCTTATTCTAGCACTGATGATGTCAACTGGCCCAAACAGTTTAAAAAATGGATTTAAAGTTTCTTGTGGCAAAAATTAAACACAAATTAAAGTTTCATTTAAAATAACCCTCTCCATGGACACACTCGAGAGCAGCACTACATGCTCATCTTACAGAGGTGTCTGCCTTGTTGTTTAGAGAGTCAGAAAATGACTAAAGAATGATAGGTACTATTTATAGGTGTCCATCTCACACTGGAGTCTGTAAAGAGACAGCTGACCGTATCTGATATAAGGAAAAGTCCTTACTTAGGCTTGCTGAATTTTCCAAGTAGAAATGCCAATGCAGAAAGGAGCAAATCACCTTCAGCTAATTCTTTGATCTAAGGCAAAGAAACTGTGAGCCACGTCGTTTTACAGATTTACAGCATGTATGCCTCATTAATTCTTAATGATGCCTCATAATCATTATATTATAGCTTTTTTTCATTGCTCCCATGGCCGAGGTCCTCGCTTGTTCTCCCAATTGTCAATGTCAAGTTTTTTGGTAATGGCCTGCAAAAAATTGAAATAAAAGAAATTACACACAAACACAGCTCACCTAACAAAATACACAAACTTCCAGGGTTGCAAAAAAGTATTCTACTAATTATCTATACTGCAGACAGCTCTGTGGTAGCATTGATTTTAGGAACAGGAATATAATAAATAACTAGCAGAGATTCAATTTAAAATGACTCAAACATGCCTAAAAATATTACTTTGTAAATGTTGTTGCTCAATTTCATCTTTCATTTTCTTTTTTGGGTATGGTGATTTATGATAATGAGTCTGGAACAAAGGAAAATAAAATTAAACCAAGGACAATTTGAACCACAACACAGATTATATCTATATCTAATTTAAATGATCACACCATCTACAACTGATGCCAAATCCATAGGGCATACACCCATATAATTGTTTCATGTAACTAATGCCTTGTATTAAATAAAGAGTCTCACTTGGCTTAAAATGAAGCATCAATTGTTGTATGTTATTGCTTCCAAATATACCCCATTTCACAATAGTGCCTCAACAATTTTGTTGCAGATTGCTTTGATGTACTAGAATCCTGTACAGGATGTACTGACAATGCTTCAAATTACCATGTTATAGAGATTGGGTAAGGTGAGGCTGAGTGCTTATCCTGTGGTTTGAAATGGCTTTAACTACCCCTCAGCTCACATAATGCCAAAATTGATAGAAGCATTATATCTATCTACCTCATACTCTTCTTCTAAGGAAGCTTGTTTCTTCTTGTGAGGCAACACCTCTAAGGCTTCTTCCTTATTTAACTGAAAAAAGATAAAATTAAATTTTACTTGTTGTTATAGAACTGTCACTGCCATCTGGTTAGCTCAATTGGAAAAGCACCGGTCTGCCGAGCGGGAGGTTGCGGGTTCAAACCCTGGCTGGACCCACACTCAGGGTCTTAAAATAACTGAGGAGAATTAGCTGCCTTTGTTGCGTAATCTACAAAATGGTTAGACAATCCAATCTCCGCGGATAAGGATGAAAAACCATAGGCCTCATCTCACAGACCTTTCACTGTTCTGTTTCTTGTGGGATATAAAAAGTGGGGGGCATACACCCCAGTGGCGTGGTACAACTTTTCGTGGACTGGGTGGGTAATGAAGGGGTTGATATCAATAATTATTGGAATGTTAGTCCTGTTTCATCCCCTGTCACCATGTTGAGTCAATGTGGTGAATTCAATAAAGTCCTCCGCAAGCATGTAGGGTTGTCCATAGGATTTCCACAAGACACACCAGCAAGACTTGAGCAACATGTTAAGGCCACAGCTGGTTACAAATTAGCAAAACCGCTGGGGGGAGGGGAGGGGTGAGGGAGCACTCGAAGGAAGTTTGGGAAGAGATGTGCCACCTAAGCCTTCAAAACCTGGCACTGTTTAAGACAAACAGTTTGCTACTCTTTTGCATACAGAATTCGGTTGTATTTTGTCGAAATAATATCATGGAACTAATTTTTTTGGAAAAACTGTTGGCACCACACAGACTGCTCACCTGCAGCCTTCACACTCTGATAAACTGGGCTCAAACACACTCTGTTAATGATGCCAAATATTGTAACTGTATACCCTTTTTTACAGACTCAATTGCCTGAAAACCTTACCCCGTTCAGCGGCAGGGGAGGTGGGGGCGGGGGGAGGAGGAGGGGGGAACAGTATATGTGGGGAACAGGGCTTTTTCAATACAGAATCGTAGAGACCGGAAAATATTTACATACCGCGTGACCTTTTTCGTCTCGGCGTCTGATTTTGATTTCAGTGAATTCTTTCAGTGCAAATGATCCTCCAACTATTAATGTCTAAATATACAGCGAAAACAGAAAATAGAGCATGTTGTTAACTCATTTATGAGCTTAATAGTAGACGAAAACAGAAAATGCAGTAAACTCATTTAAGCTTACAGCGAGAGTTGTGACAGGAAATAAAATACATCTCCTTTTGCGGAATAAAATGTATCCTTTGTCAATAAAAATAACAAGGAGAGATTTAAATTGAAATGTCGAACAATTTCAGCGTCATCAAATAAAAAGTTATAAAATTATTTACTTACGATCATTGGTACTCCAAATTTCAGAAATTGTGCCGCCATGTTAGGCTTAGCAGCCGGGTTCGCTTAGTAGCCGCCCCTATCAATCAAAATGGCGGCTGTTCTTAGAAGATGTGCAAGCTGTAGCAGCTTTGTGAAGTCTGCATTGACGGAACGAAATAGCTTTTCTACTAGTCTTGCTCTCTTTAAGAAAGGTACTTGGTTATATCTAGAGGTTATTACTGGACTTAAAGTTTATGTAAGCTGAAGCTCAGGTAAAATCATGTAAAATGAACTTGACAATCTCAGACCTACCAACCCTGATAGAGGAAAATCTGGAGACTCATGAAACAAATCCTGAGTCTGTAATTAAGTAGGGCTAGGAAAGAAAGGAAATTCTTAATTGCTAAAATGAATCTAGGTTGAATACAAGCACTGTTTTAAACAAAGAACAGATTTTATCTGCAACATAAACTTTAGCATGGCTAGTTTAAATGGAACTCAGATATAAAACAAAACTAACAAAATTACGAGGCTTAATAAATGTTCTGTAAAAGCAGAAGCATATAATCCTGAAGCATATAACCCTGTTCCAATGTTGGGTTTTTTGGAGAACCACTCAAAATTTAGGGAATCACTGATACCCGAGACTGTCGTGCTAGTGTTATGAAAACTTTGTATCGCAATGTAAACGAAGCACGGCTTAACTACAGAATACAGGGCAAATTTTCTAGATATATTCGTTGGGGTGGCTCGGTGGCTCGGTAGTCCTGACTGACGAGCCACCGAGCCGTCGAGCCACTAAACTATATAACCTCGACTGAAGAGCCATCGAGCCGCCGAGCCACTAAAATATATACCTATAATCTGCTATAATACATACTAAAATATATGCCTTCTATGTCTGTCTTATACTTATATGTGTTATGTCTTTCTCGTTCTTTAAACACTTGTCATGACTAGCGAGCCACCGAGCCACGTCTGTTTAAGACCTTAAAATATGGCGCTGTATTCTGTAGTTGCTCCTGAAGCACTACAAGGTCGGTGCAATTACAGTTTTACAGAGTAGAATTGAACCAAAATCAGAATATTATTCCCACAATGACCAGAATTGATTTCCTCTGGACAAGACAAAGTCAAATAAAATAATAATAAACATCTTATGGGCCTGGCTTAACTTGGTGATGAAAGCTAGCACATGCTTGAAGAGTATGCGTCAACATTATGCGACCTTGTTTTTTTTACCTTATAGTTTTCAAAGGTTGCTATCTTTACATTAAGAGCCATGGACGAGGTCCATTCAGAATAACAAATAGCATGTTTTGTAATAAAAAAAAACTACTTATCGAGCCTCGAGCATGATGTTTTTTTCCCCGGGGGGTACTCCCCTATAAAAGTGATGGTGGTGCTCATCGTACCTTTCAGGGGTTTAAATTTGTGGACTGGTACCGGACGGTGATGACTTCAATTTTCTGATTCCAAAATCTGATAATCTGGGCAAAAAATTTTCTGTGCCTCTGATTGGAAGGCTAAAAAAACCCAGCATGGTTGTAAACAAATAAGGGGAACTTAGACTCTTTAGGGCTATATGCTTCTGTCTAAACGTATGAATCAACCTACACCTATGCTTACATAAAAGGTATATATGGAAACTTATAGCCTACTCTAGAATAATGTTTTAGAATTCTTTGTGCATGGCTTGAATGAACTTGTTTCTTTTTAGATGTTTGGGTTACATGTACAAAGGCATTAATTTCAGCCCAGTTCATCCAAAACAGAAACTATGCAGCCTCAGACAAGGACAAAGGTAGGTATAAGCATGAGAAAATCCAATCAAGAAATAAATTCTTTTTGCATGCACCCACTATGATGATCAATAATACAAAAATTAATGTATCTTTTATTATAGAGAAAGTTTCGTTAAATAAGAATGGAACTTTGCAAGAATATGATTATTCAGTTTTGAAAAAAAGGGCCTTTTGGTCCAAAAATCCCAGGACACCGGCCCAATGAGGTTTTATCCTCAGTCAACCTAACATATATAGCCTGATAAAGCAAGTTCCAACATTTCATGAGGCTACCACTGGTTTCTCCATAAAAAAATGTCAAAGAACATTTGCAGAAATTCAATTCTGATGGGGCCTCACTACTAGCCAGATCTGAGTAGTGTTTTTGAATGGCTGAAAAACTGCTTAATCCTCTGCTTAATCCATTCAGAAGCACTACCCAATTTTGAGTAGTGATGTGTCATAAGAATGGAATTTCTGCACTTTTTCCCCAGAAGTTATTTTTGCCAGAAAACCAGTGGTGGCATCTCAAAATGTTAGCTGTTTTCACACGCTACCTAACACATGCAGCCCACATGCAAATTGTCTACTGAATGGGGCTATGTTATGTTTGTTGTCAATTTGTGAAACTGAAGTGATATAAATTATTTTTTCGGGTGACAAGAGGAGCCCGCAATCTCCAGGTTGCTATTACACATGCATTGCACGTATGTAGCCATCTTCGTTTGGACTTCCTCTAAGAATGAATGGGATGCATAAAACACTGATGTGGTCATGCACGTTTGGACCTTCTAGCTCTTGTAATTCAATCTCGCATGTTTTGACCTTCGATCACTTGAAACTTATTCAAAGCACAGCATTTGTGCAAAAGTGTTTTAGCCTTTGATCGATGTTGCCTGCACTCCGTAACCTTTGGTTATTACTAGTATTAAAGAATTTTAACACTTCCATAAAATATCTTCAGAGTATGAGAAACTGTGGGCTGCTGTCACTGGTGGGAGAGGAACTGGAAGAGGAACGAAAAAGAAGATTGTTAAAGGAGTTGACCCTAAGCTTCTTAAGTATGGTAGGTGTGGTAGTATAATAGAAATAGAAGGAAAAATCCTACACCACCTACTTTGTTTGATGATTGTCCTGTATTCTAAGGTTATCATCCTTGCTTTAATTTTTATTTTCCTTATAATAGTGTATATTTTTGTATTATTTTTTAAGTATTAAAATAAAACTTGTGCTGTCTTTACCCTTTTTTTAAGTTTTCCAGGACTGCCCCTGTTCAGTTTGACTGATATACACTGTATACAGGGTTTTAAAAAAGTTTTTAAGTAGCAGGCTGATAATGAATAGTAGGCGGCTTTGGAAGTTGCCAAAAGGCACAAGTTCTTGAGGGGCGAGGCATCTAGGGACATTTTGAAATTCAGAGTCTCAGAAATGCCATTTCCACAGGTTTTCAAGAGGTATTGCCATGTTGTTTTGTCAGATTAAGACTCGGAACAATGATGTCAAAATGTCCCAGGCATTCCACGACATTGCACGGTTCAAACGTTTCACAGATCTAAACCTGTTTAAATATGCATTCAATGTCATTCAAAACTGGGAAGCTGATGCTTTACCATTTTATTGGATGGTGCTTATTTTTTGTTACCAGTTATGGTATATGAAAGTAGCTGGCTGAGGATGGCTAACTAGCAGGCAGTTTTGGCCGGCTACCGGCCCTTACTGACATTGCTGGTATATCATGTTGCAAAACCATATTAAGTTTTGAGGTTGCATCCTGTGATAATTATGGCCTGATGATGTTGTTATAATTTTGCCAATCATATGGCATCTCTCACTCTCTATATCTGCCACTTATATTTTAAAACAGTAACCATGTCAGTAACAGGTTGTAAACTATAATTATGGTAATAAGGTAGAAGTTGTAATTAATATTATTGGTACTGCATATTCTCTGGTAGTGATAAAAATAAATAGTAGTTGTAGAGTTAGTTGGTGTTTTGTGTTATACATGTACCTCCACTTGTAACAAGTGGAAAATGTTTTCATTCAGTTACCAAATTTGTACATTTATTTTCATTGCTTCAAATCTTAGACAAGGCAGGCTTGAAGTGGGAAGGGTTCAATGCTCCGATAGGAATAGGAGAAGAAGAAAAAGTAGATGATACAGAAGGTGAAACAGTCCAGATGAGGACAGTACAGAAAGGATGGTCAGGAAGAACTTGGCCAGGAAGGTCAATTGGTTCTCCTCTTACTGCTGATGGAGGTTTGATTGTTAATAATACCATAAATGCTCAAATTAGGACCCAGGGTGCTTACCTTATTATAGGAAATTAATGCTTCGAGAAATTACCGTGAATTTCAAATATTTGCATTAATTTAAGTCACGTTAATTTCTTGAAATGTCAATTTCGGCACTGTTAATTAAGTGGAGCATTAATTTCCACAACCTTAATTTCCCTTAGTTGGATACACATCTGACATTCTTGACACCTGAGAAAGAGGAGTAGTTTATCAGAAGGTGGAGATCCACTAGTAATAGTGAAACAGTGAAGAACCCTTGAAGTGGCCAGATTTCTTCACTTGATCCCCTTTGTACATTTAAGAGAAGTGTCATGAACAAAGTTTCCATTTCAGATTTTATGTATTTTTTGTAAGTGTCGAATTAATTTCCTTCATTTTGAAATGTTATCCTCTCTTTGCCATTAATTTCCTACTTTTTAAAGTCGTTTTCCACTAAATTTGTGTTAATTTAAGTTGTGTTAATTTCCAATACCTTCCAATATTTAATTTTTGAAGTAGAGGTGGGGGCACTATTATTTATATTGTTTTTGAAGAGGGGCCGATCAGAATTCCACAAGTCAAGGTAACATTACCCTGTCTATATTTCTTTCTATTTCTAGTGGTGTTGAAGGACTTTCACTCTGTCGTTATTGAGGTATGTGAAAAGTGTCTGTTTATCAATGCTGAAGCAGATTTTTTTAGGCTACTTAACTTGAAAGATTTTATGTCATGTCATTAATTTTAATAGTAATTAAGAATGGTTGCCTAATTTATTATAATAGTCTTCACAATACATTTTTTTCATTTTATTTCTGCTATTCATATTATAACTAGGATAATCGATCATCTTCTTTTTGACTTTTATTTTTTCTCTATCTGTTTGTTTGGTTGGTTTTTAATAATGTTTAAGTTTGCTTTAAGTAAAAATTGTAATTTATGAAATTAGTAATAACACAATTCATGATGCCATAAATGCATTTTTGTTGACAGTTGAGGCGTGTGAGCAATATGACACCAGGGGGAAGAAAGAAAACTCAACGCGCCATAGTTGTGGTTGGCAACAAAAATGGTGTCGCAGGTAAAATACTTCACTGGGATTTATTTGCCTGCCTTTATTACTGCAAGGTCTTTTTTAATTTAAAATAATTATTTCCCTTTAAATGTTATCCCTTAAACAAAAGTAGTGCCCCAGTTGGGTGGGTCTGGGCTCATACAAATCAATAATAAAAACAATAAAACAATATATTTTAGCTATTGTAAATTCCAGGAATTTGTTTTGTTATCAAGTTAGCTGTGTTTTCTATGGTACCCTATACACATGGCCTCACCATGTGTAGTTTACATCATCTTAGGTGATAAATTTCTTATTTTCTAAACAGAGAATAAGATATCTGAGTATTTTTTTTTTTTTAATACAATGATAGGTTTTGGAGTGGGCAGAGGACAAGCACCACTGAGTGCAATGAAACAGGTTTGTGTGTGCTCATTGTACATTCTGCATTTTGTCTTGTGCTTACATACGTAGCTGTTTTTCCAGGGGGAGGGGAGGGGATACTCTGACTTTTGGGGGAAGGTGCTAGAACCCTTTGGCCTTCACTAGACCATTTTTGCCACCTGCAATTTTTCTTCGCCATTCACACATTTATCACTGATCCATTTCCCACATAAATGACACCTTGTTCTCGACTATCACCCTCTGATTTCTATCACCAGATGCCAAACTAAACTGCTTGAAAACCTCACCTTACACAGTGGTATTTAACAATTATTCCTTGAGCCCAAATGGGCTCTGAGTCAATAGCCCATGAGGCCGAAGGCCGAATGGGCTATTGACTCAGAGGCCATGAGGGCAAGAGGAATAATTGTTTTAGGAAAATCCAACTAGTTGGGTGAAAGTATCGAGAATAAAAAACTTTTAGCTAGTTAAAGCTAGACTTTAATCCTTTTTTGCCGCCAAAAAGCCCGCGCTTTTCGCTACTAGTTAGCTATAACATGAGCCTAGTAGTAGCTCAACCAATCAGAACGCAGCATTGATAATAGACCACTAGTTGGATTTTACTAAATACCAATAGCTCTATGTGGACATGGCAGAAAGCTTTTTCATTGGACTGTGTGGCAGGCATTTGAATAGGAAAAGGGAAGGGGGTAATTAAGGAGGGCACGCAGTTGAAGGGCACCCACTGTGTTCTTACAAAGGCCTTTATTTCTCTTTTCCTTTCCCCTTCAACTGCCTGTCACACAGGCACCTGCCTCCGCTTGACCCTTGACTCCTGCGGGGCTGTTGTAGAGCTGCAGTGATTTAAACATCACAGAAAACAAACAAACAAACAAAGCCTTGATTATAGCTATATAGTTCTGGCCGTGGTTGCTCAAATTTCGGATAGTACTATGCACCAGATAAATCACTATCCAGTGGGTATTTTCAGGGAAACTACTTACATTTTGCGCTTCACGTGCAGATTTATCCAGTGGATAGCATTACCCACCTTATGAGCAACTGGAACATGGTTTGTAACCAAGAAATTAGTTTCATTTTGTGTTATTGTTTTTTCTTTCGCATCAGGCGAGGAACAAAGCTGTGAACTATCTCTACTTTGTCGAACGCTGCAATGACCACACAAGTAAGTTAATTCTTAATTTTGATCCATACTGCAAACTTAAGGACAAAATGAAGATACGAAATATTAGGCACAAGGGTGAATCGTCCTCTTCTCTTGCAATTGACTGCCTTGCAAGTTGAAAAAATACCTCCTCTAAAACCTGTGCTTATCCATTATTATAATAGAGACCTTAGGATTCTAAGACGAGAACGGCAACAAGAACGAGATTTTCTCAATACTAAGTAGTGCGTGTGCGTGAGCCAGTGTCATTTTGGCGAGAAAACGCGAATAGCTGCGGTCATTCTAATAGGCTGATTTAGCAACAGGACGGGAACGTCAGTTGACGACGGGAAAGCGCGCGGAAAGGACTAAACACGACTTCCGGTGCTCAATTTGCCGCTCTGCCATTGGTCAATCTAGTTGTTTTGATTTGCGCGCGCCGTCGTCAACTGACGTTCCCGTTCTGTTGCTAAATCAGCCTAACTACCGTATTTATTCGAATAAGCGCCCAACCTCGAATTAGCGCCCACCTCGAATAAGCGCCCATCCTAAAGGCAGAAAAAGTTAATAAGCGCCCAGCCTCGAATAAGCGCCCACCCCCTCCTCCTCACAATCAAACTCAAATTAGCGCTCGCCCTTACCCCACCCACTTGAGTGAATAAATTCTAATAAGAGACTTTTCCGAGGACGGAGTTTTCTTCAGAGTATTTTATAGAAACCTTGCTTTAGTACTTCTTCGCGTTTTGTTATTAGCATTTATTGTTTTGTTGCAAAATAGACATGCTTCACTTGCTGAAAATGGTGAAAATTTAATAAGCGCCCAGCCTCGAATAAGCGCCCACCTCGAATAAGCGCCCACTCTCAAGGTCCAAAAATTTAATAAGCGCCCAGGGCGGTTAATCGAATAAATACGGTATGTGTTTTAGCGCGACTGTCGTGTTGGCGGAAAAAAAGTTATCAAATGTCAGAGGTTTTATCGATTTTTTGCGATCGGGAGAAGGCCTTTCGTCCTTTAAAGGGGAGAACAGTGCTAACGTTTCTGGTGCGAAAAAGTGCAATGAAGCATCCGGTGTGTCTATATTTTTTTTTATAGAATATGCGAAAAAAGCTAAAAATCAAATCTCACACTCGTGGTCGTTCTGATCTCGTCCTTGAATCTAAAGGTCTCTAATATCGTAATGACGAAAACAAGTTTTCAAATGTTAGAAGTTTTATCATTTTGTGATCTTAACCTCCTTGAATAACAATGATCATGCCAACTTTTTGATGTAGAAAAAACAATGCAATGAAGCTTTTCGAGGTGTTTAGTTTTTCAGAATATGTGAAAAAAACTTTTGGTTTAATCGCGTCCGGTCTCTATGGTTTACTTAGAAGACTCTACCTCGTGTAAATAGCCTAAAATGAGTATCATGAAATTGCTGTCAAGGAAGTTTTCGTACTCGCAAAAATAGTTTTAAAACCAAGATCTTCATCAGTTGAATGTTCAGTTCAACTATCGGGGCCGCGATGAGCGGAAATCTCGTGACCATTAATATTTTTAACGAGCCTTATATAGGTGGTAGATGCATTTTTCCTCCGAGGACGAAAATTTTCTTGACAGTGCGTCAAAAGTAGAAAAACAATCTTTCCGATAGATAAAATGAAATTGTTGCTTTAAATTTTCAGTTTCAGCAGAACACAAGGTCTCCTCATTTTTAACATTCAAATGTTGATAATTTAACTTATATTTACCGTTGTTAATTTTCATGTTTAATTTTGTTATCCTTTTCTCAGTATACCATGACTTGGAAACTAGACACAAGAAGACTATTATTAATTTTTACAGGAAACCTCCAGGTAGCTGTATACTTTTATTCCTGGTTTTCCTAGTCTTATAGAATCCTATAGAGCATAATCAAAAGCACCCATCTTTGAAAAGTTCTAACAATTAAACAGATCGAAAAATGACATCTCCACTTTTGACGCATTACATGTATATTTAAACCAAACCGTAAAGCTACGTGCAAAAGGACGCAACAACTCCCAACATTGTTTGGTTCACAATGCTGGGAGTTGCCACGTCCGTGTTGGCAGTGCAGTGCAAACGGATGCAACAACTCCCAACAATGCTGGGACCTGCAATGCATCATGTGAAGGTTACATCCGTAAGACTTTGGAGGCCATGTGTAATGCGCGTGCGTGTCCCCAACAATGTTGGAAGAGTTGTGCAAACAAATCCAACATCATCTTCATCTGCCGTGATGAGATATGTGCCCTCTGCAGATTATACGACTAGAGTTAGAGTTAGAGTCATGAAAGATATTGTTCATCGTGGATAATGTGTACAAAGGTTTCTTTGATCGTTTGTCTCACGATTGTCACATAGATAGGGATCGTGACGTTTCGACCGTGTTCTACAGGTCTTCATAGTGTCGATTCACTGAGTAGAAATATTTGTACCACCATGGTTGTCAGTGACTGGTGTATCACGATCCTCGCTCGCCATTACTAGAGGAGAAAACTGTTTCCTCAGCGGTCCTTTATGGTAACGATCGGCTGCTATGTTGTTTAAATCCAACATTGTTGCGCTACGCTTTGGCGATCACGGAACAAAACAAATGTAGGGAATCGTTGGCTCAAAAGTTGGACCGGTTTCAAACTTTGCGCAACGACATGCTGTATGGTATGCAACATGTGCCATCCAACAATGTTGGCTGTCGTTGGCCAACAATATTGCGTCCGTTTGCACGAGGCTTTAAGAACACAGTATCCACACGAAAATTTAATGCATCACTGCCTGAGTTCAGTGAAGGAATAAATTTACCTCTCTAGGGAGGTTCCACTGATTTTTGTCCGCCGCAATTATGGTTCATTGATACGTAATACCCCGAGTACTGGAGGGTTTTTTTCAGCTAACCGCGAGTGCGGGCGAGATGCTTCGGGGTGGCCGGCGAAGGCCGATGCCACGAGCGGCGAAGCCGTGAAGTGGCGCGCGGGTCACTATAAAGACTTGTCTGGCACCCCCAGGATAATGTCCTAGATACGAAGCACCCAGGGTATTTGCCAAAGTGTCCAACCGTTTTTTCCTAATATCAAAAGTAGACATTGTGAATGCTACAACCGGTTGCAAAAATGTTGAGACATTCCCGACGGAAAACCGGCCTTTCTTACTTCAAATCGCTGCTAGTCACGTGTCTATAAGATATAATACTCACCTCCCTCCTCCCTCTTTTTCAAAGTTGCTCCACTAAGTTTTGAGCATGGTCTTGCGTTGCTGGCAACTTTTATAAGGGGAGGAGGAGGGATCACAAGCACATGATCGTGGACGGGCTATTTAAGCCAAAATAAGCTAGAGTTTCTCAAGGGGAGGAGGAGGGATCACAAGCACATGACCGTGGACAGGCTATTTAAGCCAAAATAAAATAAGCTAGAGTTTCTCAAGTATTTTTGCGACTGATTGTAGCCTAGGATCCTATATCATATATATCTGTTACGTGGATTATTTTGAAGTCATACGATTGTAAGCTTGTATACTTTGCCAAGTTAAATCGTTTCTATGACGACTTGCAGGTTATGGACTGCGCTGTCATCGGGCCATAAAAGAGATCGCAGTCCTTCTTGGGATAAAAGACATGCGCTGTAAGGTTCGCGGACCCACCACACCTCTTAGTCTGATTCGAGCTGCTTTCCAGGGTCTACTCAGTCAGGTAAAACAGCAGGGAACTGGAGAAAACGGTACACTAAATATGAAACAAGTGTACTCCACTCCCGTGTGATTTTTGTAAACACTCTTACACTGTAAAAGCTTCGTGTGTTACGGTGAAGATCGAGCTGCTGTTGCCATTCGCCAAAAATTTCGATCAATTTGCCATTTTAGAAATTGAGAGGAAACTGGGCCGAGTTAACTTTCGCAAAGACTTCTGGGACTGTACTGGGCACGGGAGATAAAATTGGCCAATAGCTGATCGGCTTGTCCCCAGAAGTCTTTGCGAAAGCTAACTCGACCCAGATTCTTTCTCGTTTCTAAAGTGTCGAATTACGGTTTTTGGAAAAAAGCTGCTTTTGGTTCAAGAAGATTTCTGGGGTAGTCGGGTTGACAACAAAGGCATCAACCGATCATATCTAGCACGTGTTCAGCGAGACGAAATCGTTCCCAGAAATTGTCGCACCAAAGGCTTGTACCCATTCTAATCGTTTGTGGAGTGGCGATACTCGTTAAATTTCAACCCCAAAATCGGATCCCATTGTTATATTTTGATGTTTTCCCTGTCATGTTGAAACTTCACAACTCCGTGGCCTATTTTGAAAAAATACGACGGAAATTAATTTTATGAGTGAGGTGTATTGAGGTCGGTGGAAGGGTGAAATAATGGAGTGGTGAAAGTAAACAAGAAACTGAAGTGAACAAAATGAAAATATTTTGAAGGCCATTGGTTGATTGTTGTTCTAGGAGAAACTGTTTGACTGTCTGGGCTTGTTGGGCAAGAATTGAAAATATTCAGTTATTAAACGCCATAAATTAAAGAAAAGCCAAACTGAACAGTTGTAAATTTCTAGACATTTTTTCTTCTCTTCCTCTTTTTACAGGAGACACACCAACAGTTAGCTGATCGCACTGGCCTTAATGTGGTAGAACTTAGAGCTGAGTGTGGCATGAGACCTGTAATTGTAGCCTCGCCTTCTGTTGAAACCCAGAAAAAGATGTTGAAAAAGAGATCAGACAAAGATGAATACGACTTAAATGAAATATTTGATCCTTACAGGGGACTACATCGGCCTAAGAAAAGGACAGAACTGTTATGAACAAGAAAAAATGAATAACTGCTCAAACACTATGTTTGCATGTATGTTGGATTGTCACGAAGACAGCCCTCCTCCTTGGCTTGAAGACGCATGCGCAATAGAGAAAGCATGCACAGTCAAAACTGTTGTAACAAACAATTTTGTGGTGTGCAGGATGTATTAGAATCTTTCGCACATGTAATAAATTTTGATGTCTAGGAAAGTTCAAATCAGGTCTGTAGTGTTCTTTCAAATCAATCTGTCTTGCTACAAATCAGGTTATTGCAGGTTGCGAAAAAAGTTTGTAGAATGTGGAGAGCAGTTGTACTTGTTTCAACAAAATATGTGCATGTTGCCTGTTTTACCGGTTCAAGGCTGTCTCAGTCTTTTGCAGCAAGTACAACGGTTTTTTCTCAAACTGAAGAAGTGTCATAAACCCGAAACGTTTGTTTAAAAGAAAAAACCATTTGACATTTTTTGGTATTTCTTTACCAGATATCACTTCGTCAGCTGTTGCAGTAAAGGTGTCACGCATTCGTGACGGTTTTTCCGTTTAACTTTCATAAGTGACAGATCATACGAAAGCCGAGTCCAATAATTGACCACTACAGATAATAGCATAAAGCACCAAAATGCTCTTTGTTTATCAGGCCAAAATTTTGCAAAAGCATTGTTCTCAGTTTCTCTTGGGGCCATTTTAACTCCCAAGAGAAACTGAAGACAATGTTTATGCAAAATTTTGGGGTGACAAACAAAGAGCATTATGGTATGTTATGATATTTTCTGTTGTGGTAAATTGTTTTAATAATTCTTTCAAAATAATTCATACTGCAAAACAAGCTTCCTCGTCGAATTCACGATATGACGGAATGTTTAGTTTAAATAGCAGTTGTAATCAGCTGAGTGGTATTTTTACTTTTCTTGCCATGTTTTTAGGCAGAAGAGTTTGGCTTATTTTTTTCTTTGCAAAAAGGTGTTTACGTCATGTTCTACAACTCTTAAACAAACAAACAAACAAAAACCAAACTGATCGATCGATCGCAAGCTTGTCCCCAGAGTTTCTCGGTTGCCGTCCCTTATTCTGGCGGTAGCCTGTACTTTTGACGTCATTTTACCAGAGATCGCAGATCTCTTCCAAATTATATCAATGCTAGCTGGTTATGAAGAATCAGCCGGGGGATTTTAGCTAATCAGAAAAGGAGAAATATTTTGAATGAATAAACGATTGTTGGACAGTGGGGGGCGGGGCACTGGATAGGGTTGAGCAAAATATCGTGATTTGTCAGTGGCGAGCAGATCAATTATTTACCGAGACACTGACAAACGATAACCGATAACCGAGTTCTATAGTTGTTTTATCATTCGATCTCCGAGGTTTTTTTTTAATGAATATCTTCGGGAAGCGAAGCGATGTGCTATTTTCACGTAAGAAGGTAAAAAGCGTGGTTTCATTTACGCATGAGAAAAATATTATTTCCAATTGGATGACATTACGCATGAGCAGACCATTATTTGTAGGCAGTCATTTGCAGGTGACGTGGTGGGCTCTCGGCCAATGAAAAGGCACCTTAAAGTATTTACTCCAATATGAATAATCTAAATTAAAAGACTAAAAGCAATTTTTTTTTGTTCTTTTCAAAAGACATCCAGAAAGTTATCGCAAGTAGAAGGTTCCTTTTAAAAAGAAAAGCCGTAATTAGCTTTTTGGACCACCAGAAAACCACTAGCTGGCATTCAGTGACGCTAACACTCGTGACGTCATCAATGCTAGGATAAGACGCTCTTCAAAATACTAAACTTGGAGGGCCAGTTATTTAAACGGAGTTAACCAATGCTTAGCAAAACCGTGTTGTAAGTCATTTTCAGTTTGCCCAACGCTTTTATCTAAACACCATTTGTCGCGAACAGTTTCATTAAAGCATTATAGAGTAGATTAGAAAAGTATTTATCTTCTTAAATTGACCCACTAAGGAAGAGATCTGGAGGTCAAAAGATTTCTTAAACAGCGGTCTAAGTTAGACTTCGTTTAAACAACGGACCAAATGATTTCCCTGAAAAAATTCCTTCCCTCTCCCCAAAATCACTCAACAAATATTTTATTAAACTTGCTTCCAGCCTTATAGTTTCACATGCTTTCCACATCGTATGTAAACAATAATTTAAGAAAAGTAAATTGTAAGCTTACCCTAGAGAGAATCTAATTTGGTTACTGCTCATTAAGGGAGAAGGAGTCAGACATAAAGCCATATTTGCAGACAGCTGTTAAGACATTTTTAAACGTGTCTCTCTGGCAATTAAACATATGTCGTTAATATTATCGCCCTGAAAAACAGACATCGGATTAAACTGGTTTAACTGACCGCGAGTTTAAAGCCGAAAAGAAAGAAAAAAAGATTTTATTACATACTTTTAAAACTGGTAACGCCTCCTTAAGGACAGAAATACCATTTTTAATACTATTTTAATTCATGGGAATTTGTTTTAATTTTTTGGAAGCTAGGTTATTAACGTGGTAATTAATACATCGGTGTATATGTTATTAACCGGAGTTTGATGTTCTGTCAAATGCCTGTGCCAGAAGCGACGTATATACCCAAAGATCGACAAAGATATTCATACATAATTAAAATTTAATTTTGTAGTAAACTGGTGGTATTTGAAAACAGCTATCACTTTACCTGAAACGGGTTAACAGCATTTGTCAAGTTCTTCCTGTTTTTTTACAGAGTTCTTCGAACGTTTCTCCAATCGATCGGTGATGTTCTCTTCTTCCTCAATCAGCTTGTCTCTCCTCATTCCGTTGTTTTCAGTGATCAGACCCGATGCGGCTATTGCTCAACTGGAGGGTTAGTTTCCCTTACATTTATTTCAGTTTGGTCAGGTTGTTCGTAAACGTAGCCTTTGTTGCTTTGTATCAATGATAAAATTATAAAGAGATCTAAAGATTCTCGTCCTCCCCGCATAGCAACCTAGGTTCGGGGGATATGATAGAGAATGCACAATTATATAAGAACTGCTTAAAAAATTTGAAAAAAAATTAAGCGCATGAGGTAAGCTATGAATGTAAACCATGCTTTTTGTTAATTAGTTTTGAAATATCACAAAAACTACAATTTACAAAAATTTAACATTAAATCGTAGATTATCAGACCTATACTGTTTGCCGAAAAAAAAAAAAAACAAGAAAAGAAAGAGAAAATCGTTGTGTTGTGTTCACGCCCTCGATAAAACGTTAAATGAGAAAGTTTTCGTGCAGTGACGATTTTTTTTTTAACATGAATCGATCATGCAGCCTTCCGTCCACGAAACCACAGAATTCGTTTATTCATCAGCGTCCTATTGTCTAAAAAATTATGCCCTATCAAAAAAAGCTAAAAAATATAGGGATTTGTGTGGACGGGTACTTATAGATTAGCAAAAAAAAAAGCAATTTTCCACGTACATCTCACTTTTTGATACATTTCTTTGCCGTCCAGATGCGGTTTCAAAAGTATCCGGATTCATGTGAACGGGACCTGAACCTTTTTCCCTCTTGGCGTTTTCGTTCTGTCCTCAACGTTGTTGCTTACGCGCCCTATTGATATTCGCGGTGAGTTGCTCCCGCAATTCTCCATTTTTCTTTCTCCTGACTTTTTATTTTTGCACGTTTTAGAATTTACCACCATGTATCACACCAGTCTTCGTCAAGATGTTTTTATGAAGGAAGAGTACCATTACTTAAACGTGTCTAAAGTTGGAACATTTACAGTGTACCACAGCCTTGACTGCACCTTTGAATGCCTTGGTAATCCTTCCTGTTTGTCCTTCAACCTGGCAGCTTACAAAGGAGCAGATGGAAAGTTTCTGTGTGAGTTGTTACCGTCAGAAAAGTACAGCAATCCTGAGGAGTATAAAAGAAATGACAGTTTTCGTCACTTTTCCGTCAAGGTGGGGTTAATTCTTTGTATAAAGTTTAAAGAAAGATATTTTTTATATATCAGGTCTACGCGATTTTAATAATGTGTCTTGAAATATAAGATACTTTCGTGTAAACGTAAAACTCGGCGCCGTAATTCTTTATAAAATTAAGGTTCTTTATATAGAATATCAGCTAAGACATCGAACAGGAACTGGCGTAAAAGTGACTGACGATAAGACGTCGGAGTTATTCAGTCCAATGTCACTTTCTCCCTATTTTCTTGCCTCAACACTTAACCGAGGAACAAAATTACCTTAATGAAAAGAAATCATATGACATCAAAATTTTTTATTATTATTTCAGACTCCTTGCATGTCATCACCGTGCCAGAACGGAGGCACCTGTGTAGCGAACTACAAATATCACACGTTTGACTGCCGTTGCAAGGAAGGGTTTTATGGAGAATTCTGTGAAGGTAATTGATGTACCGCCGCCCTGTACATCAGTTCAAGGCAGCATAAATAGTAAAGCCGTCGTCCCTGATATTTAAAGCCTATAGTCAGGTGTGCAACGTGCAAACAATCTTCTCTTGGCGTCTTTTTATCCTAGGCCTGCTTTGGTGCATCTGTAGATTAATTTGTCTTACTCTCAAAAGTCGATTTCTCTCTTGTCACCACCCAGCCGAAATCGATCAAGCGGAACAAAACCGGCGCTGACATGACCGTCGAAGTTTGAATCATTTTCTTTCCAACAAAAACTGTTGAACTTCCCCGTCAAGTTCACCTGTGGCTTTCTCTCCTCCCCCCTTCTTTTGCTTTTCTTCCTCCGTCCTTTTCTACTTCGCTTCATTTTAACAATTTAAAAGAAAACTGATGACGTCACAAGTGGTACAAGAAAGGTGGCTAAAGAAACGGGCGGTTAGAGTAGCTGGATGTGGTGTGAATCTGTTAACCCAAACGTAGTCTGTCTCATAACCTGCGTAGCAGGCGTTAAAAGGGGAAGGGGAATGGGGAATTTGGGCGCGCGAGGGAGAAAGGAACGCCTGCAAGGACGCCATTGTTTTCTCCATTTTTCACGCTCAGATTCTGAGCGTGAAAATAGTGACTGGTCAGAATTAATTAAATGTCAATCTTCGACTTAATGCCTTTTTCTGATTGGTTGAAATCAACATCACGCCATTGAGTAACTAAACATATGTCATTAGTGAAGCGTGATGAGATTTCTCTACGGTAATTCATCGTTAGAAGGCATCATTTTCAGCTTAAAAGGAGAATAGAAAATAGCAGTTAAAGAACCGTGTGAAGGAAAAGGCCTGTCAGCAGATGAGTTTTACACACTGGTTCTGAAAAGTATCATCTCCCAACGGCTTGTCGGTTTTACTCGCCAGAAGAAAGAAAGGAAAAATCATGCTGCCTGTGTGCTTGTTATCTGCTGTCAAGAGCCATAATAGGACAGGTCCTATTATGGCTCTTGCTGCTGTTTGACCCTCGTTATCAACGGCAAAGACGAAGCGAGCCACAACTTTTGGCGATTTTTGCTTGAGGACTTCTTCTTGCCGGTTATAAAACCGCCAGGAACTTACTGTAACAATAAATTGTTGCCTTCTTGCAGATCTGCGAAGTTCAGCTCTTCTTGCCCCGCCACCAGTGTTCTTTTGTGTGCTCCGCTGAATCCAATTCGTCCTGATAGAAATTCAAAGAGTGCGTGACGGCAAAGTGTTTAAATTTTTGTTAGACAAACATTGCATTGACTAAGTTGCGAAGAGCCGTTACATTTCTTATTAAATAGTTTTCCTGCCCGATTCCTTCAGCAACAACTTGAATAGATTTATCCTGGATTTTATGTAACTCGGCACGCGTCGTTGCAACTTTCAAGGAAGATTCCTTCGATGGACGACCGCATTTGAACTTTTTTTATAGTACCTTTACTTTCGATTTCTTTTTTTAGGAAAATAAAAGAAAAACAGTGCGAGATATAGAAATACGACTAGAATACGTGCATCGCGACCAGACTTATTTGACAGCTAGTCATTCACAGTTGCGTTATATTTGTTATTTTTTTTAACTAGTAGGCGGGATGGCGAAAACAATGGCTTCCTTGCGGGCGTTCCCCTCCTCCCTCCTCCCTCGCGCGTGGTCTTGCGCCTTAATTCCCTTTCCCTTCCCTTTCGAACGCCTGCCACGCAGCTTATCTGTCTCACATAAAAAGGCAAAGACCCGTAAAAGGAAAGTGGGTAACCTGTGGTTTGAATGTTGTCTTGTCCTTTATCCCCCCTCCTCCCTTAATTATCGGTTCTTGGTAAAGTAAGAGAAAATCTAAGTTGAGTTTGTGTTTCAAATTTTTTTCAGTTGCAAAGTCATGTCAAGTCCTTTATGATCAGCTCAAGGAAAAGTGAGTATCGCTACTGATTTAAAGAATAATAAAATTATATACGAAAAAATAAAATATAGAGTCCCGATGAGGCTGTTCGTACACTATGAAACAGCCAAAAGTTTTAGTCATGAAGCGTAAAAAAGAAAAATTTTTAATCGTTTTAGTAAAAAAGTTGACCGTAAAAAGTTTTCTAGCAACAGTTTGTTGTACAGAGAGTTTTGATATTAGGACCACACGCGATGTGTATCATGGCTGATGCATCTTTTCAACCTTTGTTTCCATCCGTAGCAAGGTTCTTTGTGCCCACCGAGTTAAAGGAACTGTGTCAGGAAATTTATCAATAGTAATAGCCTGCGTAGTAGTCCTATCCTTTTCGTTTAAGACAAGTGCCTCAAGCACTAAAAGATGCGCGAGGGCATTGGGCACTGGGCGTCTCGTTTCTACCTCTTGGCTCAAAGGAAACGCAGACGACTGCTACGCAGGATACCGCGGTGGCAACTGCCATTAAACTGATTGAAACATAACCTTATCGGTAACCATGCACTTAAAACATTAATAGAAGGTATAAGAACAGGAAATACAAAATAAAGGCACGGATGAAAAAGCTTTTACATGTAAAAGGTTTAAAACGTTTTGCAACTGCAAGAAGGGCTTGGACGCTCCGCAAGGGCCAACATCCGCGAAGGAGTACTTTTCTAACGCCGATCTATATATATATTTTCGCTCGAACACTTTCGAATTTGGTGCTTAAATGTTTATTAGATCCCAAATACGCATGTTTTAAACGACTAGGCTGCTTGAAATGATGAACTTGTTTTGGTCGAGCGGTCAATGCCAGTCACGGCTTCTTTGAAGTTTGACGACTTCGAAGCCCGATTTACGTGGTTTATTTTTCACTTCCCCAACGTATTTTACGACTTCCAGATCGAGTAATAAATAAATATCGTAAGTATAACCATACATTTAGAGAAAGTAATCGTTAACTTTGTCTAGTTTTCCTTTTCGCTGAAAATTAACGATTATGGATATGATTTTTGGTCGCGATTTGGGGGCCTGGGAACGAAAAAACAAATTAGAGGCAAATGACACGTAATTTTTTGGCATGGGAAATTATGGGATTTTTAGGAGTATTATGAAAGTTCAACATCCAAAAGGTCTACTTGCCATAAAATAGCACTCCAGGGCAAATTGTCTCTGAGATATTAGCCCAGTTATGCTCTGATGACTCCATTATCATAGATCCTTCTAAATTTGACTTAGTTTATAACATTAGAACCGAGTCAAATTTAGAAGAATATGTATGGAGCGACCAGAGCAAAACGGGACTAGTATCTACGAGACAATTCGCCCCAGAAGGCTAGTTTTTGTAGGCCTTTCAGATGTTGTTCATTCAAAATATCCCAATAAATTTTATAATTTCCAAAAATTGATTTTATGACGTCATCACTTTAAAACTCGATGTCCCTTTCCCCTTCCTTCTGAACACCTGCTACTCTGGTTACTAAAGTCATCTTGTATGAACGAACTTAATTCGCTCAGAACACATTATTAAGGAACATTCCATTTTTTTCTCCGACAGTTAAGAGCTGGAAAAATTAAAATGAGATTTCATTTTGTACAGGTTGAACGTGACTCAGTTAGTCACTCTCCTCCTTGACTCCAAACTAGTTTCAGTTCTCTGTCACTTTGGAAATTTTGGATGCGGAGATGGAGGATGGACACCGGTCATGAAGATGGACGGCAACAAGGTAAAACATGTGTACTTTTTCCCTTAGTTTGGCAACGAGCGTGGAAAAGAAAGTGTTATAATTAGACACAGGTTTGCTTTTGTCACTGAAAGGATTAAATTAACTGCAAAAACCGTGCACAAAGATCCTGCTAGTTGTAAACGTTGGATCTCCAGAAAAGAGATCTAATCAGCCAAAATATAAAGAACCAAGAACGAGAAGTCCAAAGACTACTGCAAAGCTGATTTAAAACGTGTATTGTTTTTTACACTCCTCTAACCGTTGCAAATGAAGACGTCTTTAAGCAACCGCCTTTTGTTGCTTACAGACGTAGCTCTAATCTTCGTGACCTTTTAGTTAAAGCACAGTTACCCGTTATCTCCACCGATCCGGCATTTTCCGCCAGGCTCCTTCCGCTTTGGACAGAATTGTGTCACTTGTCCATACATTACCAACGGCCTCACAAGTTATACCTTTTACGCTACAGGTGAAACACGCTCCATCACTTCACACATTACTTCTAACACTAAAAATGTGATCTACATCGTAACGTAATGTAACCGTTGTAATTTACACTATATAGGTGAAACTAAGCGACGTCTCAAGCACAGATTTAACGAAAACAGACGTGCAGTCGACAAAACTAACATTAAATCTAAACCCACCACTGTTTCTGAACACTTTCTCTCTCACTCTAACAATTCTCATACTGACATGCAGTTAATCCCACTAGAGAAAATTCGTTCTTCACGTGACTCAGTTCGTAAGGCCAGGGAGTGACATTTGATAGATAAGGCCATGACTCTTGAACCTCATGGCCTGAACCGCCGTTACGAATTATTGTAATCCATATCCTTAGTATTTTTTCCTTTCCAGTTTTTATGTTGTACGTCATTTCCGCCTCTCCCTTTTAAACAATTTTTATTGTGACATTCTCCATCTATATAACATTGTGATTCCTACATAAGTTCAGTAACATCTGTAAACCTGAAGAAGGCTGGTATTGCCAGCCGAAATATTCTTATAAAAAACAATACACGTTGATTTAAATCAGCTTTGCAGTACTCTTTGGACTCCTCGTTCTTGCCTCTGTCAGCAATAATTCTCAATCATCCTAACCTGCGAATACAGCCGTTTCTTCTTGCTCTCCGCCGCTAGGGACGTTTCGCCAGGAGGAATTCTGCGCCGCAGGGACATAAATTCCATACTGATGAGTAAAATCTGTCTGGAATCTGGTCAGGAGCTCTGATTGGTCAGCATAGTAGTTATATTGTTTTACCTATTGTTTACGAATGACAGACAAAAGATAGAAGGTCACAAGGGTCAAATATAAACGGGGTAGTAAACGTGACGAATATATTTTCTCTAGAAATAGTAGCTGAGTTTTGCTGGAGCTTGTTCCCAGTAGAACACAAAACTTAACTATAATCGACCAAGAGAAACATAAAATCCAGCAAATTTACATTTGGAACCCCATGACTACAGAATTTGTTATGTAAACATTGATTTACGTCATCAGTATAGAATTACTGTCACTGAGGCGCAGACGTTCCTCCTGGCGAAACGTCCTTAGCAAGGAGAAACGGCTGTATTCGCAGGCTACAATTATCCCCGAAAAATGCGAAAGAATATCTCGGCGATTAATGAAAAAATAAATAAATAAATAAACTACGAATTTCGAATGTGCAGCGGATGAATGAAAAAGCAATTGCTTTACACTTTCTCTGTCGAATTTTTTTTAACATTCCTTTTTACTAGACGAGTGAATGGGAATTAACAAAGTTTAGGGAGTCGATTATCATGTAAAGCCGACATAGTTACATCCCCTGTTTGCAGATTCACGCCGCTGAGTACAGTTGAATCTTTGCTTAAGGGCACTGACCTTCCTTGTCCGACGGACACTCAGTCTGAGACATTTTTGTTTTCATAAGTTTGATTTCATTTACCATTTTAGTAAAAATTCGGCAAGGATGTACTAAGTAATTAAAAATAATTAGATGATGGGAGTGTCTTCCTTTTTTTCTGTTGAGAAAGCTTCGTGCCCAAGGAAAACATTGTTGCCAAATGGCGCCCACGAAAACGCCATTTTCAGCGTGATTTAAACACAATTTTTTGTATATAAAATTTCAACAAGAGTCTTGGATCCTGCTTTCAGAAAGCCCATCAAATTACAGTGAAGTTTACTGGAGGCTCGACCTTACCATATATTTGAAAATTTCTCGCCTGATTCTTTCTAGTAACTTAGTAACCAAAGCCGCAAACGATGACCCTTTTGACTTAACGTTCGATATGAAGAAATCTGATCATGTGATTTTTAGACAAACCAAAGCAGAATAATAATGTAATTAAAAACAATGTCAGTCTATTTCTTCTATCAAGAAGACAACCTTGTTCCCAGGATCCTCTCGTACTCCCACCGGGAGATGAGTAGGAGCGGAGCCAGGGAACGAGGGTAGGCCAATTAACAAACCATACGTAAATCTAATAACTCTTTACCTATGCTAGAGATTGTATTTTTGTTATGAATTTTAACACAGCAAACGTTTCACTACGACTCCAGTCTCTGGAGAAGCAAAAATGCCTTTAAACTTGACGGAGGGAAGACTGGGTTTGACTCACAGGAGACCAAACTTCCCTCCTACTGGAACACATCCTTCTCCAAGATCTGCCTCGGTATGAAGATCGGTCAGCAGATCAGGTTTATTGTCATCAACCAACAGGCGAACTCCTTGTACTCTCTGATCGCTGATGGGCAATACCGCAACACCTCACTGGGTCGTAAAACGTGGAAGTCACTGATTGGCTCTAAGGCCTCCTTGCAGATTGGTTGTAACAGGGAAGGATTTAACGCTAAGAGTGACAAGCAGAATTTAGGTAAAGACATGGGCAAAGCAAGAATCGGTATTCTTGGTAACGATGAACACACGTTCTGCGATAAATGTGACTCCAGAATTGGGTTTGGTACTGGCGGTTTGCATGATGACAGCAATACATGTGGGAATGAGAATGCCATCACCGGAAAGCATACAAAGGGACTAGGTTACATCCTAGTACAGTGAGACGGTAGTACCAAGTTCACTCTAAAAAGCTTAAAGTCCTTTGAAAATCATGTTAACTTAGCAATTTTGGCAGTCGACTCTTGTCTTTATGATAACTGGCCACCGATGCCCCGTTTAAATAAAAGTCACTAAATAAATTTTTTAGTTCTGCAGACGCAATCGTAGCAAAGAGGACTATATATATATCTTTGCTTAACATGTGCATCAGTTATTAATACCGTAAATCACAATAGATAACAATGGATAAGTGTAGTGTTTTTCATTAGGGTACTGAACAAGTGGTGTGACAAAACAGGTTGAGCAAGTTAAGCTCCGTTAAGTTTCCTGGCCCCAGAAAGAATTGTAATAGGGTCTGGAATGGAAGGGCGGGGGGGGGGCGGTCTGGATCACGAATCACGGGTTAAATAATTTCCGTACATTCATGAATCACGCTACCTTTTAGAGTCCGTCACGAATCACGAACTGATCAAGTCTATCAATGACCGCTTAGTGTGGTTGCCGGACTTGAACTACTGTATTGGAAAGAGTTGGTCTGAAATGACCCCGGTTTGTTGGAAGGAAACAAAAAGTATGTATGGTGATCAAACTTACGATTCTATACTTGTCTGTTTGAGCGAATAAAGGAAGACAAAATTGTATCTATTCTTTATTTTAGTTCGATTTAATTGTTATAATAATGCTAATAAGACTTTCACTTTTTTTTATAATATCAATTATCTCCCTTCATCCAACATCGCAAAAATGTTATAATAGACTTTACTCACGATGCTCGGCATCTTTTTTGCAAGCGCTTTAATTTAGGATTGTTGGGATAAAAGCAATGCTACGTAGTATTTCAAACAAGTGATACATTTTGTCAATACGAGTAATCGCGGTCAAAAGCGAGGCGAACATTCTAGCCTTGAAAAATGCATAATTAGAAATTCGACAAGTTTTACGCCATTATAACATTAACTTCACATAAGAATCTAAAGGTTAGTTTAAACTGTTGTTATAATTTAGACGTGGCTTGTATTGTTGCTCAGTAATTAAAAAAAAAAACTTGGAAATGTGACGTTTCTGTTTTCTTTTCTTTCTGATTCTCTAACCCTAACATTATGAAGCGAAACTTTTATAGAATCGATCATCCTGTGGCAAGAGAGCTTCCTCTAGTCATGTCCAATACTACCGCACCATTACGGACCGTTAATCAGGGGAACCCAACGTCAATTTTTGGAAAATAACTTTTCGGAAGACGATTTGAGATCTAGAATTTTCGGAACATTTCTTGTAAAATTTCTTGCCGTCCTGCCTCTTCTAGGATTTTCGAACATCTAAAAAATGGTATGATTACCCTTTTTTAAAGGATTTTTATCCTCAAAAGGTCACCTAGAATTTTCGGGAGTCTTTTTTCTGGATGAAATTTTCGAAAAGGTAAGTTTTGATCCCTATAATTTTCGGATCACTAGACTTTTAGCTAGGAAATCCGAACAGATGAAAATTTTTAGGGGATGAAAATATACCTATATCTACCATTTAAATACTAAAATACGTTCAACAATGCTATGTTTAAGTGGTTTTGGACTATATTCTCGTTGGGTGCCCCTGCTTTAATTAAGAGCAGTTGACGGATCGTACGCTCCGCTCCGTATAAACCAAGAAAGCACTTTTCAAGAAGTTGCTTTGTAATTAGAATATTCATACCGGAGGATGGGTTGCAAGAAACTTTTCATGCGCGATTCCCGGTTACGGTCAAGTCATAATAGTGACTGCGCTATAACTTGAGGTTTTGCTCGAGGCTTCGCCACTCGTGGCTTCGGCCTTTTGCCGTAGATGACACGGAAATATTAGAGACCTTAAGATACCCCGAAATCGGTGTACGGGTAACGGGCATGTTTTTTTTTCATTTTGTGGTGACGTCATCGACCTTACCCGGTAGAACCAGCCGTTTTTCCGGGGTAGACACCAGTTTACCCGTAGAAGATTTACGAGTAGCTGCAAGTCCTACATGATGGAGAAACGAGTAAGTTTTTAAGACTTTTTAAGTACAAATGTAAATTGTATGACTCCTTGGCAATGTTATTGCAAGTCTGTTCAAATATTTTTGCCAAATTTGAATTTTAGCTGTAAAGAAAGCGCTTCAAAATGTATTGATTTTGGACCTCAAATGCGCAGGTTGAACTCTGAAACGATATCAATTTGTGGCGGTATTTGGGGGAATTTCTGAGAATTGCTAGAACGTTTGAGTTTCGCAAAAGAAATAGCATTGAAAAATTTAGCATGGGAGTCACTGTTGAAGTTGACAATCAAAGGAATTGTTTGGTGATGTGCCTCGATCGGGGTTTGCGATAAACATGCCTCGCGGGGTTTGCGATAACAAGCTTTCGGTCGAAGGACTTCCCACCAAGTTTCTTAAAATCTTTCTATGATATGTCAATAAGCTTATGTATGAATGAATTATTTGTTGCAGCTTGTTGTTAAGATATGAAGTGTAGAATTTGAGGGGGCTTTTGTATGCATTAAGCGACATGCATGTACAAAGTTAATTTTGCGTGCTTGTTCTTTTAATTCTTCGGGTATCTTAATCGAAATAGTCACGCACATGAACATTTTACGTGTACGGGTACGCTACCCGTACCCGTACAATGATATCGGGGTATCTTAAGGTCTCTACTAATTGGTCCCCAGGGCTCCTTACAGATTGGCTGTAACAAGGAAGGATTTAATGTCAAGAGCTACGCGAAGTATTTCGGTAAAGACCTGGCTAAAGCAAGAATCGGTATCATTGGAAACGAAATAGACGACTGTGGTAAATGCGACTCCAGAATTGGGTCTGCTACTGGAGGGGAGCATGATGACAGCAATGCATGTGGGAATGAGAATCCTGGGGGCGGAACACGTACAAAAGGACTAGGTTACATCTTGGTACAGTGAGACAGTAGTACCAATTACAAACTAAGAAGCTTAAATCATTTTAGCAAGCTTTATCTGTATTGAAGATACAACTTATTCCCGTGGCGGCAAATTTTGTTAGTCTTTTGTCTCTACGATATTAAATTGGCCATCAATGACTCGTTTAAGAGTAAAATGCAGATTTTTTTACCACGTGCATCAGTGGTCATAAGTAACCGTACATCACAATACAGAAGGCAGGGTGACCTTTTGTAATTAGAGACCTTAAGACTGAGGTTTTTCGGCAATTCCCGCAGCCAGAGTTATTACTAAATCACCCTTTGGTAACGTGACCAACTAATGCAAACGGCCTTTTATGTCACAACAACTAGCACCGCAAAATTTTTGCTAAAACGAAAAATTAAAGGTAAAAAACTAGACGATGATTTTAGTATTGCACAATTTGAAATGGATAATAAGTTTTACGCCACATGGAATTTTTATATGTCTTATACTGAGGGTCATGTAGCAGCTGCTGGGAAGAGGTCACCAATTAATTAAAATGGCGCGTTTCCCTGACCCCAGTCAATACTAAAACAATTGGAAGAATGACATGTCATTTTTTCCTGCGACCAATTAGGAGAGACCTTCCGAGCAGTTCCTACACTACTCGGGTGGGTTATACTGAACTTGGCTTACATCGTTGCGCTGTAATTAAAGCAAAATTCGAAATGTGATGTTTCTAAAATATTTTCTTTTCTTTCCAACTCTCTAACCTTAACATTTATGTAGAAAAAAACGTTTTCTTGAATCTATCATCCTTTAAGGGAAAAAATGGCGTTGTTCTCTTGTTTTTGCACAAAATTTTGTTGCAATCAATAATTAGTCTAAGAGCAGTCAACTGTCAAGAACCAAGGTTCCCCCTCTACAGAGTCAGTTCGTGAATTTCTGTTTCTGCGCTGAATTCTTGGATACAAGAAAAAAATTATCGGAATGGCAAATTTTCAGCCTAGTCCCTAGGCAATCTCTCTTGCCCCGTTGTCCGCGCGAAGTCTGGGAAAGAGGGGGTGTACTGTCGCAATTTGTAATAATCATCGCACTTTGTAATACCTGTCGCAATTTGTAATAAATCCATCGCACTTCACCTGTCGCAATTTGTAATAAACCGTGTCGCACTTTGTAATAAAAAAGCTGTCGCAATTTGTAATAACAGTCCATCGCACTTTGTAATAAACTAAGCTGTCGCAATTTGTAATAATTCCATCGCACTTTGTAATAATTTTTTGAGAGTGATTCAACTTACTTCGTCAACATTAATATAATGCCAAAATATGCTACTTCATAAACAAAGATGGTGACGTCTGCTAGCACGTAACATCTCCGTAACATTTTCTTTGGTAAAACATGCATGTCTACCGCTATAAATTTTTCTGCCTTGATTAATCACGTGACAAACTAGAAAAGCTTTTATGAAAGACATGAAACTTCCTGTGACATATCACCAAAAAGATATGAATCATGTTTAAAATCAAGAATATTTAAATAACAAAAGCAACAGTTAACAACAGAAAATTCATGAATAACCTGGCATTCGTCGTCCAAATCCATGTTTGCTTGCCACGTGACACGTGAAGTCTTCGGGGGGATAATCCCATATATGGATGGGCTAGACAGAGCATTGTCAGAGTACAGGATCTCGACAGAGCTAGACACACTAGACACAAACGAACCATTATTAAAAAGCATTTAATTTCCGCAAATCGTAACATCCATCCTACATCATTCGAATAAGGACACCACGAGAGTTCAAGCTTTCCTGGTTAGATCTTATAACAGGTCGATGCAACACGTTGTGCACCGTCCTTGTCTCACGCGCAATCTTAAAGAAGTAATAGTGGCTTCCATATTTTGGCCAACTTAATCAAACGAGGCCTGGAAAGATTCAAAATTTTTAGTGCAAATAAAAAAAAAATGTCACCAGTGGCAAACCGTCGAACCACAACAGAAACCTAAAAACAAAATCCAATTAGTCGCTGGCCAATACCTTCTTATGTACCTGTTTTTATAACACTCACTTGGGGTCTTACACTGAGCCGGCTGGGCATTTGGCCCATTATTCTCACTTGATTTGGTCCCATATAGGATCAAAAGGAGTACTCATTCCATCTTAAAACAATTATTTTCTCTAAGGAGTCCTCTAAAGCAAATACCATGGGACCGGGATAGTAAAAAATTATCCTTCCCTGCGTATATACAACTCTTTCGAGCGTGTTCTGGATTACTGTTTTTCCACAAAATGGAAAGGATGGAATAAACCATCCATTACTACGTGAGTTACCCTATCTAAGGATCAAACCAAAGACACAAGGCCAACAACGTAAAAAATGATACCCTATTAAAGGCTCGAGATCCTCAAAAACCATACCCTATCAGGCGGTACTTACCTATCTAGAGGCACATTCCCGTATTGGCCATATAAGGAAGTACACCCGCCGGGTAACCACTGAATGAAAACCACCTAGTACAATAGCAAGGTTTAAGAGTACAGCATTTCGTAAGTCAGATAACTAATCAACATTAATCTGAAAAAAATGTTTAGGACTGTGAATAAAGTTAAATGTTTGAATGAGCGGAGGTGTTACGTGCCAGCAGACGTCATCATCTTTGTTTATGAAGTACCATGCATATTTTGGCATTATATTAATGTTGACGAAGTAAGTTCAATTACTCTCAAAAAGTTATTACAAAGTGCGATGGAATTATTACAAATTGCGACAGCTTAGTTTATTACAAAGTGCGATCGACGGTTGTTACAAATTGCGACAGCTTTTTTATTACAAAGTGCGACACGGTATATTACAAATTGCGACAGGTATTACAAAGTGCGATGGATTTATTACAAATTGCGACAGGTATTACAAAGTGCGATGATTATTACAAATTGCGACAGTACAGGGGGCGAAGGTATCAAACTTCTTGTACTCGGTTCGCTGATGGGCAATACCGTAACACCTCTCTGGCTCGTTTCTGGTTGGTTTTTGTTCTCCTCTTTCACTGTATAAAATTTACCTAGGAAAAACTAACCGGCGCCTGCTATGTATGCTTTTGTCAATACGATAGAAAACACTTTCAGGAAGTTAAAATTCTAAATACTTATCGTGGACGTTCGCACGACGGACCTTCGACGTCTGTCTTATTAGTGGAGCTCCAAGCGCGCAAGAAGCGCGCCTAATCGGAGCCCCATAGGAGCCTGTCCGTCCGCACCACTGTGAAACCTGATATTGCACATCCATGCTGTGCTCAGTTTACAACTGACACCGTGTGCGCGGGCTCAGGTGTCGACCCATCGAGGTTAAATATTTTTAAGTTCTCCGCTGACATGTTACTGGTTTTCAACTGATCGCAGGCTCAACTCCAGGTGGATTTCTTTACAATGATTTCGCGTTTTTTGTTTGAAGTATATTATGAATTTATTAACTAAATCTATATATTAAAAACAGTTAACTTCTCAAGCGATCCACTCTTTCTGGGTGCGAAAGGAGTTTTTGTGTTCGCGACTTTGTAGCTGGATTGCAAAAAAATTTTTAAATCTTTGAATCTGATATTAGGGTAAGACTGATTAGAAATAATCATGCAAAGACTAGGAATTCAAAGGTTAAAATCAATTTCCAGTCGCTGTATTCAAAATAATTTGTGTAGTTAATATATAATTACTTGAAGCATAAAATACGGACAAGTCTGTTTCATGATACCGTATTGACGAGAGAACTAAATAAATCTTCAGTTTAAACTGAACATCATTACGAGGGGCGGTTGACAAACCGCGGGAATGGAGTCGGACTTGATCAATCCATTCTATCCCTATTAAATCTTCTGTCATTTAATGCGGTCACAGACTGAGGTTGGTCCCATCTGGTTCGATTCAACGTTAGTCGACACCTGTTACAAAGGAGCTAGGTCGAACGGAAGTAAAAACCACAAGTATCTCATGGGATTGGCGGCCACCCGAGCACGATAATTCACAGGAAGACCGCTGGCCGTACCTTTCACATACTAGATACAAATAAAATGAAAGAGCTACTAATTTTTCTAGTGTAGCTTTAGTCTACAGTGAGTCTATTTGACATTAACTTCACATAAGAATCTAAACGTTAGTTTTAATCTGTTGTCATTAAACGTTGCTTGTTTCGGTTGCGCTGTTAATTAAAACAAACTTGGAAATATGATATTTCTAATATATTCTTTTGTTTCCAATTCTCCGACCCTAACAGTGGAAGTTAGAGGGTTTAAAGGGGCTATGTCAGCTGGAGAGCATGTGCACTGAGGTTATGCAAATTACTTTCATCTGTGCAAATTCTATTGCTTTTAGCGCGTGAAATTCTCTGTCACGTACAGAGCGCCGAAATTTAGAACGACGGTTACAAGAGCAGAGGGTTTGGAAAAAGATATTTTGATAGAATTTAGTTAAGGAATTTCTTCTCTGGTTATGCTAGATCGAGTTCCCTCTATTTTGTCGTCAAGAATAAAATTGTTAAGATAATTTTATTTGTAGCTTTGAATTAAAAACGCATGACATTGCCGTTAGAGAAATTCAACAACAACATATTGTTGTAGTCAAAATAATAAATCAAAGTTTTATTTTATAAACAGACTCTAGACCAAAGATAAAGACCAAGATTGTTTCCGATCTTTAAGAATTAGACTTGTCGGTCGCTATTTGGGCCAACGTTTTCAAGTTTGTTTTCATCGGCTCGCGCATGCGCCAGGGGTGAGATTGTCCATTCTACGTCACTTTCCGAAGCTTCTGAGACGGACTGGAATATTTTTAGAACAGCGTTTTATACAAAACATGTGAGCCATCCGTAAGCTACTATCCTCACAAACTAAAAGAGTAGTCAATTGCAACTCGTTTGAGGGAAGTTAACCTTGCAAAAAAATTGATATGGTCATTGTGGGAGGATTGTCTCTCGCTACTCAGTATATTTTATCAATTAGCACAGAACTGAAACTTAAAGACGCTGCTATCCTTGGAAATGAAAATAGTGCTAGTCACTCGGGAAAGTAATTCCGCAAACAAGTCAAGTAGGTTTGGTCATCGTGAAAAATTGTCTCTCCAGTCGCGACTCAGACTATTTTAATTCCGTGGCTGTAGTACTACTCGGCATCGTCGCTTTGTACTAGGGTCTTCGATATACAATTGTATCATTGTTTTTTGATGCCGAGTAGTACTACAGCCACGGAATTAAAAAAGAGTAGTGACTCGAGAAAAGTAAACTGTGCAAACAAAGTGTTATGGTCGTCGCGAGAAGATTGTCTTTCGATAGCTACTTCTTTATTTAACAGCTTAGGTACTGAAACATCAAGTAAAGACATTTTGTTTGAGTGTCAAGGGCCGGGCTGCAAGGTTTTCCATTCCTTACCAAAGCCACCCTAACCCTCGCTTACTAGGCAAGCTTGTTACGCCAGCTGGTGCCTAAAACAAGCAACTCGCCGGCTGATTCCTTAAACCATGATGGGTAAATTGTGGTTGCAAAAAAGGACATTTCTTAATCCAGCCTACTTGAAATAAAGTGCTTAAGACCTGAAAACAAAAACACATTTTTAACTGGAAGTACACATTACTACGAGAATTTCTCACTGGAAAAAAAAAATTTCGATTTGAACACAGCACAATTTCAATTTTGAATTTGTTTGAAACGTTTAACTTTGCCGCCATTTTGGCAGACTTTTCTGTTCTTTTTCTTGTACAAAACGACGCTATTTAGTTCTGCCATTACATTGTTATATAGTGTTTCTCCTTCTTTTGCCCAGAATTTTGTATTTGGTGATTACGGAAATCGGTATACATAGAAGTTAAGTTCCAGAACTTCAATTAGCACCCATATTGAGCTCGATAAGAGAGGAGAAGTGTTACGTCACTTTACCATGGTAGCAAAATTTTTGGACAATAGGGAGCTTAAGCATCGACGATGGCGACAGCAACGAGAACGGCAAAAAGCAATAGGTTTAAATTAGCAAAACAACAACTTTGCTCGTGCTTCAAGCTTTTTTGTACATTTTCTAGCCGTTGTTGCCCGACTGCGACATGAAACTTCCTAATTTCACGCGCCCACTTTATAGAGCAGGTGAACACAACATAGAAATTTTCTTTTCCTTTTTGTAAACTTAGATCCTGTCCTTTCGGATTCAACACCTGAAATAATGTCGCCAATATTTGACAAATTAACTGAAATGGAATAAAATCTACGAAGTTTGAAACAGGGCGAATTCACTTTTTAAGCGAAGTTTTCGGTTTGTTGTCATCCAGAAATTTTGCTACCATGGCAACGTGACGTAACGACTTCTCCTCTCTGTTGATAGCATGATTCCATCCACTTTCTTTGAAATAAAATTTAGTTTTGGCCAAAAGGAGTAACTTGAACAAATTGACGAAAGCTATCTAAGTTGCATGAATTTTGGAATTTCCAATCAATTAAATAGAATAGCTGCTTTGAGGTCTCAAAAAGCTCACCAACATTGTTAAAATTTCTTTGAATCATTTTTGGAACGTTTGTGAACAAACTTAAGTTTGAAATTTAAACTACCCAAACCACGTATCCCGCCCTTTTAGCTGGTGAGGCAATTAAACTACGGACATGCATTTAAAATATAAATTCCACAGCAGGTGATTCCTTTTAATAGCACGTTAATATTGAGTTTGTTAACAGTTAGGTGGACATAACTACACAATTACCATGTATACGCAAATCCGGATTAGAATTTGGTCTTGCGTTTCATTTCATTCTGAAGGGTTTCGACTGCATCGAAGTCCCAAAAATTTAGTTTAAACAGCTGATTCCCCATATTTGGAAAGTTGTCATAAAAAGGCTCCCTTTTTATTGATGCAACAGACGTACTTAAATATTTAAGACTATAAACTAAACATAACTTAACAGCACCAATTATGATAAAAAAACCCACGTAGTCTCTAAAACCTTATTGAACAGTATATTCTTCTTATTTGGCAAGTCGTCAAAAAGATATTGTATTTAAAGACTAATAAAAGTATAATTTAAATTTTATTCTTTTTGGACACACAGAAAACGAATTTGCGATGGCTACTGATTGGCTACCGCTTTTATTCAGACCGGTGTCGTCATCGATAGTAGAATAAGGCATTTAAGAAGAAACTAAACGTGAAGTCTTTTCTAAAATAATTAACCTTCCTTTTACCCCAAATCACACTAAAAATAATTTAGTATGTTCACAAAAGAAAAATAAACTTTTAAGTTGACGCTCAAGACAATTGAATTAATATTCCCTTATTAAAGTCCTTTGAAAATCATGTTAACTTAGCAATTTTGGCAGTCGACTCTTGTCTTTATGATAACTGGCCACCGATGCCTCGTTTAAATAAAAGTAAATAAATTTTTTAGTTCTGCAGACGCAATCGTAGCAAAGAGGACTATATATATATATCTTTGCTTAACATGTGCATCAGTTATTAATACCGTAAATCACAATAGATAACAATGGATAAGTGTAGTGTTTTTCATTAGGGCACTGAGCAAATGGTATGACAAAACAGGTTGAGCAAGTTAAGCTCTGCTAAGTTTCCTTGCCCCAGAAAGAATTATAATAGGGTCTGGAATGGAAGGGGGGTCTGGATCACGAATCACGGGTTAAATTTCGGTACATTCACGAATCACGTTACCTTTTAGAGTCCGTCACGAATCACGAACTGATCAAGTCTATCAATGACCGCTTAGTGTGGTTGCTGGACTTGAACTACTGTATTGGCAAGAGTTGGTCTGAAATGACCCCGGGTTGCAATTGTTGGAAGGAAACAAAAAGTATGTATGGTGATCAAACTGACGATTCTATACTTGTCTGTTTGAGCGAATAAAGGAAGACAAAATTGAATCTATTCTTTATTTTAGTGCGATTTAATTGTTATAATAATGCTAATAAGACTTTCGCTTATTTTTTTTTATCTCCCTTCCTCTAATATCGCAAAACTGTTATAATAGACTTTACTCACGATGCTCGGCATCTTTTTTGCAAGCGCTTTAATTTAGGATTGTTGGGTTAAAAGCAATGCTACGTGGTATTTCAAACAAGTGATACATTTTGTCAATACGAGTAATCGCGGTCAAACGCGAGGCGAACATTCTAGCCTTGAAAAATGCATAATTAGAAATTCGACAAGTTTTACGCCATTATAACATTAACTTCACATAAGAATCTAAAGGTTAGTTTAAACTGTTGTTATAATTTAAACGTGGCTTGTATTGTTGCTCAGTAATCAAAAAAAAAACTTGGAAATGTGACGTTTCTGTTTTCTTTTCTTTCCGATTCTCTAACCCTAACATTATGAAGCAAAACTTTTATAGAATCTATCATCCTGTGGCAAAAGAGCATCCTCTAGTCATGTCCAATACTACCGCACCATTACGGACCGTTAATCAGGGGCACCCAACGTCAATTTTTGGAAAATAACTGTTCGGAAGACGATTTGAGATCTCGAATTTTCGGAACATTTCTTGTAAAATTTCTTGCCTGCCTGCCTCTTCTAGGATTTTCGAACATCTAAAAAATGGTATCATTACCCTTTTCTAAAGGATCATTTATCCTCAAAAGGTCACCTAGAATTTTCGGGAGTCTTTTTTCTGTATGAAATTTTCGAAAAGGTAAGTTTTGATCCCTATAATTTTCGGATCACTAGACTTTCAGCTAGGAAATCCGAACAGATGAAAATTTTTAGGGGATAAAAATATACCTATATCTACCATTTAAATACTAAAATACGTTCAACAATGCTATGTTTAAGTGGTTTTGCACTATATTCTCGTTGGGTGCCCCTGCTTTAATTAAGAGCAGTTGACGGATCGTACGCTCCGCTCCGTATAAACCAAGAAAGCACTTTTCAAGAAGTTGCTTTGTAATTAGAATATTCATACCGGAGGATGGGTTGCAAGAAACCTTTCATGCGCGATTCCCGATTACGGTCAAGTCATAATAGTGACTGCGCTATAACTTGAGGTTTTGCTCGAGGCTTCGCCACTCGTGGCTTCGGCCTTTTGCCGTAGATGACACCGAAATACTCGTCCGCACGCGCGGTTGTCGTGTTGACGTGGCATAACCATATACACATACGAGTGGATCTGTATGGCTGTTCTGCCTCCCAACTAAAAGTTCACTGAAAGTTTACGGAATATAATATAGAGCTAGGCTGTGAGATAGTAGAGGGAACTGATTTTTTAGCGCCCTTGTTTGTTTTGCTTGCTCTTTGTGGAGAAAGTAAGAGTTGAAGACTGTAGTTTCAAGCTCATTTATGTAAGTACCACTAGCAGTAACCAATGGTTAAGAAGTGCGGGCGAGCATTTGAGTTTACCTTATATGACTGATATTGAGAACCGCTTTTATAATAAGTAAATAGTAGATCATCCGAACATGAATAAGAGATTTAGCCCTTTTAGTTCCAGAGGAAATTGTCACTGCATCTTGAACGTGGAAATTGAATTAAACAACACCAGTTGACCAGACACAGATTTGATTTGACCATCTTATTCAAAAGGACAATCGGCCATTTTAAAAGTGTGGTTTCAATTAGAGTCCTAGCCTTTTAGTGGGTATAAGAACATTCCAAGAATGTGGACAGATTTTGCTAAAACCTTCATATACAAATTTAGAAAATGCCGCTGACCACCCTTCAAAAATACGTCCGCAGGCTTGCTGTTGCTCGCCCGCAATAAATCCCGTCGGTTTTCCACCCTTGTGAATGCGAAAAAAAAAAAAAAACATTAAATAACAACAATTGTTGTCATCATTATCATCATAACAATTAAGTATTTGTATATCATGCACTATTCGTGAGAATAAAACATGATGCAAACAACTTCAAAGAGCTCTAGGTTCAACCTTACAAAACACAGCAGGATAACAGGGCCCAATCATCACATTGGCGGACTCCAGACCCAAACGGCATTTCGAACATAAGCACGTTTAAAGTGCATGAGCTATTGAATGCGTCAGTGTTACCTTATAAAGAATCTACTCTTGTTTAATTTTGTATATAAACATGATGAATGTTATTATACAAAATAATTATAGTGGCTGAATCGAGAAACACTAGGCACAGATGATTCTACCCTTCTACACGCTCAAACTGAGGTCCGATTTCGTCTCTTGTTATATCTTGCTTAATACAATCGTGAACGGTATGTTTCGCTTGCTTTTTGTAAATTTCGATTTTTCTTACTGTCGTTCATATAACTTTACCCTAAAAAACTCGGCTTTATTTAAGGTTGAACTTTGCGTTACTACGTTAGCATATTTTCCCTTGGGATATTTTCAGTCGTTGTGAATGTCATTTGCTCTTTACTAAATGCATTTGAATGATGATATAGAGGATATTAGACGGTGGCACGAGGATATGAATTTTATTTTCGACTGGCAAAACAAGATTTTACGAACGAGCGCAGCGAGTGAGTAAAATATTGTTTTTGCCAAGAGAAAATAAAATTCATATCTTCAAGCCGCCGTGTAATGTTCTTTTTATTATATAGACAAAAAGACATCGATGACATAATAGATTTTTATTCGCCAAAAAGAAAGACGCCTACAAATTTCGAGGGGAAATTACCGAAATTACGTCATCGATAAACTCACGTGTGAGATTATGGAAAATAAGCCACTCGGGTCCCGGATGTAGTTTTTATGAATTTTACCAGTGGTATATTTTCCAGTAAAACACTCGTGTCTATATAATAAACTAATATATTCGCTTGTGATTGGTGTATTGACGGTATTATAACCGCAAACAAGCATGCTTGAAAATGTTGTTTTGATTTGTGGGCACTACTAATCCTTACGGTAACATAGTAAGCTTTTTATCTTCATATTGTTTTTTTCCTCTGTTGCTAGTTATTTTAGCAAAAGCCTGGCCATGAAAAGTATTGTCAGGTAATGAGTCTTAAATTCGGTTGGGAGTGATCAAGTCAGAGCGCACTAGAGATTCCGAACTGACGGTCTTGAAATAACAGAACTTAGGAGAAAAAGAAGCTACCTGAGCAGTAGCGTTTTGCACAGCTGTCAAATTACGTGCTAAGTGAACCATATGGTAACGAGTAAGCAACACCGTACGAATTCAGAATCTAAGCAGGGACGCATTTTCTGGCACGATCGCTTACTTAATTTTAACGGCCTATAAGAATTATCTAATCACTGAATTTTAACTGAGTAAAATTCAAGTTATTGAATGATACATTCTAATCGGGCCTTTTAAGAAGGTTGAAAAAGATATATAAGTAAATGCTTTTTTGAGAATTGTGTGATCAAAACATTCGCTTACTCGTCAACGCTAAGCTAGTATACTGGTTCGCTCAGGGTCTGCATTCGTGTGGATCGATACATTTTATGATCTTTTATACATTAATTACATAAAGTTCATCAGTTGCCTCAGATGACAAAACCATTATACACTGATTATAGTAAAACTGATTTAACTAAGACTTAATCTCTCACGCAGACATTCTTAGGGCTTCGTTACGTGTTCCCGATTCTCAGTGCCCCCGGCCAAGTGTGGAAGCCGGCCAGAGTAGGTGTGAGGAGGAAGCCCAGAGGACGTCTGCGTGGAAGGGCAGTGCGTTTTGACTTCCTTTTTCTTTTGCAATTGGTTTTCTTCTGATAATATTTATCATGAAAAACACCTATAGTAGTGGATAAGGCACCGGTTACTCCTTTTCTTTGCGGGGGAATGCCATTAACTTTCGGGGAAATACATTAACGCCGGTGACGTCATACATATCATTAACATAGGATGATGTCATAGTTTAAATTAATGACCATGACGTCATGTCATAGGATGATGTCATAGTTTATTTTTAGCTGGCAAGGAGCAAGTGACGTCAGAATAACTATTTTCAGATGGATTATGTCATAGTTTATTTTCAGTAGGCAAGGAGCAAGTGACGTCAGAATTTTCTGGAGTTGACGTCATCAAAAAATGTTGAGATCATAATCTATAAACAGAAAAGTGATTTTTATATAATTAGCTTTTTGCGATAGTTTTCTTATTGGATATTGTGGAAACTGTTATGTGTTCAAAATAAAAGCGGGCAAATTTTTTGAACGTGTTATCTTTGCAGATTATACTAAATTAAAAATCTTTAATCATTAAATTATTTTCCCTAAAAATCGGTTATAAGCAAAACCAAGACGCGGAGGTTGACTGAAAAATCTTTACTTCAAAAGAAGGGAAAAGGAGGTTAAGCGAATGCGAAATCGTACTAATTTTTCAGGCAAAACATGAAAACGAGGTTGAAGCTCAGCGAAGCGAAAAACTGCCTATCAAGCAAAAATGTCAATCTTTGTTTACTTGACTCTGTGAAAAGTATTGCACAGGGTATAAAAATTCTATAGAAAACAACTGGTGGTTCTAAAGTAAACCCTAGCTCTTTTGGTTCTTAAATCAACTCCATTCTTGTTCCTAATGAGTGGAAAGTTTATTTATAAAAATAGGAATAAGAGATGCGATCCCCTAGCAACACATGTCTTTTTATTTAGCGCTAAAAATCGGATATATAACAAAACACATACACACATACAAAAAGTGGAGCTGAAAACTCTCTATTTCAATTTTGACTCACCATTACGAAAGCGTTTTCTCCGTTCCATCTCGAGGAAACGACTAACTATTGAAATCGCAGCGCTTGATGAGCTTGTGGTTTTGTCAATTTACGAGCCGTTAGCGTTAGTCAGTTAATTATGCGGGCTAACAAGCCTAAAGTTGAATACAAATTAGTTCATCTCTACAGCTAGACCCAAGGGAGCACCTTGACTTATTATTGTAAGTACTTTTCTACTAGCTTTATTTTGGGGAAAAAAATTTAAAAAAAAAACTGATGACGTCACAAGTGGTACAAGAAACGTAGCTAAAGAAACGAACGGGCAGTTAAAGTGCCTGGATGTGGTGTGAATTTGTTAACCCAAACGTAGTTTACACCCCAAAGATTACAGGTTATTACTTAAGACGTGACCAGCAGTCTGTCTCACATAAAAAGGCAAAGACCCGTAAAGGGAAAGTGGGTAACCTGTGGTTTAATGGCTTCCTTGCAGACGTTCCCCTCCTCCCTTCCCTTTCCCTTTGGAACGCCTGCCACGCAGGCTATCTGTATCACATAAAAAGGCAAAGACCCGTAAAAGAAAAAGTGCCGTAACCTGTGGTTTGAATTTGCTCTTGTCCTTTATCCCTCCTCCTCCCTTAATTATCGGTTCTTGGTAAAGTAAGAGAAAATCTAAGTTGAGTTTATGTTTCAAATTGTTTTTCAGTCCAAAGTCATGTCAAGTCCTTTATGATCAGCTCAACGAAAAGTGAGTATCACTACTGATTTAAATAATAATAAAATTAAATAGAAACAATAAAATATTGAGTCTCGATGGGGCTGTTCCTACACCATTAAAACAGCCACAAATGCAAAATAAAGGCACCGATAAAAAACACTTTAAAAAGGTTTAAAATGGATTGCAATTGTGGGTTTTGAAAACTTGTTGGCATAGTAGAGTTATTCAAAACTCATTTTTGAAGTCTGTAATGTTTATGACCGGGAGGCATATTTATTGGACAACAGAATAGTTTTGTCATTCGCAAGTAATTTCTTCTTGACTTATTGAGTTCCATAGCGCAAAAGACTCTTTTGCGCTATGGAAGTCAATAAGCCAATAAAAAAAATTACTTTGAAAGAGTAATTGGCAATATTTTATAACAAAATAAACTAGGCAATCGTGACAGAGCTCTTTAAGTAACATTCCCTTTTTTTATTCGACAGTCAAAATATGGAAAAAACAAATTAAATGAGACTTCATTTTGTACAGTTTAAACGTGACTCAGTTGATCAATCTTTTCCTTGATTCCAAAAAAATTCCCGTTCTCTGTCACATGGGAGATTTTGGATGTGGAGATGGAGGATGGACACCGGTCATGAAGATGGATGACAACAAGGTAGACTTTTCAGTAGTTTGATTAAAAGTTCGGGAACGAAAGTGAAAAAAAAAAAGGTTATTAAATACCGCGGACTTGATTCTTTAAGCGGTAATTCTCAATAGGAGTCCGGAGTGCTATTTAAATGATTTTTCTAAAAATGTCCGAGGGGCTTATTTCCCTTTAGAACGCTTTGCACAGGAGCAAAACTTTTTTGGAAAATGGTGTCCACGATAAACGCCAGTCTCCTGCAGTTTTTAGACACTATAACTGGGAACTGAGGTGGACAGTGTCAAGAACTTTTTACATCGTATTAGTAACGAGAGCTTATAGGGCCCTGCTTTCAGCGAAGTTCAGCGAATTAACAGCGTATTAAACTTTAACCAGTGCAAGTAACAACCTTAATTTACAATTAGTATCCGGGGGTCGGCATAAATAGTACTTAAATTGCTTATCCTTGACAAATCTCCCATATGACAGCGGTGAATTATATTAGTTTACATGAGGTTTTAAACCTTGCCAAAACTGTTCGAAGGATCATCTCTTGCCTAGAAATTTCTAAAGCTTGAGAAAGGCTGAAAATTTCTGGATAACTGCTCCACGCGTTTATACTATCAAAAATTATATGCCCTATTCTTACTAGTAAAAGTACACGAAGTTCATTTACACAGCAAGAGCCTCAAACGATGATCCGAAGTAATCTGATCATGAGACAATGAGACAAACCACAGCAGGATTGTAGCGGGATCCAACGTTTGTTGATAAAATTAAGAGTTTCACAATATTTCTGCGATCCCAAGGTAATGGAGCCTTACTAGATGTACAGGCGAAATAACCTTCCGACCATACTTGAATCAAATCATTCTTTACCTATGATGGAGAATGTTGTTCTTACCAATTTTATCACAGCAAACTTTTCACTTCGACGCCAGTCTCTGGAGCAACAAAGAAACCTTTAACCTTGAAGGAGGGAAGACTGGGTTTGACTCGCAAATGGCTAAACTACCTTCCTACTGGAACACATCCTTCTCTAAGATCTGCCTCGGTATGAAGATCAATGACAACCAGCCCAAGTTTATTGTTATCAACCAGCAGGCCAACTCCTTGTACTCTCTGATCGCTGATGGGCAATACCGCAACACCTTGCTGGGTCGTGACACGTGGAAGTCGCTGATTGGTTCTAAAGCCTCCTTGCAGTACAATTGTAACAAGGAAGGGTTCAATGCTGTTGGTGATAATAGTGGTCAATCCAAAGCACGAATCGGTATCATTAGTAACAACCAAGACAATTGCGCCTCTTGCGACTCTAGAATTGGATTTGGCACTGGTGGATTGCCTGATAAAACCAACTCATGTGGAAACG